ATGTGTTGAAGTAATTAAGACCAAGAGAAAAAGGGGTCATAGATCCGGCAAGGTGATTGATCATAAGTGGTCTTTAATAATAAAGGATCATGTCGTTTATTGCTTCTTAAGAGACAGACTGGAGTTATATTTCGTCTATGCCTGCTGCTGTGCTTGCTGGGTGGCCATGTACTGGTAGACACCGTAGGCGAGGGCAGCACCGACCAAGAGGACGGCGTAGAGACCGATTCCGAGGCCAGTAGAGTCGCTTGAGCTAGTGGATGTGGCGGTGGTTGTAGGAGCGGCGGCTGGGGCAGGGTCACCAGGCTGCGAGAGAGAGAAAAGTCAGCAGAATAATTCCCCCGATATGCGGAGAAGAGAAGGAAGCGGAGCATAGAAGGGCATATACCAGGCGCTTGAGGGTGCCGACTTTGAGTCCCTCGAGGATCTCACGGGCCTCGTCGCTGTGTCCGACGTCCTCGAAGGCCTCTGTGGAGTCTTGACCGGCGACATCAAGCAGGACTTCCTCACCACCGCTAAATTGAACAGATAAGCAGGTTAGCCGCCTGATTTCAGGTACGTGCATGTCTGATGCGGTGGAATATAGACACAGGTGCCTCAATGATCCGCGGCACGGAAGAGAGGAGCAGGGGAGACATCGGGTCAGACGTACGGGTGCTCGTCGATGAAAGAGGAGCAGTCGTAGACCTTCTCATGGATCACAACGTAGAGATCCTTCTTGGTGCTGTGGGCAGCGACCTCCTTGAGGGTGAATTCCTTATCGGTAGACATGATGGCGGCTGGTGAGGGAGTATATCGATTGCGACGGCGCTGGTGAAGTGTTGGAAGAGGCGATCTGGTCTGTAGCCGGCTGGAGGATGGCGGTTGGCAAGTTCAAAGGGCGAACGAGGTCACGAATGCTTTGTCGGGCCTGAATTAATAGTTGAATTAAATAAAGTATTATTATTTTTTTTTATTGTTGAACTCAAAGAGCGGGCGCCAAGAACTGGAGGGCCTGATCGACGATTAACACTGCGGATATTACTCAGGCTACAGGCTACAGGATAGTTTGACAGGATGTACGGAGTAGGTACTCTTCTTATAGTGAATATCAAGGCCGTGGACTGCTAGATATCCCATCCGTTCTTCACCGTCGCCGTCCTCCTCCTCGTCGTTTTCGCGGCAAAGAAAAGAGAAGCCGAGGTGACCTGATCTTTGCCGACCAATCAGAGCCCGCTGATTCATGCGCGGGAAGAAAGTTGCTCCGAACAATATTAGTAAGCATGACTTGATTAGTCATGCATGTGATAGGCGGGAAAGGGGCTGAAGGAGGAGGCATACACCAGAGCACATTCATCTTACATTGTTACGTGTCTATGTCTATATCTATAAAAATAATTTATGATGTGCATTCCTACCAGAAACTCCAGACGCCTGTTCCATGCCCGTTTATATCCCTTTCGAGAACTTGATTTCCAACAACCTATCCACAGGAACATTCAGGTGATCTAGCTTCGTCTTCTCGCGGTTCTTCAGGTGGATGAACGCCCATAGAAATACTCGCCGGATCAGGTTGGACGTTGGGAGGAGGTAGAGTTTGTCCTTCCCAACTATATATGTGATAGATTTTGTGGACGGTCTCTTGGTGGTAAGTGGTATCGCGGTGGATGACTCTTCACCAAGATCAGCTGTGGGAGACTCTGCCTCCAGATCATCCCGACATGCCGGAGTGATGGTTCCTAGTTCGCTTAGGATGTCTCTTTCAAAGGAGTTCCAGGACACGGTGTCTCCGTAGCCATATTGCAGGGTGACATGAAACAGCCCCTGAATTCCTGTTTGTCGTAATGTGAATCGGCGCTCATCGGCTACCTGCAGGACATGGGTCAGACATGCAGACAATAAAAGTGGGCAGCCATGCTACTAACAGTATACTTCAGAACACGTTTAACATGAAGAAGGATGGATATTTCGTGTATCGACTCAAACTTGTGGACAAAATGCTTGAACACCGAAGGTGACCCGGCATCATGGTCAGTAAGAAACACTCCAATCCCTACGTTGAAATTAGCACTTCGCATAGATGTTCTGTGTATGCATATATTACCCACCTTTGATTTTCTTTACTGGTTGATCCACACCCTCCTCACGCAGTATCAACTGGCCATTCTGGTTCGGATACACGACGGCTTGAGATATCCTCTCATCCTTCCGTGCAGCCCACTTTGATCCTTCTCCATAGCTCCATACAAGCAGGGTTGTCGTTAGCACAGTAGCTAAAACAAGTGTAAACCATCCACCGGAGGGCACCTTAGCCAGAGCGGCGGATAGGAACAAGGTATCAACCAGTCCAATGAATAGTGATATGGGGATCACAATCAGGTAGTGAACATTCCAGACAACGATAGCAACTAATGTCACCAGCCAGGTTGTGATGAAGCTTACTCCAACCACGCAGACACCATAGGCGTTTCCAAGACGAGTTGTCTACTAAAGTCAGTTACGACGAATATGACCTCCATGAACTGCAGGATACTCACATTTTGGTACACTATGGTAACAGCAAGTGCGCAGGCCATCATAAACCAGTTTGCCAGGGGTATATATATCTGGCTAGTTATCCTCTTTGATGTATGCACACGGGTAAGTTTGGGAAGATACCCCAGCCGAACAGCTTGGGATATCAATTGAAAGCTGCCAGTAAGCATGGCCTGAGATGCAATGATTGAGGTAATCATGGAGAGTACAAGGGTGGGCCAGTATAGGCCTGGCGGAACTGCTTTGAATAATGGATTCTCGAATGCGTCTAGATGCTCGCTGATATACGCAGCTTGGCCACTGTATATAATCAACAAGCACGGTAGTGCAAAACAAAGCCACGAGAACCGGATAGCTCTGCAAATGTACCAATTAGTGTTACTGTATACAAATGAGTTGAATACGGGGGCTCACTTTGCAGAAAATGCGCCTAGATCGGCAAACAGGGCTTCAACACCTGCAGAGTAATATAATTAGCATGAACTTTCAATGCTGGGACAAGGTAACCAACCTGTAAAGGAAAGGAGAACACCGCCAAGTGATCTCCAGCCCGAAAGCCCATTCCGAAGCAAGAAAGAAATAGCAAAGGTTGGAGAAAATGCTTTTAGGACGGTGTGGTCATACAACACCAGGTTCTAGACCCAGTTAGTCTCAAGGTTCCATATGTAGAATTAAAGAGGGATACGGACAAATAGGCCAAATGATGTATTGCACAATAACCAAATAGTAACAATAGGAGCAAAGTAGTTGCTTAGTTTTGATGTTCCGATTGGCTGTAGTGCAAATAGTATGACTATCAGAGCACATGTGATGCCAACGATAGTATGGGACGGGATATCCGGTGCAGCAATCTGAATACCTATAAGTATGTCAGTTGGAGGGAATGAGCACAGCCATTGCTGGAAAGGTACCTTGGACGGCGCCGAGGATTGATTGTGCTGGAGTCAACACACTATCTATACGATGTGTTAGTCCACTAGGTGAAGTATTACTGGATAGTTGAGGGAGACGATACCTGACATGACCATGCAGACACCAAGCACAGCAAGAACAGTGATTGCGCGTTTGGCAGCAGAGCTATTTGCCAACCACCGTTTAACGTATCCGTTAAACCCGACTGTTTCATCCATCTTACCATCCCCCCAGTCATCTTCAAGCTTAGCTTTAGCATCACGCCAATCAAGATGCACCTAATTTCGTCATCATTAGCTACCAATATAGCCACATGAGCACTTTCGCCCTGTTCAAGGAGTAACGTAGCTCACATGTCTCCGAATGATTGATAGTAATGCAAAGGATCCTCCTTCTCCATTATCGTTTGCGCAAAGCACAATACCAACATACTTGATGGTAGCAATGAGCAACAAAGCCCAAATGATAAGTGACAAAACACCAATCAAATCAATCAGAACCGGCTGGGTAGAAAACGTTGCTGAGAAGACGTATAGAGGACTCGTGCCGATATCTCCGTATATAGCGCCAATCGACTGATAGGCTAGCCTGAGGTACAAATTAGCATAAGCATGGTAACATGACGTTACACCAGCATGCATTCAAGGATGTTTCACGAACCAGAGAGAAGCCCAGCCATGCTGTTGCTAATATCAGAAAAGGATAATTAGTTACCATTTTGACACATTGATCGACCGGGGTTAGAAGGGCCGCGGCGTGGATGGTGCCAGTTGACTTTTCAACGGCACTACATGCATGTTTGGTTTGGTTTTCGATTGGCGTCTCACCGGAACATGTGAATGGTGTTCTAGAAGAGTGCCGCTATCACTTTCTCTGACACAGGTGTAAAGGAGGCTATTTGAATGAGATCCGTTACTGTCGTAGTCTGGGTGGAGCGAAATGCCCGAGCCGATCAGCACGGATGCACTGACGGGGGTGTATTCAATGCCTTGTTCGATGGTATGGTCGTCCGGAGTTACGTGAGTGGAGCGTATACTATGTGAGTCGTCTTCATCTTTGTCGACGGGGACGTAGCCTTCTGCCATATTCCTAATCGCATTGCGGTGCTTGTGACTTGTTCGAGGTTGGTTTAAAGGCGATAAGGGTGCTGGATATTTATTCTGACCTCGCTTTTCCGATGGACCGAAATTGGCTGAATAATCCAGGGGTTTTAAAACTTAGCCAATGAACTGTGGAAGAATTAAGGTTTACCGGGCGGAAGCGCTTACTAACTTTACACTTTATCGGAGATCTTAAACTTTATTGGTTCGAGGTAATGCGCCTTACCCCTGAATGATGCGTAAAAAAACGGGATGGCATTTTATATTGAGACGGGTATGTCAGTTTTGAAGCAGTGACCAAGAAAAGAGAAATGTAGAGATTTGAGGACCCAAGTAAGACGCTAGAAGATAAAACGATTTCCCCAGCACGTTTATAGATGTTCGTAATTGGCCGAAAGACAGCTCCTCTGAATTACCCAGACCAAAAGATTTAGCGAGCGTGAGTGAGTACAAAAACATCAGATGAGAAAATTATTATCGGTAGTACCGGCTGGGGTTTGTGTTAGGGTTCACTGGACCACCCGGCTGCTGGGGGTGATAAGCTTGGAATCCCGAGGGAACTCCAGGAGCAGACGGCGTCGGAGCGGGGTAGCTTGGGTAAGGAGGTTGCGGGGAAGTGGATTGTGGGATTGAAGGGGGCTGGTGGGTTGGTGGCGGGCCATGCTGTGGTTGTTGCTGCTGCGACTGGTCTTGTGGCATGGGATATTGGGGGTTAGAACCAGGAGGGGCGGTTTGGACGGTTTGGTTGTTGAAGTCAGGCGCGGGTGCGGATGCACCGCCTGGTGGTGGGTAGGCGACGGGTTGTTGTGGGTGTGGATAATGCTGCGGATGAGTTGCAGAAGGCTGGGATTCATGCGTAGGTGGATGGTAGGAGTGTCGGGCATTAGGGTTGGTTGCTGTTTGAGGAGAGTCATATGCCGATGTACTGAGTTCCTGTGGCTGGTCTAACTTGGTCTGTATCGTATACTGTGTCTGTGGGTTGCTGTAGGCATCTTGGGCCTGCTGGCCGGGAACAGGTGTATGTTTCCTATTCTCGGGAGAAGCGGCTGATGGGTATGGCGGGCCAGATTGCTCAGCGCCAGCGCCATAGTATGCTGAAGGGTCATTTGACGGTGGCGCATTTTGAGCTCCTATAAACATGGTCAGCCCAGGATCCACGGCTTCAAGTTTAAAAGGCTGCATTTCCTTACCTGGACGGGGAGTAAAGTACCGCTGGTCAGGCTGGTGTGGGCCAGGGCCAGGAGGGTACTGCTGTACCCCGGAAGGTGGGTACGCATAGGCAGCTTGAGGCGGCGGACGACCAAATTGCGGCTGACCAGGGTGTGCCATTGAAGATTCAAGCAGAGCTTCATAATCCCGACGAGCTTTGATGAACTTTTCATTCAATTGCGTAAAGTCATCTATTCACATTAGTTCGGTGCCTTCATACCGTAAGAAACCCAAACGACATACCTTTCTTCTTGGAGTATTTGCCGATCAATTCTATCAGCTTCGGTCGAATAGCTAGAGTTGAATGGTAGAGGGTGGTAATCTCCTCGTTCTCCTGCACGTTTAGTTCCGAATTACTCGTGCTAAGAAGGGCCAGCAATTTTTCGACATTCTTGATCTCCGCAAACACCTCTGCTTCCATCTGCGCTTCCCGCTGCAGTTCTTCCTGCGTGGGATCCGAGAGTTTCTCGACATAGTTTAGAGGGAAGATACCGGTCTGGCCGCGCAGAGAACCTTTCCACCAATCCTTGTACACCGATTCCAGAACAGCGATGACATCACCCTTTCGGAACTGAAGCTCGCCTGGCTCCGAGGGCTGGAAGTCGTATAATGCTCGAACACGAGAGACGGTGGCAGCCGTGGTACCTGATGCAATGGCTGTAGGTTGGGATGTAGATGCAGTATTGGACCCTTCTGCAGCAGAGGCTTGCTGGGAGGACTCGCTGTTTGGTGGCTGCTGCTCGGTGGCGGGTTGTTTATCCTTGACGGACAGCGCAAGGGCCATCTGCAGCTCTTCTTCCTCCTTTAGTCTGTCCAACTCTGTTATCTCCCGCTTGGTCGGTTTGGACGGGGGTTGAAGGTTTGGGTCTGCGGCCCGTTAGCCCGGAAACCAATCGGAGGTCACATTTTTTCAAAAAGGGCGATGCATATGCTTACTCTGAGACTTGAGCTTAAGGTAGGCTTGTTCCATGATCCCTAGGTCGGGATTACTAGAGAACATCTCCGTCCATTGCTCTATGTGTTCTAGTATCTTCGACTTTACTTGCTGATGGGTGTTCTATAACCATCCGTTAGCCAGACCACTTAACGGTATTCGGGGGGACACGCTTACCCGATCATTTGCAAGTCGTAGAAGTGCATCTGTAAAGCTCTTAGAGGCCAGCTCCTGGTATACCTTCTGTCCGCAGTTCTGTGACAAGGCGTTCGCAAGCTATACCGGCGTCAGCAACGGTTAGATAGACCATGACACCCGCACCCGCATCCAACGTACCTCAAGCGTGTAAAGCTGAACATTCGCATTTCGATGTGCCAGTCTTCGTATCAATGCAGCAACAGCATCTTTCGCTCTGCATCACGTTAGTAAGCTCCACCCTCCATCTCAATCTATTAATAGGGGACGATCCCCCTTACCCAGAGCTATCCGACGACACTTTATCACAAACATCCTACCAGGGTTTATCCGTTAGCTACCACCACCACACGACATCCCAGTATCACCTGTGGGCCGGGGCATAACGTACAAGGATATATTCCCAGTTCTCGGAGGTCAGATTCTCATCCGTCGCCTTAGCTATAGTAGCAAACAGCAGTTAGCATCAGTCATCAGCTGCGTAGAACGATGGAAAAGCCGCAGGAACCGTACCGACAGCATCATCAAATGCATTCTGCTGCACACGAAACATATCGAAAAACAGTTCCGTACAGCACCTTCTTCAGTCTTCGCTTATTCGTCCTCGTTCGTTCGTGGATAGGTACAGTCGTATGTAAGGTACGGCGCCAAACCCCGCACAGGCAGCCAGATATCTAGTCTAGCAAAGCTGTATGATATGCAGTGCGCACAAGGGGCCAGCAGTGTACACCTGAAGCGAGAACCTGCGCCGGGCGAGTGGTGGTATATGTATATCTTCCGAAGCCGTTTGAGGGGAGTCCGGCGTGCGTGCGTATGGGGTGTTGGAGATGCTGCCTTGGATCGTGTTTCCTGGCTTTGGCTTTTGCTTTGCTTTGCGTCAAGAAAAGGCCGGCGGATGCGGCTTCGATTACGTCAGCGCAGGGCTGAGCGCGTTTTTCGTGGCGCGGCATAATTACGTAATAGGTACGTGGCTTAAGTGGATCTTACGTAAGCAGATGGCTCTGAGCAGGGCAAAACAAGTTCTATTATTGATGGCATCTAGTATTTGGTAGCAGGTGAGTCGAAGACGAGCAAGAAGAAGAGGAGGAGGAGGAATAGACGTAGATAGATAATGGCACACTAGGATAAGACGAGTACAATAGCTAGATGGATAGCCGGTGGATAGTGGGAAAGACAAGAGCCAGGGAGAAGCAGAAAGGGAGGAGGAAACGAAGCAAGCAGGAAGGAAATTCGTCGCTGTTATTTTTGGTTTAAAAGGAACATATCGGATGGACATAACATGAAGGAAAAACCCATCTTCTTTTAACGTGGCAGATAAGCGAGGAAGCAGATCAAGATCAGGCCAGCAGAAAGAGCAGTGGTAAAAACATAAAAGCAAGAAGAAATGCCGTAACTAGGTTTGGTGCGTTGAAAACGAAGAAAAAGGGGTAGGAAAGGAAAAGATCACATCTCATATTCATGTCACGTATAACTTATATTTCGCAGTTCGCAGTTCGCAGGGCAGGGCAGGTAAAAAAGCAAGGCAGGACATATCGCGTTGAAGAACAGGGGGGGAAGCAGAGGAGAAGTAGTTGTTGCTTGTTGCTTCGCTTGCTTTGGGTTGGGTTGCATTGTGTTTTTGGTCATGGGAGGTCAAGTCGAGTCATCGTCTCATATCTTCTGGCCCGGATGCACCATAGCATACCACCTATCCACCGATCCATTCCCAGAGGTGTAAAAAACAGGCAAGAAAAAACGAGGAAGAAAAGGGAAAACATGATGGGGGAGAGAAAACCGATCTATCTGAACCGAATAACCTGGAGAAAACAAGCAAAAGAAGTCATGAAGAAGTTGGTCAGAGAGTAAAGTGAAGGCGTAAAGCGGGAGAAGAAGTCTGTGGGTATCGCGGAGTGGAGTTGAGAGAAGACAGTGCATGGAGTATAGTATACGGTGTAAGAGATGCCAGGAGTAAAATGGGTAGATAGGAGAAGGTAAAAGCGGAATAAAGTAATGTAAAGGTGAAGTAAAAAAGGGGGAAATAGAAGGAGAATAAAAGTCAAGCGTGAAAAGTAGTGATGGCATATAGTATGTTGTCTCATACTATGCGGCGGCATCTAAGCGCCGCCTTTCTGCGCCTTTTCTTGCGCTCTATTTTGGCGCGCGGCCTTAACAAGGGGCGCTAGACTAGTGAGTGGTTCACAGTAGCCCATGAAAGGATGCTATATAGACTGTTAGTAACGCACTTATACGCACAAATCACTAAAACAAAGAGGATCCTACCTTGAGTAAATCATGCGCTGAAGCCCGTTTCTCTGCATCCACTTTCAGCGCCATGCCCAAGAACTCTCTAAAGACAGGCGAGAGGTTTTGCTCGTCCTTGATGGCAGGAGTTCCATTCGTGGCGATCAGGTAGAGTGCTCTGAGTGGCGACTCGGTGAGATACGGTGGTTCACCTTCGATCATCTCGATGGCCATGATGCCCAGAGACCAGATGTCCACTTTCCTACCGTAGTCTTTGCGAGTGACTACTTCGGGAGCCATCCAGTAGGGCGTTCCGACCATTGTGTTACGTTTGTGGTGGGCATCGTTTATTTGTGCACAGAAGCCGAAGTCGGCTAAGAAAACGTTAGAAATCTAGCTTTTTTTTTTTTTTTTTTTTTTTTTTTTTGTGGCAGTTTAAAAGAAATGCAAGGGGACTAACTTAGTTTGATATTGCCTTCGAGGGAGAGAAGGATGTTATCTGATTTGATGTCTCGGTGAATGACGCCCTTTGAATGCAGATGCTGGAGACCATGCAGGACCTAGACAGAAGAGTTAGACGTTTGTATATCGAGTAAGCTAAGTGATGTTGGGGAAAAGGCGACCTACCTCCCGACAAACGGCAGCGATCTGTCCCTCAGTCATGATGTTAAAAGTAACCACGTCCGTCAAGCTGCCTCCCTCCATGTACTCCATGACGACCCAGAGGTCTCCGCCGTGCAGGAACGAGTCCATGTAATTGACGATGTTCTTGTGTTTGCTCTCCTTCATGACCAAGATCTCATTGATGATAAGATCCTTCTTGGGCTGCAATTCAAGGTTCATCTGCTTGATGGCTACGCAGTGGTTTGTGCCGATCTCGTAGGCAGTGTAAACACCACCAGACGCTCCTTGGCCGATTTTGTGGAGGTTGCGATATTTGCGGGTGGGATCGCCAGTGGTGCAGATGGTGTTGAGACGGGCGCGAATGTCGATCGTGGGGGTAGGGGGCTGGCGGGGGCGGACACGCGGACGAGCGGAGGCCCCGGGAGGAAGTGGCATTTGTTGCTGCTGTTGCGGATGGATCTGGGCTGACCCTGGCACAGGGGCGTGTGCTGGAACTGGGACAGGGGCTGGAACGACTCGGGGACCCTGGGCGTGTTGTAGGGGGTAGTTCTGGGATTGGATTTGGGGGTAATTCCCATCCGGAGCCGTGTAGTCGATAGGAGACGGCTCATTCATTTGTTGTTGTTGTTGTTGTTGTTGTTGCTGTTGTTGAGCCTGCTGCTGCTGTCTCATGCTCCTGGACCGCTCGATCTGCTTGTTGGTAATGGCTTGCTGAGCAGCGGTAATGGCCTGCTCCTGCATCTGCTGGTAAACAGCGGGTGAAGTAATTGCCGTAGAAGGCTTTCGAGACAAACCACCGGGACTAATCCCGCCGTTGGCATTGGAATTCGAGCGACTCCTAGCCGTGGCTGGCGGAGTAGTTGTCGGCGTGGGGGTCGATTGCAAGGGAGCAGACTCTGGTATGGTCTGGACACCAAAGGGGAGAGAAGAGGCGCCAGCACTGGTAGGAGTGATCAATGGCTGTGGCGGTGGTCTAGGAGCCTTTGGAGCTGCTCGATTGGGGACCCATCCGGATGCTGGAGCGGACGGGGCCGAGATAGGCGTAGACGATGACGGAGCAGACGACGAAGTTGGAGGAGCAGGTGGCGGTGGACTGGCGAGGGGAGTCTGTCGAGGAATGGGAGGCGGTGCGCGGGGATTCTCAAAGCTTCCTTCGTGGTTCTGCGGGAACCTCGGAGATGTGATACCAGGACTGGTAGCAAGAGGAGTGACCTGCTCATGGTGGTGATGATAGTGGTCTGCCAGTCTAGCGTTGTCAAACTTGTGCCAGACACCTTCGTCGTCACGGCCAGCAGCGTTCTTTTCATAGAACTTCATGATATCAACCATTGTCTGTGGATGCTGTTCTTGTTCTTTCTTTGAGATGCCGGACTCCTGCAGCATGCGTTGCCAGTCTTTTGGTAGACCCTGAGAAGATTAGCATATGAAGTGAAGTTAACAGGATAGTGAAGTAGCCAGTGAAGCAGATAGGAAGTGAAGTGGGATAGAACAGTAAAGGAGAAAAAGGTGACGCGAGCAAGAGACATACAGTGAACTGTCCAGTCTGGTTGTCAAAGCCAACGTGAGTGACATGCACCGGGTTCTCTGGCGCAGAGATCTTGATATTCCTCGGCGAGCCCAGCATGCTGTTGACGAAGTTGCTGAAGCCGGTCTTCTTCCTGCTCAGCGAGAGCCTGCTGCCCCCTCCTCCTCCACCACCGCCGCCGCCGCCGCTCCCGCTGCCAGTGGTACTGCTGTGCACATTGTTGGGATTGGCGGGTGAGCTCGACGCTTCGTCTGAGTGCCGATTGAGCGGAATCGAGGTCGCAATACCCGCCCCGGGGGTGGTGGCGGGAGAGGGTCCAAACCCAGCGGAGTTGTTGAGGCTAGGCGAGACCTCCGGACTGGATCTGTAGCTGTGCGGCATGGGGGGCCGGCTGGGCACCATCGTTTCTTCTGTCATCTCGTTACCGCTGTTGTTGGCGTTGCTGTGAGATGTCGAGGGAATGTCATCCTCTTCGCCCGTAGAACTCGAGACTCTCCCGTTCTGCATAATCTGTGTGTTGTTGTTGTTGTTGTTGTTGATGATGTTGTTGTTGATGTTCGGCGTGTGCGTGTTGTTCTGGACCAACTGTAAGCGCCCAAAGTCGACGCCGTTGACCGGACTGGGCCCAGGAGGACCACCAAGACCACCACCACCACCACTGACGACACCGCCCGCCAGCTGGTCCACGGAGGCCGACGAGGAGGCAAAGTTACTCGAGCGTGTGCGGGAGTGGTCTCTCTCGCGGGCCTGGTCGCGCTCCCGCTCTCTGTCGGAGTAGGAGCGCGGGTAGACGGGGGCGGAGGGATGGCGCTGCAGCGAGGTCGAGGAGTGCTTCTTCCTGACGGACCATGGCGAGGTGAGGTTGCTGAGGGAGGAGAGCGGGCTGGAGGAGGACGAGGAGGAGGACTGCTGGAGGAAGCTGGGCGGCTGCTTGTGTAGTTTCGAGGATGGGCGGTGCGGCTTTGGCGATGGCTCGGAGTCCATCGTGAAGGCGTGAGGCCGGGCGGAGGTCGAAGTTGGCCTGCAGGATTGGAGGTTTTTTGGGCGAGCTTTGGGTGAAGCTCTGAGCGTGCAAACACGTCGCAGGCAGGGAGAAACAGCGCGGAAGGGAGTGAAACAGAGAAGCAGAAGAAGAAGACAAGAAGAAGAAGAAGAAGAGCAGAGACAGCGTGAAGATTAAAAAGAGCCCAGGCGGAGAAGGAAGAGGAAGAAGAAGAAGAGAAGAAGCGAAGAAGAAGAAGAAGAAGCAAGCCAGAAGAGCCAAAGCAAGCAAATTGCAGGAGGAGAACGCAGAAGAGAGGGGACGGGGGGGGCCAAGGCGGTATCGTCTTGTCATGACGCGTACTCCACAGGCACAGAACAGCAGGTGCGAGCTAGGAGGAGCTAGGACGAGCCAGACCGAGCGAGACCGTCATGTACGGTAAGTGACAGACGGGTACAGGGTCGGACCAGAAGTGACCGCCCAAAAGGGCCCCAAAAGGCCCAAAAAGGCCTAAAAGGGCCCAAGAGTTGCACCTAAAATAAGTTACGCTTAAGTTTTTTTATTTTTTATTTTTTTATTTTTTTTTATTATTTTGGCTTTTTGTTGTTTGCGTTTAATTACCCCGGTTAATTACGTTAAATTACAATAATATTACATTAACAGTGAAGAAAAGACAGTGAAGAGAAGATAGTAAAAGTGAAGAAGAGAGTAAAGAGAGAGAGCAAGAGGAGTGAGTGAGTAGTAGTGAACAAGTAGGAGTGAGTGGGTAGTTAGGTGAGAAGGGGAGAGAGTGAAGAAGTACCGGCAGATGGAGAAGATCTGCTGCTACTAACTAGTAGAGCGACTGTTGATCACCAGTAAAGAGAGAAGAGAAGAAGAGAAGAAGAGAAGAGACTGCTTTCTGGAAGACTCGACTTTTGACTCCTCATATTCCCACTCTCACTCTTATGTATTACTCCGTCCTTATTATCTATTGCTGTCTGTTTCATCTGCTGTTAATGAGACAGCCACTTAATAGATAGATAGATAGATTCATAGAAGGAGGATAGTCCAGACATACATATGATCGTAACAGCAGGAAAAGCAGCCTATCCCATTATCCTCTTCTCCTACTCTCATCCTAATCATCTTCCCGCCTTCTTCGACTCCCTTTCTATCATCCTTTGCCCAGCTTTTCTGCTGTCTTTGCTCTGTTCGCTTCTTACCTGCTGCTGACTAAGCTCTTGCAACGTCGCCTCAGCGCCAACTTCGACTTTTGACTTCCCGAACCAGAAACATCTTCAGACCGTCCAAACCGTCAAGCCAAACCGCCAACCGCCCTTCTCCCGTCCTGCAGAGGAGAAGCCTGCTGTCCTGTCTGAATTGTCTCTTGTGAATGCGTTGGTAGTGCCGCTCGACGATGGAGTGATCTTCTCGCCTGCTCAGCCCGTCTTTTCTCCTGCTCCCTGCTGCACACGACCTACTCGATAACCACCCTGTAAGCGTCCCCCCTCCCCGGCCATTGACCACCATTGAAGACCAGTGAAGGCCATTGAAGACTGCTGAAGGCCAGACCTACCACTAACAGTCACTCCCAGAACGGTACGGATACTACGAAGCTCGCTCGTCACACCATGCTGTCTTCTCAGACCCAGAAGACCGGCATGATCGTCAACGGCGCCCCCAAGTCTCGCGCAGAGGAGCTCATGGCCCAACATGCCCAGGAGGCTGCTCAGGGGCCCACGGTAGAGGATGTCGTCGACGAAGAGGACATCCTTCACCCGCCTCCCTCCTCCTCCTCCGCCGCCGCCGCTGCTCCCGCTAAATCTCCTGCTGCTGCTGCTGCTGCTGCTGCTGCTGCTGCTGCCCTCGATGTCCAGTCTGAGGAGTCCTTCCCGGCTCTCGGCGGTCCCAAGGCCTCCTCTCGTCCCTCTGCCGTCCCTGTGGCTTGGGGAGGCAGCAAACCACAGCCTTCTCCTGCTGGTTCTGCTGCTGGTGCCACTTCTACTGCTCCAGCTCCAGCTCCTGTTCCTGTTCCTGCTCCTGCACCGACTCCGGCCTCGTCCACCCCAAGACAGCTCACCATTCCAGGCAAACATGTGGACCAATTCCGCTTCGATTCCTCCCAGATGCTGCCTCGCTCGGAACTCAAGAAGCCTGTGTCTGACATCCTGAGAGATATCAGCAAAAAGTCCAAGGTCAGACTCGAGGTCAGGGAGGGTGCCGGTGGTGTCTACATCTTCGAGGGCACAGGCAACGTTGATGCCGTCAGGCAGGCCTTGAAGGAGGTTGCCCAGCAGGTTGGCAGTACGGTAAGCCATTTCTCCATCTAATCTAATCGTTGTCTTTTCTTTTCTTCTATTTTCTATATATTACAAATGTTAACTGTTGTAGAAATCCGTCAAGGTCCCGGTGCCGGCTTCGGCCAGACCACACATCATTGGCCGTCAAGGAGCCGTCATCCAAGGCATCCTCGACCGCACCGGAGCCCGCATCGACGTCCCCAAGCCAGACGAGTCCAAACCGCTTGACGACGATGACGAGGACAACACAATTGAAATCACCATTGAAGGTGATGCCCTCGCTGCAGAGATGGCCCGCCGAGAGATCGAGGCCCGTGTCAAGGAACGCACCTCCAACATCAGCCTCCGTCTCAAGACTGTGGCCCCGGAACTCTTCCCCTTCATTGCCGGTCCGCACAACCAGTCTATCAACAGGCTGGAGGAGCTCACCAAGACCCAGATCCGTGTGCCCAAGTACCACACCTGGGGCCACCGTCCCCCTCCACAGGAGCCTGCCTCGACCTCGGGACCGGTTCTCTACACTCCCGACCCAGACCAGCATATCATCATCGTCGGTGAACGACAGGCTGCTCAGGAAGCCCGCTCCCAGATCGAGCGCAGAGCCCAACTGCTGCAGAACCGTATCACCCTCCGCCAGCTCGCAATCAACCGTGGACAGCACCAATTCATCGTCGGTGACAAGGGTGACTCCCTGCACGACTTTTTGGCCTCCACCGGATGTGCCATCGTCCTGCCCCCGCCATCAGACGATACCGAGTTCCTCACCATCACAGGCCCTGCAGAGAGCATCGAGGCTGGTGTCAACCGCGCCATGGACCTGGCTACCAGCATGCAGATGGCCAACATCGACGTCTCGCGCCAGCACCCCAATGCCCCCTGTGGACCGGATGTCCATGCCCGCGCTCTGACGGCCTATCTCCAGCACCGACGGGTCATCGAACATCTCGAAAAGACGCATGATTCCCACATCGTCCTGCCTCTCGAAACGGCTAGCTCCTCCAACGCTCCAATCACCTGGGAGGTCTACTCGCGGAACGGCAAAAATACGATTCTGGCCCGGTCTGATATCATGAACCTGATCCAGGCCCTGCCCCCGTCAAAGCTGGCCACCGTGCCCGTCGATCCCTACCTGCACGGATATCTCCGCTCGCGTGGCCTGCCCCAGCTCAAAGAACAGTTTGGCGTGCACCTGGTTGTTCCTGAAACCGTTGGTCCACCAGCATCCGATAGGCCGGTCAACCTTGTTCTCGCGTACGAGGGCCCAGAAGAAGTCACCGCCCAGAGCCCCTGTCTCAAACGCCGCCCCTCAAGCGAGGACGCCGCCGTTTTCCAGAAGGCCCTGCGTGAAGCGACGGAGTATTTGCACAAGGTCCTAGGTGACCCCAAGGACGTCTCTTCCCAGTCTGTCCCCATCCCGCCCAAATACCATGACAGACTGCGCCGTTTCGTCGCCCAGGACCAAGCCAGCTACGGCGAGACGCATATACCCGTCAGCCTCGCCTTTGCTGCCGACAACGCCAACAACGCCTCCATCCGTGGCCGTTCCGCTGACGTAGCTAACCTGGTAGCTAAGCTAGCGACCTTCGTAGCTGACCAGGAACGCGATGACCGTGAACGCAACCACGTAACTACATTCGACTTCCCCCAGAAATACGCAAACTTCCTCATCGGCAAACGAGGCGAAAACATCAACAAGCTGCGTGAAGAATTTGACGTAGATATCAAAGTCGAAAACGGCAAGGTAGACATCAAGGGACCGCCTGCTAAGGCCGCAGCTGCAAAGACTCGTATACTCGCTCTGGCAAAGAAACTCGAAGACGAAGCTACGTATGTTCTTAAGATTGCACCGCAGTATCACCGTGACCTTATCGGCCAGAAGGGAAGCCAGGTCAACCGTCTCCAGGAACGCTACAACGTTCGTGTTCAGTTCCCCCGTGCCAACAACAATGTTCCAGATGACGTTTCCATAGCCGATACAAGCGAAGCTGCTGGCCCTACCAATGGCAACAGCAGCGCTCGTTCCCGTGCCCCCCAAGCAGCTGATGAAGTCATTATCCGCGGGCCCAAGAAGGGCGCCGACAGCACCCGCGATGAAATCCTCTCGCTCTATCAATGGCTCGTAGACCACTCCCACTCAGCGGTTGTCTCGGTTGCTCGCGACCAGATACCGTCTCTCATTGGCCAGCGGGGACGAGAAATGGATAAATTCCGTGCTGAAACGGGTGCACAGATTGACATTCCTGGACCGGAGACTGGAGAGGGCGAGGCCGGAGCTAGAGTTGAGATTCGTCTCAAGGGGACGAAAAAGCAGGTTGACGATGCGAAGAAACTGCTTCTTGCTAGGGCCAGGGACTTTGATGAGACCATTACTCGTACCATTGAGGTTGATAAGAAGTATCATAAGGCTCTCATCGGTGCTGGTGGTATGTACCCTTATCCCCCCCTCTACTCACAAACTATGATTCAAAACTATTTGCTAACAAATACTAATAATACTAGGCGCTCACATCCGTAAACTAATCGTGGAATGCGGCGGGCCAGACGACAGCACTGCATCCCGTGTAGTCAAGTTCCCACGAGCTGACAGCGATGAAACCACCATCAAACTCGAAGGCAAGGAGGCAGTAGTCACCAGCCTGATCAATGCAATCGAAGAGTTCGTCCGCCAGAAGGAGGACCAAGTGACCATCTCCATTGAAGTCCCTCAATCCCAACACCGCCATCTCATCGGCCGAGGAGGCGAAACCCGCCGCCAACTCGAATCCCAGTTCAACGTGATTCTGGACGTGCCCAAGCAGGGCTCGAACCGGACCGATGTGAAGATCAAGGGTCCCTCCGCGGCTGTTGAACAAGCCAAAACACACATCGAAACCATGCTCAGGGACCAGCAAGGTGAAACCGTTGAGGTCCCAGCACACTTGCACCATGTGATATCCGACAACGGCGCGTTTTTCCGCCAACTGCGGAACAACCATCAGGTCACCGTTGACCATGCAGGACACAAAGTGCCCGCCAAACCTTCCCCTGCAGCCGTTGAGTCGCGCGCAGACTCAACTTCCCTCCCACTCATCACTGACGCAGACGACTCCACCCCCGACACATTCTCCTGGAAAATCGTCGAGCCAGCCAGTGCACCTTCTGACTCAGCTTCAACCACAATCCCCTGGGTCCTCTCCGGTTCTCCTGAGAACGTAACCAAGGCTAAAGCGCTGCTTACCGCCGCTATAGCCTCGGCCGCTCAGCCATGCTGCACGGGCTACTTGATCCTGCCCGACCCCAAGACCTACCGCTTCGTCGTGGGTACGGGCGGTTCTCAAATCAACGCCATCCGCTCCAAGACCGGATGCAGGATCAACGTCCCCAAGGGCCAGGCTGGCGGAGAAGCGATTGAAGTCAAAGGTTCGAGGGACAACGTCGAGCTCGCGCGGGAGATGATTCTTGATGCTGTCAAGGCCGGACTTGCGGGCCCGGGATCGAGGAGGTAGATATTATAGCGCTCTTCCAAACATTGGGTTCCGTTGGTTAAGCATTTATCTAAAGCATTCATGTGTTCAATTCTTCTATCTATAACTATATATATATCTTGCCAAAGCTGATTTTGGAATTTGACTAACAAACAGTCTAGCTGGTTGGTTGGGCAAAAGGAGTGAAGAACAAACAGATTGATTGACTGACGACAGATAAAAAAAAGAGATAGCACAAAAAAAACAAGCAAAGAGCTAGAAATTACACCTAACTATTTTATTTTTACCTTTAATTCATTTTTATCATCCCTTTTCAATGTTCAATTCAATATTTGATATCTTCGTCTCTGCAGCAAAACAGCAGCACGTGACCGGCAACCATCGAAAGTCCAAAAGAGGAAAAAAACGACTTCAACTTCGACTTTGATCGAGCTTCAACGTGAATATCGAAATAATCAACTTGCAGAGATGGCCATGCGCGGGTGTAGATGACGTACTTGATGAGGTTTTGTTGTCAATTGCTGCTCGTCCCATGGTTCCCTACATTGCCACGCTAACTAGTCACTAGCAGCTATAACTAACTAACTAGTTAGTACCTAACTATCCCGCACTGCCGCAACAGCATCGCCGACTCGGCTCAGCGACGACTCCAAAAGACTCGACACAGTGCGACATCCTCATATACATGGTATAACCATCCGCGTGCATATAATGCGATAGGACGAGGATGAACAAGATCCCTTTATTCCCGTACGGGTAGCTCGAGTTCGACGGACGCATACCTCACTCGCTGCGCGCTGCTTTGACCGCCGAGCGAGACGAAACGAAACCCCCGCCGACTCAAGAAGGTGATTGCCGCGCCATACACAACGCTCGCAGCGTTCTGGAGCCGGTTTGATAAAGACCGCAAAGAACCAGCATGGAGGCGGACTGGGATGAGGTGTCGCGCATTGTGGTGCCGCCTCCGGGACCGCACCTGTTGCCCACCGTAGCTACGGCGATTGGATTCGACGATACGCAGGAGCTCTTATGGGCGGGCAACGAGTTTGTACGTCTCTTACTTCTCCTCTTCCAATATGATCTATGCTAAATAGCAGCTTAGGGTCGCGTTACCTCCTTCCATGGCCCAGAATTAACTCGATATACGTCCGTTAAAGCCCACCCGACCTCCGAAGGACCCATTCGACAACTCCTCTTCCACGACAAGGGGGTGATATCGCTATCATCCAAAAGCGTTCATCTGGCTTCCCGCCGGGGCCTTACACAATGGCATCTCTCCGTTTCAGAAATGGTCGACCTGCGCTGCATGAGCTTCACCACGCATCCGTCCCGTCTCATCGTCGCGGGATGTCAAGCGACGATGCTCATTATAGATCTGGACAAAGGCACTGTGGTGGAGAAAATACCTGCCGAAGCAAACTATACCATCATGAAGAAATCTCGACATCTCTGCGCTGCCACGGACGCAGGGTCGGTTCACGTCCTCAGCTTGACGGACTATAGTCTGCTGAAGAGCTGGAAGGCCCATGGTGCGGTTATCAATGATATGGATGCCCGCAACGACTTTCTGGTCACATGCGGCTTTTCCGTACGGCATATTGGAACGCCCATTGTCGACCCTCTTGCAAACGTGTACGACCTGAAATCACTCACCCCGTTATCCCCTGTCCCCTTTCACGCCGGAGCAGCATATGTGCGTATGCATCCCAGACTACAAACAACAAGCTTCATCGCCTCTCAGTCCGGCCAACTACAAGTCGTCGACCTCATGAATCCGAATTCCATCAGCCTTCGCCAGGCAAATGTCAGCTTCATGCTGGGCATGGAGATTTCACCATCCGGCGAAGCCCTAGCCGTCAATGATGCGGAGTGCTCAGTCCATCTCTGGGGGTCTCCTGCAAAAATCCACTTCAATGAAATGAGCAAGGAAACTGAATTCCCTGACGTCACTCCCCGACCACCAATGCTAGATTGGTCCGCAGATACCCCATTGAATGTGATTGGTATGCCATATTATCATGACCGCCTTCTTTCAGCCTGGCCCAGCCATCTTGTTTTCGAGGTAGGAAGTATTCCTAAACAGGTGGATCCGGCCATCATCCCCTACCTGCACCCAAGCGATATGGGTCAATATGCCCCAAACCCACGGAAGACGCATAGATATCAGGTCGAGAATACCCGGTGTCAACCCACCACTGAAACTGCACTTGCAGCTCCCAAGTTCCTAAGTGAAAAGGCCAGAGCACATACCAAGTCCAAGTCCCTTGGTGATAAAGAGCCTTTGGATGACTTAGATGGTTTAAAGATCAACGGGGAAGCGGAAAACGACCCTCTGTTGAAATATAGTAATGTAGAAATCAAATATAGCAAGTTTGGCGTCGATGATTTTGATTTCAGGTAAGATACCCTATTTGCATTGCTTACTCGCAGTTGTACTAATCTGCTATAACTAGGTATTACAACAAGACAAACTTCTCCGGTCTAGAAACACACATCTCCAACTCGTTCACAAACGCACTCCTCCAGCTATTTAAATTCATCCCACTCGCCAAAAACCTCGCCCTTCATCATGCTGCGACAAACTGCATCTACGAAAACTGTCTTCTCTGTGAGATGGGATTTCTCTTTGACATGCTAGACAAAGCAAACGGCCAAAGCTGTCAAGCAACAAACTTACTCAAAACGTTCAGCGGGTTCAGAGAAGCAGCTAACCTCGGCCTCTTGGAAGAAAATCTCAGCAACAAGTCCCTCGCTTCCACCATCCAATCCGTCAACCGGTTCTTCTTAAATCAGATATCCAACGACTACAGACTTCTATACCCGGGCTCCGATCAACTAGATCAAGTACTTGCCACTTCAGCAATAGAGTCAGTCCGATGCATGTACTGCCGTAACGAAATTGTTCGCGCAGGCAACACCTTCGTAAGCGAACTGATATACCCAGCCGTCGACATCAAGCAGGCAGCACGTAACCCAGCATGCCGATTCTCCAACATTCTTCGCGCTAGTATTGAGCGTGAAGCCCAAAATCGCGGCTGGTGCAGTACCTGCAGACGATACCAACAAGTCGCCATTAGAAAAACAGTTGAGAGAATGCCAATGGTCCTCATGATTAACGCGGCTATTAATAATCCCGTCTGCAGACAGTTCTGGTCCATTCCCGGCTGGCTGCCTGAGGAAGTCGGGGTTATCACCGACGGTAAACAGATGCGATGTTTTGAAGGAGCAGAGCTTCAAGCGCAGAAACGTGAAAAGACGCCTAACTTGCTGGTATATCAGCTTGTTGGTTTAGTTGCTGAGATTGATGTTGTGGAGCAAAAGAAGCCTCATCTAGTGTCTTTCATTGATGTGGCTATCTCTGCGACCACACCAACAGAGGAGAGCAAATGGCATCTCTTCAACGACTTCCTTGTCACTGAAGTTGATAAAAATGAGGTGTTATCATTCAAGCAGCCGTGGAAGCAACCGTGTGTGCTGTCCTACCAAATATCAACTGCCAGACACGGGGTTGATGACTCGTGGAAGAACGCCTTGGACACCACTCTACTTTTCTACGAGTGGTCTATGAAGTGAGTTTACCCTGGAGTTTATTTACTTGCCAACTCATTAACTAACATTATATGTTCTAGTAACTGTCGCCCAATCGAGTCGTGTCAGGTGTTGAAACCAGATGAGAAGCCTACTCCAGGAACTGCCATTGCTCTGGACACTGAATTCGTAGACTTGGAAAAGGCAGAAATCGAAGTCAAAGCCGACGGAACCCACGAGATGATTCGACCCAGCAAGAGTGGTCTCGCTCGTGTTTCCGTTATTCGGGGTAACGGTACCCTCGAAAGCTCCCCCTTTATCGACGATTATATCACCATCAAAGACCCCATTGTCGACTATGTCACTCAATACTCAGGCATCAAACCTGGAGACTTAGACCCACGAACAAGTGCACACAACCTCGTTCCGCTTAAGGTAGCGTATAAGAAGCTATGGCTCCTACTTAACCTAGGTTGCGTCTTCGTCGGCCACGGACTGGCGTCTGATTTCCGGAAAATCAACATTCAAGTCCCCAAGGCCCAAACAATCGATACCCAATACCTGTTTTTCCACCCCTCTAAAAATCGCCGACTGAGTCTCCGATATCTTGCCTGGGCTGTCTTTAAAGAATACATCCAGGAAGAAAACCCTAGTCCCTCACCAAAGACGTCAGCAGCAACCCCTGACATCCCCACATCAAATCCGACTTCAACTCCCGCCACTTCCACCGCTGAAGGCCATGATTCCATCGAAGACGCACGTATGGCCCTGCGACTATGGAAGAAATTCCAAGAATACGAAGATGCAGGCATTGTCAATCAAATGCTTGAAGAAATCTTCCGTGAAGGTGTAAAACATGGGTTCCGTCCTCCGCCCCGTCATCAACCGCAATCAGCTGGAGTCCCCGCATACCAACCCTCAAACTCTGGGCTAGCAGTGTACAACCATAAAATGTCAGGGCCAGTCACAGCAGCCTCGTTATCTTCCCCTCCAAGTGGACGGAATACGCCAGACGCAGGGCCAGGAGGCGGCGCATTGGGTACAAACGGTGGTGTAGGCGATAATCCACCGACAACTCCACGTCAGATGTTCCGACGATCTACAGCATTAACTCCGACGAGCAGCAGTTATTCGGGGGCTGTTGGAAAGTATCCCATGTTTGGAGGGAGCCCCATGCGTTAACTGACCGTACCGTCTCAGAACATATAGCCACGAGTAGTGAGTGACAACAACTGTCAGAAGCTATTGTACCATTGAAACGGTTTATATATCTGACTATCGCCATCCATGGAGGCGGTAGAGCCATATACATTGGACAACTGTTATTTAAATATTCAATGTAGTGTTTGACAAAAAAAAATTGAAACTGACCTTTATCATCACCTTTCCGGCTATCAGTTCTTTTTATTTTATTTTGGTGCATACTGTTTCTCTCGTCTAACTTAACTGGCAGCGCCTTCCACAGATTACAGGCCATAGGTCCCCCCTTTCCTTGATACCAACAATGAACTGGCGGTTATTTAGATACCCCATAGCTTGTTCCGCTACGCACCAGACAGCAACATTATATCAACTCTTATCATAAGCTGTTACATATTTTATCCCCATATAGATTACGCAGCATGGAACACACGGAGTGCCATAATGGCGTCCACGAGTGCGTTCCTGCCTACCTCCGAGCATCCCGACCCCTAAAAACATTTACAGAACTGTACATTGAGATTAAGAGGAACAGGATCCGAGATATTGAGCGCCACATTGAACTCATCACTGTTAAGCACTCATTGATCAGTCCTCCAGGAGACATCACTCTGGAGAAAGAAGTACTGGAAGTGTGGGCCATGTTATTCGACTTCGTTATACACACCAAGTTTAACAATCCGATGTTAGATTCAGCTGTGCTTCTACTCATCAACCTGACGCATAGTGTCCCTATAAGTCAACAGGTCCATGATCCAAACATGAAAATTCCACAAAGTCTCAGAGATCTGAACAAGCTATGGAAGGACGCGACAGGCAAAGATATTAAGATTTTTGTCAACAAAAGGAAGCCCGCACCAAAAACAAGAGAACCTAGTGAAGGGGAAATTCTATTACCAACCACAGAAGAAGATTCGGATAAGCCGGACGATAAAAATAAGGAGAATGGAAAGGCGGGAAAGCAGACTGAGAATGAGAATTGTACCAGTACCGGAGCTACACTGCCTGATTCCGACAAGAACGAAATGAGCAGAGCTGAGGTTCCCATGGTGCGTGAAATCATCCGAGTCAATGGCCACGCCCTGTGGACTGAGTTGCCACTTCTACATACATTTTTGGACAGGAAGTTTCTTATGATAGGCCGGTTAGAGCGAAAACAAAGGTGCAGCCTGACTAGTTTCCTTGGTCGGATGATTGCCGGGGGTCTATGCGATCAATATTTTGGCTGTATTGCCCTCTGGTTTATCCGGGAGACACTGGAGACGCCTCGTGCCATTATTGAAGAGGAGGAAGACTCGGACGAAGACGAGTACGGGTCGTATAACCAGGAGGATGAGGCCAAAAACAATAAACGCCAAGCCAAAGAGAAGAAAAAGCACGATCAAAGCAAATATGATACCATGGACATGATCGAAAAGGAGTTTGCGAATCTGACACTCAATGACCTTCTATTTCCATGTATCACATTGTTTGCTACCTGCAGCAAAGCCCTTGCGGCTTTGAGTGTAAGCAAGCCCATTATTTGCGGGGCCGATAAGAATAGATTGACCAATATTGGAGAACTTGCTACAAATTTCGTCAAGGCAACGGAAGTAGGGTTCAGTGTCCAAAGATGGATGTTCTGGAAATCACGATTGAAGAAAATTGCTAACCTTGGAGTAAAACCGTTATCAGGCAGTGCACGATTGGCATTTAATCTTTTATGCAACTCAGGCCGATTTTCTGGAATCGAGCTCCCGGGTGACAAGGAGTTTATGAAGCGCTCGGTCGAGTACCTGTCCGAAGAGAGCACCTTGGTGGATTTGTTTAGTTCAGATCTAAATTGGATTGATGAGGAAATTTGCCCTTGAACAGTGGTGAACAGAGCTTGGTGTCCCATCCATATTTCTTCTGCAGCCCTGTGTCGTGGAGATGTTATATTTTTACTCTGTTTTATAGTTAGTCCATTATTGTTAGCTCAACATGATATTTGGATAGACGCGTTTAATGCATTCCGTCTACGTCAAGCTAAATATTTTGGATACACTGCATAGTAAGAGATGCTGGGAGAAAGCTCCCAAGATCCAGTACTCCAGACTGGAGGTGGCTGAGCCCAAGGAGTAGATATGTTGGTGGTACTGTATAAACTGTCATCCGCTCCTTGCGATGTAAGAAAGTATCATCTGCGGCTGATGCCAAGCATTGAAAGTCCAAACCTTAAAGGCAATAAGCTTGTTTTCCCGCTAACTTAAGCTTAAAGCATGAAGATGTTGGCATATTCAATCTCGGCGATTTGTGTCAATACATTATATTCAGAAAGGTAGTTTAATCAACCCGAGCAAATGAAATCACAGAGAGCTATAATTTGGTCAATATTTTCCTCCCATTAGTCAAATATTCTATCAGTAAGAGCCTGATGGAGCTGCTCTAGATACAAGTGCAGCCTCGATAGTTATTCGTACAACGACCATTTATCCCATTACACCCATTCTTATTACACTGTTGGAAGAAATTCCGGCTGCAGCCATATCCACATTGACATCCGACATATTTGCCCTTATCATCCATTAGATTTGTTAATTGCACTCCATGGGGAATAGGAAGCTTACAGAGTGGCAGATTAGTGATTTTTCGTCTCCATTACAGTTACTGTCCCAGCAGTTTCCGACGGGATATTTGCACTCGTTGGGGTGGGAGGTGGAGCTGCGATTAGGATAGGCTGATATGGCAGCCAGAGAGGCAAGACCAGTAATCAAAAATGTCAAGACGTGCATATCTGAGAAAAATGCGTGATCGTTATCGCTGTACGAGGGATAGATCGCTGCTTGAAGATGAAGACTTTGAACTGGCGACTTCGAAACAAGAGCGAAGGTGTTATTTATAACCAGTAAAGAGGCCTGCGGTAAGTAAATCTTTGACATCATCCATCACCCGGGCGCGTGCACAAGGAAAAATAGGAAGCCGTGCATCGTTTACTCCAAAAGGAGCCTTGCAGTGGCAGATGATACATCTTTGACTCCCGCCGGAAACATACAGATATTGGCTGAGGAAAAGTATTACCATACCTGCAATAAGCCGTTCAGGGAAATATAACCTTGTTGAATATGTACGGGATAGAAAGAGCATTTTTAATACAATCTCGGCCAAAAATAAGAAATTCCCAAAAAAAGGAATGGTATATAGGTATAATACAAAAGTAAGAAAAAAGAGTGAAATCGAGAGAAAGGGTCTAAGGCAGAAAAAGCAGTAAATAAAAGGAATATTAATATACTGCTCTTCCTTCATCCCATTTCTTGCTTTCTCTCCTAAGTCCTGAGTCGGGAGAATGTACAACATTCTCGGAAGAAGGTGAAAGCGAAAATTTGACCTTTGAGCTCTCTCGACGAACAACCGAGTCATTCGCAACGCCGCTTACACCACCAATCCATTCCCATACTCTGGAGACGTCTCCACCGCGGCCTTCACGGACGGAAGCTCTAACATTGGCATTGCCTTCAACGATTGCTCGAACATGCTTCCACAGCCTCTCACGGCGACTGCCTCGTAATTCGTCACGCAATACGTCATCACGTAGCTGTCCAACGGATATCCAGGGTTCTAATGCCTCACCGCGTGCATGTAGAGCGGCCTGTGTAGCAAGCCTGTCAAGTGTCATACCAACTAAAGATGGAACGCGAGCAGCATCACTTCGTCCGGCTAGGATACGTGATCGGATATAAGCAGCCAGTAGGCAACACAAAGTTATAATGAGAATAGGGAGTCGATACGCGAGGAGAGAGAGTCTGAGGTGTCTTCGGATGGAACAGGTGAAGGAGAGCTTTGCGAGGGATGTGGATGCGAATCTGAAATCTGCACTGGACGATGGACTGTGGGTTCGTACGCGGTTCTGTTAGTGTTGAAGCATAGCACGTCAATAGCTGGACATTATAATTGAAAGCAGTAGAAAACACTGAAATGCCACGCTGGTTGGGCGACATGCTGAAGTCGTGGTATGGAAAGAATAATGGAAAAACGGGGGAAAAAAAATTTCATTACTCACCCTGTGCTGACAACAACTTCTTCACGCCCAGTTATCTCGCCGATTGAGGAATCCCACAGACTGTCAAATTCTTCTTCGCTCAATCTTCCCTTCCTCCTCAAACTGCCTACTTTATCTCGAAGCTCGGAAGCAGTCATCTCTGGTGTAGACACCACGTCGTCGGTCTCCTTGTCGGATTCACCGCACTCGAACTTCGCTCGTTGGGTTCTCAACTCGTCAATAGCTTTATCTGCAACCACCTTGACACGCCGAGCCTTTTCACCATCAGCCTCGCAAGTGGGAGGCAAAGGTATGAGGCCACCTAATGACAGTGGATGAGCCTTAAGAACAAAGCCTTGTTCACATCCAGCTTCAAAATTAGGATAACAGAAAGCATGTTGAGGACAAGTTTCGCACTGTGGTTCAATGATATTTGCCCAAGTTGGCACATTTGTGTCTTCTAAAGACCAATGTGTCTTTCCAACGCCGCAATATCCTATTTCGATCTTTTCTTTCCGCCACCAGAGTCCAAAGCCACTCAGCAGCGTTAAAATCACAAACCAAGATGCAAAAATTCCGCTGTTACTCTGTCCAGTTTGAGATCGGTCCCTCAATACAGATCTTCGTCTCCCATTGTACGCCTGCTCCTGGTCCAACGCTAGCTGTTCATCAGGTGTGAACTCTTCTCCAGGTTCAATATCGGACGACTCCTCAAATCGTGGCACTCCCTCAACATGAGAGATCGGTGACGTGAATGTAGATCGCGTGGGAACCCGTATATCCTCTTCTTGTTTCACCCTAGCGGGTGTCCGAACTTCAGATCTGCGTTTTCTCCTCTCTTCAACTTCTGACAATCGACTTATACCGCTTTTCCGCCGGTATTCTGAGCTCGGAGACCTGAATTGGGGACTATTTGGTGGAGAGCTGCCGCCCTGGAAAGGATTGTCATCGGTGAATGGAGTATCCGCGGTATACTCACTCTTGACAGCTGTTGGGGTCTCGAAATTTTCGTAGTGAGATGCGTGGGGTGTTAGATAAGCCTCACTCTTTCTCGACTTCTTTCCACTTGGCCGTACTGGAGTAGCCAGAGGGGTATCGTCGTGGTTCTCCGGCATGTCAGTATCCGACGACCGCGGATGTTTGCTTGCGCCTCTCGTTGTTCTTTTTGCTGCAGAGAGAGGAGAAGTGGCCCGATATTCTGATTCAGCAGTCGACGCCCTAGTACTCGATCTTGTTGCTCTCGATCTGCTTCTCTGACGCCTGTCAACTGTCTCAGGCTCCTCCTCTGGCTCACCGCCGGGCTCCCCGTTGTATGGCATGTTTGTTATTCCCCTGCTTGTCCTTCGAACGCGATCCCGCTCACGCAACAATTTCTTAGCTTGCGGGATAACTTCACTTTCCAGAATAGCAACTAGCTGGGATTTTTTTGCAGATGCCGGATATGAGATATCATGGTTCACGAGAATAGATCGAAGTCGCGGCACTGTCAGCGTATTTAAATCGAAACCCGGTTGAAGATAGTAGAGCTCATCGCTTGTATCCGAGTTCGACGCCATAACGAAGGTAGGGGATCCGTAGAAACACGGTATCTAGCAAAACCAGCGTATTCGTAACGCCCTCGCTGTATCTGGGGCCTCTATCAACCTGATCAGAAGTTGCAGCGTTTTTTCTTCTGGTGATGGAAGTTGTGTAATATTTGTCAACTTCTATGGTCTCCTAGGCAACCACTAAGCGTGTTGAGAGGGGCATCTGCCGCCTGGCAAGAACTTCTCACACAGCAGAGACAAAGAGAGCCATGTAATAAGCGTCTCTCTCCTTTCAAACCTCTTTCATTCCCTTCCGATATTTCAAAGTCTCCATATCAGATTTTGAACGACGTCGTTCGGGCTTTTCTTGCGGCGAAACCAAAAACAGGAAAACAAACACGATCACGTGACAGAGTCGCCACTCTTGATTACATCAGCCTAACGCGGGAAATATCCGCTTATATAAGCATATTTTTCCCATCGAGAATGAAAAAGGCGAAGACGAGATGAGACGAATAAGACAATGTAGAAGGTTGACTATAGACAGATGAGCATGATAATTATTTGCCTCTTGTTGTATTCAACAACGCCTTACCCCGTTAAACCACTGTATACAACTCGCAGCCGGGAAAGAAGTAGGAAACTGAATAAAATACTGGCAAAAAGCGAAAAAGGAAAGGCGTAGCTCTCAGGGGAAAAAGGCTGAGCAAGTATGATAAACCATAATTCATCCCCTCTCTCGTTGATCTCCGTAAACTCCAGGCGTGTAAAACAAAGTCCACAGTCCCCTTAACCGCAGTTGCTGAGTATACATGAAACAGGCATGAAGGAAATCGAGAAATAATAATAACAATACACAAGATATTTTTGGCGGAAATGAACAAATATGCAAGTCATAGATGAGGAAATAGATATGCCACGCGAGGGGTATCGTGGGAAAATTGAAGTAAATATTCCAAATATCATTTTGGGGCTAGATGTGGAGGAGCAGCAAGGTTGATGGCGGATGATTGGGCGGATGAAATCGTTGATTCTGGTACTTCGACAGAGTAGCCACTCGGCGGAGGCGTGGTGGGAGCACCGGTGAGATTCATCTGAGTCTTGAGTGCTTTGAACTCTGCGAGTTGGGATTGGAGTTGTTGTAGGATGTCAGACATGGGAACGGCATGGTCGAGGAGGGTATCGTTCGGTTTGAAAGGCTGCATCATAGTTCTGATCGTGAGAGTGTTGGTGCAGGTCTGGAGAATAAGGGTTAGTTATAGGTCCGTGTAATGTACATGCTAGATGCCTCACCTCTATGCGTGCTACTTGATGTTCAAGTAATTTCATAACAGCAGCATCATCAATCTCATCACCTCGGGCCTTGATTGCATTGATGATTTGCAAATCAGGTTCAAGTAGCATGCTGCCACCGGGGTTCTCAAGGGTACTACAAAACGCCTCCAAGCGAAGAGCTATCCTGAGGAGTTGCCAGAACATATCTGCATCGATATTCAAGGTAGAGTTTTTGCCTAGAGTTCCTGCAGAAGATGCTTCGCCAGATGCCACCATGTCTGGCTGGACAGACAGTCGCCCAGACAGGGCATGTGGGTATAGCAGGTATACTGACTCTGGGTTCTCAAGGCCTTTTAATTTACGTTCGCCAAGATCTTTAACTTCAAAACCTTGTGTGCTCAACTGGTAAAGTTCGCGGCGGGTAGCTTGACCCAGTGCCTCGTCTCCAAATGTATCCTCTGACGAATCCGAGTTGGTGCGCTCGTAATCTGCAAAGGCTTCCAGGGTCCTCTCCATCTCAGTAACGAAGTCGGCTGAAACAAAGATCTGTCCACCATCGGCTACAGCCGAGATTCGAGAAGCACGATTTACCATTGGTCCGAAATAGTCCATTCTGCCGGTAACTGGGTCTTTTTCACAAAGCGGCCGGCCCCAGTGCATACCCATTCTGACGGACAATCCCCTGTAAATAAGGTTGCCATCATCATCATACGTCTCACGGCAAGAAGGCGTCTGAAGTACTTCTGTCGGCCAAGGAGCTTCTAGAAGTTGCATCTGGCAAGTGAAACACCATAGTAGTGCTGCAGTGGCGGTTGAGAATGATACCATAAACGCATCTCCCTCTGTCTTGACTTCAAACCCTCCAATGAGTCGCAATTGCCGCCGGAACAACTCATTGTGTATTTGAATGGCAGATCTCATAGCAAGGGGATATGTCTCCCAAAGGGAAGTGGACTGCTTGATATCAGTGAAGACTATAGCAAGTTCACCCGTAGGAGCTTCCACATGGCCCAATCTTGCTAGGGTAGAATCACTAGGGATATCACGGGCCCTCTTTGCGCGCTTGGTAAGAGGGAACATATGTTCGTCATTGAGCGGCGAGGGTCTTGATAAGCTGGTGCTTCTAAACTTGCTGCGTTCTCGTCGCTTGAGATCATTGACACCAGCGATCATCACCATAAGCTTGCTTGTAGCGCCATACGAGATCGCCAAATCGCGAATCTTTTGTGAAGCAATCATCAAATCAGTCCGTTCGGATCTCGCTACATCAACAACCACATTCGGCGTCACATAGTCCCACAACTGCCCAGATGCAAGGATAATCATCTCGTCCTGAGACGTGAGTGTGACTTTCACCGTGCTCGGAGCCGCGATAACAGCAGGCACCAGGTGGAAGTGTCCAAATGCTCGCGAAACCGATAGCTGGTCATTTAGTTTTCCATTGCGAGAAACATAGCCGCCGGCTTCTCTAATTCGTTCTCTCTCAGAAGCTTCTGCAGGATCATGGTTTTTCGTAAGATACTTGAATTGTCCATTACCTTGGACTAACAGGGCCTGGGCATCGCCAACGTTGGCAACAAAAAGCTCCATGTTCTGCAAGTACAGGACAGTGGCAGTGCCACCTGAAAAAGCATCCTCACGGTTAAGCAGCTTAGCGGCAGTAGGGTTGCGATCCCAGTGACGCGACTCTTTATCGTCCACAGGTTTGTAAGCAGCGGTAGCCATATCCTTATTGAGAGCCAAAAATGTTCTCCGTAAGGCATCCTCTGGTGTTTCTCCATTTTGTTTGCGAAGCTTCCCTAGTTCCTCCATAAATGTAGCTGTGAAGTTTTCATGCAGGAACTTTGCAATCTTTGAACCCCCACCCATTGACGGCTGGCCATCAAACAAACCAATGATTGTTTCCATGTCACTACCCCTGAAACGTGGGACGACCATATCAATCATGGATAGATGCTCATTTTTGCCAAGACTATCTGCAAGGCCATATGCAATGCATCCTGACAAAGAGGAGGAAGTTCGCACACGCCTATCCTCGGTTTCTTCAGGAATGGTTGGTATAGTGATGGTAACGTCCATCAAACCGAGAACACGTATGTAACTTAAGGAGCTGAAATCTGTCAAGTCTGTCGATGGGGTTCCGTCAGTACTTGGCGTATAGGCACTAGACGGGTTGATTCCAAATCGTTTATTTCCAGAGAAGTTAAGGTATCTCAAATTATGATTCCAGTTCCAGTTCCAATCATACGGCCAGTTGGAGATGTTATACTTGAGCGAGTTGCTTCCAACGTCCAGCACAGCAAGTTTGTTTATCTTGCAGAGTTCCGCAGGAAGGACCTGGAATTTATTGCCGTTGAGATGGAGGACCTTTAGATGGCTTGACTCTTCCAAGTCGTCGGAAGGAAGAGAACTCAACTCGTTTCCAGACAGATAAAGCTCAGAGAGGTACTGCAAGCGCCGAATAAACCCCGGAGGCAAGTCAGTTAAACCATTGTAAGATAGATTCAGCACTCTCAGCTCTGTGAGTAGCGCGATTTGATGGAAGATGTCATCTTCAAGCCGATTATCAGCTAGGTAAAGCTGTCTGAGCGAGCTGGCAAAGGTACTAGCTATCCGTTGCGAAAATGTGGAATCCTTCCTTGACTCAGCAGTTACGCGGGAAGCATTTGACGATTTCCTTCCGCCGGGCGAACTCATTGATGGTATTGAACCTTTTCTAGTTGAGTCTGGAGGTGTGCCAACCTGTAAACGACCGGTAGAAGCATGGCTTGGCCGTCGGAAATCATATTCTTCACCCCTTCCGCCAACATCATCATAGCTATCAGCGCGTAGCAACGGGGTGCCCATTGGAGTTAAATTATTGGTTGCTTCGGACGGCGGGAGAGGTGGGGAGGAAGCTGGCTTTGGGAAAATTTCCAGGACATTGGATGAGACGTTTAGGCTCTCCAATTTAAGACAGTACCAGATCTCAGCTGGAAGCCTGTTAAGGTTGCATTCTCGCAGATTCAGGCTCTTGAGCTCAGTCAGACAGCCTATTGATGCCGGTAGAATAGAAAGAGGGTTCTTTGCCAGGTTAAGGTGCTCTAATTTCTTTAGAGAACCGATATTAGGTGAAAGGGTAACGAAATGGTTAGTATTTAGAATAAGTTTGGTTAGGTTAGGGACGTTGGCGAATAGAGAGTCCCTGAATTCGACCAGCTTAGCCGACGCTATATTTAGAGAATGCAACGTGGGTAATGGTGATGTGATGTCGAATTCGGTGACGGGACAGTGGTCCAGCACCAATGTCCTTAACCTAGGGAAGGACCCGGAGAAAGCAGAGACAGCGTTATGGCCAACGAGTAGTGTTTCCAGCCTGGGGAGAGAGGCCATGTTATCGATGGAGGTGATGTTGTTAAACCGTGCATCAACTTCCTTGAGCTTGGTCAAGCCCTTAAAAGTTTCGACTAGCGGTCCGCTCAGGCTGTTATTTGTAACCCAGAGTCTTTCTAAGGAAGTAAATTGGCCAATGGTGGGCAAATCCTCGATCTGATTAAAACTAATATCCAAGTCGACCAAACTGGTAAGATTTCCCAAAAAGTCAGGAAGAGCACGGAAGTTATTGGAGGAGAGATTCAGACTGCGCAATGACGGGAAATCCCAGAAGTTGGCAGGTAAGCTCGACAGCTTATTGTTCGCCATCTTCAAACTGACTAGGCCTTTCAACTTGTGTAGATTAGCGTGTTCAAGCTTTTCCAGTCGGTTGTTGGATATGTCGAGGTACGTCAGGCGAGAAGCAAGACTGAGACTGGGGGGAAGTTGCCAGGCTTCATTGCTAGTGAATCTAATTTCCCGTAAGTTAATACAACTTTGGATGAAATCCTTGGGGACATCTAGGGCCAAATTCTTCGAGAGGTTCAGGGAGATAATTTCCGATGCCTTTTTATATAGCTTCAGGGGTATCGTGGCCACACTTCTCCCTTCGAGGTCAACATGGCTGTATTTCTGGTTATCTGTGAAGCCAAGTTCAGGGTCAAGATTTGAATAAACGCCTAGCTTAGTAGGGAGAAAGGTGAAACGGCATATATAGCTGTTGTCTTCACGACCTATCTCAGTGATACGGTCGGACATGTGGTAACCGACTTGTTGGAGAAGACGTTTTTGCATCAGGATAGGGCGTTCATTAGGCTCCAGGGTTCGACTGAGATCGTTTTTCCGCATCACGATTTCATAATTATTGAGATCCTCTTGTAAAAAGGACTTGCGACCCAACATCTCCAGCAACTGAGTAACGGTGGTGTTTAAGCCAGCAGATAGAGTCGCGAAGGTTGAGTCGATACGGAAAACACGTATACAGAACGGGTGGCCGTCCTCATCAACTTCCTTCTCCGGGCCAGGGTCAGCCACACTGGATAAGCGCGTTCCAGTATCCTCCGTTGGCCTTTTAACTTGCCAGCTATCAGGAGGATGCCAATCATCAGTACCAATAAGGTCCAGAGGAGCGATGGTCTCTCCATTGGCAGGGAATGGTTTTGCGCCTCCGAATATGCCAACACTTGTGTCTGTTGGAGATATGGCGTCCGGTTGTGTTACTATGCCCGACATGTCACCCAGATTGGTATCAAGGAAGACCTGGTTACTATCAGCCTTATTCCGGCGATCCCTTGCGCCCTTCCCATCTAGAAGTCGGCGACCATGTCTAAGCCGACTAGGCCCTATTGCAGACAGGGCCTTACTAGTTGTGCCTTCTTTTTTGCGGTCAAGGTCGTTATTTTCTCGCGAAGTCGACTCTGAACTGCCCTTTCTGCCACGGAGAATGGAACCGGGCTCGGAAGTAAAGTAACTAGCAGCCTTAGCCATATCCTGGACAGATTTTGAGGGTGAGGGCAGGTTCTTGAGAGAGTTGGAGGTAGCTTTGGGACGGCGAATACGGTCGAATAGAGATCTTTTGGGCGCAGAAGGGTTGGAGGATTGATCGCGCGCATCTCTCGGGTTGAGGCTCCGTGTGCTAGGCGTAGGGCTGGCAGAACGACCGCCGAGTGTAGTAGAAGAACTCATTGGAGTCGGAGCCTGCAGGCTGTGCTCTCTCGACTGTCGCATAAGGGGCGGGATTTCATCACGACCCGAAGCAGGTCGCGGCGGGAGCGGCGTGCTGATGTTGGCAGTATTGGGCGGCGGGTCTTCCTTGCTCTGCGTATGGCGGTGGCCGGTGAGGTGAAGACGATGAGTCGGACGAACCTTGGGCGCCGGAGCCGGCGGCTGATTCTCAGAGGGATCAGTAGTGGGAGCTTGCCTGACAGGAGCTTCACCCAGATTGGGGATATCTCTGAAGTTCTGGTATTCCCAAGGAGTAACTTCGCTGGAAGGTATGGGGGTTCGCGGGCGAGCGGGATCAGGGGAAGCAGTTCGATCGAGACTTAATGAGTTGGTGGATCCCTTCCGCGCTCTGCCCGCAGAGCCCGTCCGTGGCCTCGAGCTTGACAGTCGACTAGACGATCTCAGCGTTGTTGGAAAGGAAAGGTCTTGCTGTTCGAACTCGTCGCCAAATATTCCCTGGAGGCGCTTGTGGAATCGCCCTCCGTGGGAGCGAGACCCTTGGCTACCGACGGTGGTCGCACTGGCTACGGAGGGCCGTCGAAGGCTGTCTCCATCGTCCTCGTCCTCGTCCGGACGAAGATTATTTGACCGAGAAAAGGGGTCGAATGAAGTCGACGGCGGTAACTCAGGGGAGTCGTGGTAGAATGTTCGCTTCTGTTGCTGCGGTTGCTGTTGCTGGTGGTTTCCATCGGACGGCAACATGGGCGACGACGTAGCGCTAGGGCCATCATGACCAACACGGCCAAGGGCCATCTTCGGATTGGCGCTTTTTCCGGGACAAAATGTGAGCTCGACAGTAACTAGCCCCTCAATGCAAAAAAGGAACAGGGAAACCCGAAGCTAGACAAAACCCTGCGCAGTCAGACAGCTATCACAGTTGTCCGTCAAAGCGCCAGGTGTCGCCAGATTGTCCAACTCGATGTCGGCGTATGGAACATGCGAGGCCCGCTCCAAACCGGCGGGCTCCAAGGGCCGGTGGCATTCGACGAGAGAACGAAGCTAAGAGAAGCTTGTCAAGGCGATGAATTTGGGCGTAGCAGGCGAGTAGTTAAAGAGAGCAGCAGTGCGATGGACAAGGACGGCGCGCACAGCCGCAGAGGTAACTCGCTGAGCTGAAAGGGAAGCAGTTTCGCACGGAGGGCTGCGGCCCGCAAACAGACGAGAGCGCGCCCGACGCCAGGGCTGGCTGGATCGATCTTCTTTCTTCTGTCTCGCCGCTGCCTTTCTGCTTTGATCTGTCACTCTGTCACTCTCGCAGGTGGGCGCAGGAGGCAATACAGTTCGTCGTTGACACTAACTAGACGGTCGATCTCTCTTGTTTGCCTCTCACACCGGGACGGAGGCGTTGGCCTGGCTGCATAGCAACCTTTTTAGCATCAACAGGGCGCCTGGCCAGCGGTCTCCAGCTCGAAAAACCTTCAGCTGTCCTATCAGAGCGCTCTCCAGCGTGCGACGACGGCGGGAATCTGTCGGGATGTTGTTTGTTCGTCGTTTGACGTCGTCGAACGGCGACGTCGATGTCGCTTTTTTGCCTTTTTGGGGCTCTGCTCACGTGATTGCGACAGTCAGCAACGGACGAAACAGGAAAAAGTCGACGTCGAGGCATCAAAAGGGCAGACAGCGAGGCGAAGACGGGGGACGACGGCGATGTAAAACGGCAGAAGTGGTGCTGGGAACATGGGGAACGTGGACGTCGACGGCAAGATCGAAGTGATCAGGGCAGAGCGCGGCACGGAGAGCCCCCCACAGGAGCTCTGCGCCCTGAAACAGCTCCACGACGACTCCAGTTTGAGATCTCTCGCGTTTGTTTCATCGAGATCCCCATATGCCATCCTCCTATACCCAGGGATATGGAAAGACCAGTGCAGATACGTCATGGATAAGAGGGTGGCTATCCAAGTTATGGCCGTTTCTCTCCACCCGTTGCGCTGAGTGCGATCTTGGCTTTGGCAGCTTATATATCCCTTTTGCCATCCAGGAGCAACGCAATGATAATATTGTTACTTTCGCGATATTAGCCTCACAGAAATGGAGCTAGCTTTATAACCCGTCATTATCTAGACGAAACATGACCTTCCCGTATATACTCTGGTAAGCTCCCAGAACGGCCCGAACGGAACAGCGACGGGACCGGCAGCACTGCAATTGTTTCGCCTTGTCTGATGACAAAGATCCATACTTCAACTGCGCAGCTATCGCGTCTCTGAATTTACGTGAGTGCCGCCGACCCCTTGGATACAAGTAAGTTGGACAAAAGAGAAGTTAAAGCTGGTATCTTTAATACCTGATATATTATTCATAATTTTACTTCTCTAGAGGTCTACTACTCCTTCACCTCCAGCTTCTTGATAGCTTCGTTGACATTCTCTCCTACCGAAGCCTTGGCACTAGCTTCGCCCTCCACTGATCCATCTGGTTGGGCGGTAATATTCTTCGCACCACCAGGGTACCTATTACCCTTGTCCTTTGGCTTCTTCTGCTTTTTCTCGGGTGCAGGAGGAGGCGGGTAAGCCTTCTTTGCTAACTCTTGCCACTCAGGGTCTGCGGCATATGCGGCCTGGATTGGTGCAAGAATTTTATTCAACGCAGTTGTTATGGAGTGTTTGAGAATTTGAGGTGTTAACTATACCATTAGTCGAGGACATCAAATAAAAAGGGCAAAAGGGCAAAGAGAGAGATACTCACTTTATCAGCCTGGTAATCGGCCTTGACAGCTTCGATAGAATCGTACACTATTGTGCCACCCTCTTCCTCACTCCTTTCGACAATAAAGGCACCCTTACCATCTGCGTTCTCCAGAGCGCTAACAGGAAGGAGGACATATTCAACAAAGCTAATCATCCCATTACCCTCGGTCTCCTTGGGTACCGCATAAGCTTTGCGGATCTTCTTCTTAACAGCCTCAGCGGTATCAAGAATGTCGATCTTTGAATCCGGATCGGAGGCAGACATCTTCCCGCCAGCCAATCCAGGTACCATCGGGTTCATCAAGTGTGCTCGTTCCTTATACCCAATGCGCGGCAGCGTTTCCTGAGCCAAAGTGAAAATCTTCCGCTGGTCAACACCGCCGAACTGCGCATCAACGTCTAAATGCTCCTCGTCCAGAGCCTGCATGAGTGGATAAATCAATCCAGATAATGGCGCATTGTCGACTTGCTTCACGACCTCTGCACCGGCCTTTTTGGCATCATGCTCAGTCACCATGCTGCTTAGACGGAATATGTCCATCGTATATTTTGCCGAGAGCTGGTACGAAGATCCCAGCACGAACTCGAGCTTCTCGAGAGGTACGTGTATGGCCTTGAGCATAGCCGTTATTACATAGCGGTAGTAGTCGGCACGGAAGTTGACAAGCTCAATGGGGGCTTTGAGATTGTCGAGAAAGCCGTGGATGTCGGCCAGCAGGATCTTGACGTGACATCCTGCCCGGAGGAAGTGCGCGATCTTTACAATGGGAACAAAGTAGCCGCAGTGCGGTCGACCGGTGGTAGCAGTCCCTAAAGATTGTCACACATCTTAGCAAGGTATTCGCTGAATTCTGATATTCTCTTATCTGCTATGCTCGTTCTTATGACTCGTGTGAGTGGGGTTTCGCGTCGCACCTAGGTAGATTTTCAGGGGTCTGTTCTGCTTGACGATTACATCCTCAAGGATTTCTGGCTTGAGAACCTCCTGTAGGTTCTGTGTGATCAGCTTGATCTTCTCCTGCGGCGTTAGTTCTGACCCCATGGCTGTGCGCTGTTCTTGATCTGATGAATCTTCGACTTTGCTCGCTTTCTTCCTAATAACATTTTTCGCGGGGGGAGATTGCTGAGTAATTAGTCACGTGCAATAAGTCTCGATCGCTTAGTCATCTACACAAAAAAGTTCCGAAAAAGGAACCTTGGAAGGCTTTGCCTTTACACATTTAGTCCGCTGTTGATGCCTTGGATGCGCCAGGTCTAGAGATCCTCTAGACACGTTGGTGATCTCTGTACGCATATAGAGGAATTGATACCCATGTTTTGATGCCGGGTACAGGGATAACGTGTCAACGTACAGCTGCATTACCTTCAGTGGAAGAGACCATCCATCGCATATACTCGAAATGGATAATCCGAGCGAACCATTTTTATCATGCAGCATTGTGACAAGCAACCCGGAATCCTCCCCCGGCCAGATGAGAGGGAACGTTGCTCTTGACTCGCCTATTTTATGTTAAATGAGCTTAGCGTGGCGTCATGCATGTAGAGGATGACATGAGTATTGAACATTGGAAATACCCTATAAAGCCTGGTGAACTCCTTCATTGCTCAACCCATAAGTTTCTTGGCCATCACATCGATCATATAACCCCAAGATCCAAGATGAATTTCTCCCTACCAATCTTACTCGCCGTCGTGGCGTCCGTTCTTCCCAGGATTACAGCTCTACCTTATCCAGTCGAAGGAGACATATCTACTTTACAGTCATGCTGGATTGCATGTTGGGATGCAAGCATCACCTGCCCCAAGATACAGCCTGTAGGTAACCCGGTTAGACTATCCCTGGTATTGTTTAATAGACGTCACTAATGATATTGCCTTACTACAGTATCCAAAACAAGATGGGGTAGGTTAACTACTGCCATATCTCCAGTCCATCTGGCATTAATGGCTAATAAACATATATAGATGTGCTGGACTTGCTGTAGGGAACCTGTCAACTAAAGGGGAACCTCTATTAGTGGAGCATGCACGCATTTTAGTTCAAATTGAACCCCCTGAACAATTTTTTTGTTTTCCTTCCACTGAGCCAAGTTTATAAATACTTTCGACGGTCTGGTAAATACCTATTTTATTCAGATACACTCTACGAAGGGTGTAGTGCTCGCTAAGGTTGCTCCTTGAGAAGTACTTATTACAATTGGTTCCTATTTCAACATTTGGCTGCGCTTCCCGTCTTAACTAAGATATCCCTTAGTCTATTGGTTGAGCTCCGGCATTACTTCGAGAACTGAACAATCTGCCCAACCATTGGAGGTCTCACGATTATGATAGAGGTATTTCATCCAGGTGCGGATTTGAAAGATCACTATGGCAATACGGGACATTGATTTCGACCTAGTCAACGAAAGACTCAAAAGTGTTCTTCATTGGGAAAGATCTTGATATCCCCGGCCCATAACTGTCTGACTAATCTCAGGCTATTCTCTTAGCTGGGCTATCGGAAATGGTTTCGTTGCGAACAGGGTCATATTCCCGAGCTTATATTTGCCTGGGCTTGCTAAGCGGAGTTGTGGCATGTGCTTTCCTTGCATACACTGATTGCAAAGTCAACCCATGGATAACGTCTTCGTGTATATTGAAGTCAGCGGTGGCCCATCGATATCCTGGATGGCTGTTTCACTTCCACGGTCTCGAAGGGGTGATATGGCATATGTGGGGGTAGAAACGGGCTAGCAAGATGACAAAATGACCTGCGTGCCATGCGAATAGGGGATTACGCCAGCACTCCCAGAGCCGTCTCAGGGACCACTACCAATCCAAATCCCAATCGATTATGACGCTTTTAATCCTGAAGACGTGTCAGCGTCACAGAATGCTATGCGGAGCACGTTCGGTGTCTCCACTTCGAAGAATACCCCGCGAATGAAAAGGAAATGTACCGCCACGAGCGATTCGATGTTGAGAGTACACTATAAATGAAGAAACTTTACGCTGAGACGCTGAGCTTGATGCTAGGGCCGACAGATCTTTTTGTAACAGCGGGTGTCGAGACTTTGATTAATCACTGTCACACTATAAAAGCAACGCTGCTTAGCTAGTTACTTAGCGGCAGCGGAATGATGATGATAGTGGTATTTCTGACAGTCACACACTATCCCGTCGAGACCTCATGTGAACCTGGGATATGTGCACTCTATTCAAGAGTTCGCGATGATGACGATCACTACGTTGAGCCAGATGCGGAACTGTGGCAGATGAAGACGTATATTCGTCAACCGTGTTAATACTAAGTTGGCTGCTTCATAGGCTTTTTGGTGAAACGTGCAGAGCGGCTATTTAGTTAGCCGCCGGGAAGTCAAAAGTGTGGGGCGGGTATTTTCCTAGTTCGATCAAGCTAACAAGTTAGTTTGGCCGCCGAAACAAAACCTAATCTTTATCCATTGCCCATGCTCTATTCCTTTTTGAGCTCTTGTATCCCCTCTCCCATGAAGGAGAATATAAAGGACCAGAAGTATTAATTTTATCCTAAGAAGCCCAAGGATATCAGTTTTTTTGGGACGAGCACGGAAGAAATGATCTAATTTGGAACCAGCCAAGGTGTCATCGATCATTTTCTCTAACCCCATATTAGTATTTCCTTCGATAGCCGGGCCCTTCATTCTTACTTGTGTATTAGCGTGCACAAACATCCAGCAGTGGCTCTCTGAGAAACTTGAGAGTGGGAGAGGGGAAACGCCTTGATTTGACCAATCGTTTCGAATTTTGCTCCAATACTTGGGCTTTGGAGGGGTTTCTTCACTAGAACTGGCATAGCTAGTAAGTAAAGTATATTCCGCGGTCAGCGATAGATTGGTATAGTTTCAGACTGCAAGTCGAGGTATTGGAAGACTTGGTAGTACGGAGTAGGCCTAACTCTATTGCTCTTCGATGGAGACCTAGCACGTCTCATTCTGGCGTCTGGGGAAGATATCTACCATAGCAACAGGCAAATATAATTATTTTATTCGATTGACAGGATGGCAGCATGGCCGTCTGCCTGTGGCTGGCGTAACTCTTGTTGGATGACATCAGCGTGATGCAGACATGTACAGGTGGGTTGGTCATACTTGGGCAGTTGCATTGCTGTTTACTCATGGATTACGAGGTGAAAGGGCGCGGGAAGTCGTTGATGCAGGGTGTTCAAATATTCATCAACAATAAATCCATCGCGATTTTGCGGGCAAGATGGACTTTTTGGAGACGGGTTACATAATCATGAGCTACCATTACTCAAAATTCTATTGGCTGATATTTTTAAAAAAGTGTAATAATGAATTTAATTTTTAAATACCTGCAATTTGATTGGCTAAATCTTGTTAGTCCTTCATACCAATAACGATAATAAATATCTAGTTGATCTTAAACTATTGACACTTGACGTTGTGATTTGATATTGACTGCTATCGCTTACTCTCATGGCTTTTCAATGGATGTGACTGGTAATATAGTTATTTTCCTTTTCGATGAGAACAAATGCACCGTATTTGTGCGGGCGAGGCTGGGGAAGAAGGTTTCTTGGGCAGGCAGAAACGTCAATATATATGTGTAACAGACTAGACACCGAAGTAGTGATCTAAGCGAGGAACAGAGATGCCACTCTCGCCGTCTTACCATGTGCGAAGCCTCCGCATAACTGAATGTGGAGCTGAAAGTACGCTCGTACACAACAGCAAGCAGTTCATGGCTAGTCTTGCTAGCGCAGATCTGGAGATCGGCGGCAATGAGCAGAAGGTGAAGCAAGAATACCTCGCTATCATCACTGACGCTGAGAAAGAACGGAAGATGATATACTGGGTTTTCGAAGCTCTGGAAGACGAAATAGCTAGGCTCGCGCCTTTTTCTTCTCATGAAAAGGCTTCGTTCTCGGTGCAGAGCTATTATAGGCCCGAGGCTGGTTTCATCTATAAACTGGTTAACAAAGACGGATACTTGACTCCGATACCACTGCCTGGCGATACAGTGAAGAATGTTGACTGTTCGGGAGTGAAGATAAGTGAACTAGCCGAGTCCCGGCAGAACGTCCACTTGATCGATACATCCAAAGTCGAGATTGTTCCGTCTCTAGTACCATCTTCAGATAAAGTCAAGCTAGATGGGAAAGAGTATTCCTTCAAACATGTCCGAGACTCCCATTGCTTCGACCGCGAATTAGGCATCCTTCAAAAGCTGGTCTCACTAGGTCTCAACAAGCGACTACGTGTTCCAACATTGTGCGGAGTAGTAGCTTACTCTGACGAGCAGGACGTCATCTGCGGCATTCTGCTAGAGCCTATTGGGTCGAAGGGTTGGTTGGGCACGACCGAGTCTGAGGGCTTCTCCAACGAACAGCGGGTGAAATGGATGGCTCAGATTGGAGAAGTGGTGAAGCAGCTGCATGCTCACGGCATCATATGGGGGGACGTGAGACCAGAGAATGTACTGATTGACAAGACAGACAATGCATGGGTTACTGGATTTGGGGCCAGTGAGAGCCCGCGGTTCGTGGATGGAGGGATGATTGGCACTGTGGAAGGGGATATGCAGGGTCTGGCGAAAATGAGAGATTATCTTGGGTATTTGTCATGATGATAGTCAGCTTAACTGACGAGATGTCGTATAAAGAGTCAAGTTCTGACTGCCGTAAGGGAAATTGATCTGTGATGGAGCGTGCGGAGAGAAGTATACAGATCATAGATCGGACGCTCCGCTGGAACCCGATGTTGGACAGCATATGTGCAACAACCAGTCAGTCTCCAGCCTCTCCCACCCCTTCTCGAAAAAAAAAAAAAAGTAAAGTAAAGAAGAAAAATAAAATAAATTAATCTTCATATCCCGCTGCTGTAACATGGCCAAACTATGAAGCCGAGATATGAAGTCGAGATAAGGGAGCGTACGGAGTAGGTGCCAACCTTGCAGCCATGCTATCAGGGCAAGTTTGATTCGGCGTCAATGGCAAACTGTGCAACATCGCAATGACAGCAAGCTTCTCAGCTTTGCATATGCTCAGTTTCTCATCTCCTCGGCTCTGATTACCATCCCGTTGGCTGTCTCACCGATGACATACAGTTTTTCCAGATATACGGGAAGGAAGAGAGAGAGGGAGAGAGGGAGAGAGGGAGAGAGAAAGTCGAACCATCTGCATGACCAATCCTTCTGCGGCCTGTCTTACTCCTTCATCTGCCGCTGTCTTGCATCACCCCTTAGCAGCGCTCCGTTCTCTCCTCCTTTTCATCTCCTTATCAGCACTCAATAAACAGAGGTTTGAGGCGGCAAACTATTCAGCGTCCGCAGGAGATGCTCCAAGACACAGTCTCACAATCAGGATAGTTGCAAGTAGCCGGATGTCTAAAAATAAAAATGGCTATCGGAAGCCGGCATTGCGCTAGTCAAGCTCCTCCAGCCAGACCCAGAGTAAGAGACTGATTAACTTAACGAGCTAGCGCTGAATGCCACCACGAGAGGCTCGCCTGAGAGTAATAATGCGAGCTCCTTACTAGTCGGTACCTTGCATGAAATAGTCGAGCAGGCCGTGCAGCCAGGCGTATTCTGAAGGGGCCCAGCCTTTATGCCACTGCTCGCCTGAGCTTCTCTCCTTCTCGCTAGTTAGTCAACTAGCTGCGTTGGATGTCTTACGTATCCCAGCAAGTAAGTTGTTATCTATCTGCTGGGAGCTCGAGCACAGCGGAGGTTTAAGCAAGCGAGATCCGAGGCTTCGTGCGCATCATGAGACGTCTGTAGCCATGTAACGTTGGACAAAGCATGGAGATGTTCCCTGTCCTTGTCCTGTCCTGTCGTGCAGTAGCTTGTGTGCTACCTGCGCGCCGTGCTGGCGCCGTGCGGTGCTGGGGGGAAACAGGGCTCCGCCCGGTGGTCCCATCCATCCCATCCCATCCCCTAACACCTTCCCCTCCCCCCCATATCTCGTCTCCATGGTGATGTCGTCGCTATGGAGAGGCTCCAGCGAAGCTCGCCTGGTTCTAGCAGTAGCAGAGCAGTGGTTCCTGCGCCAGTCTTTGGGGGTGGGCCGCAGTCGACCTAACTATCGGGTGGGCTTGGAGGCGAACAGGCTGACAGCCGCCAGAGGTTAGCCCGCTGGCCAAAGAATAATAAAATAGCACTCCGTAGCTGACAGGCGACAGGCGACAGGCGGGACAAACTAGTCGACGCTGTAACAAGCCAGCCTGGTGTCTATCAAGTATATACATCATCAGCATCTTGTTTATCCCGTAACGAAGTACTCTGTACTATCGACAGAGGCTGCGTCAGCACGAAGATCGGGGCTCCAGGAGGTCGCAGCTCGCTTCCTATGATGCTGGCCGAGACGCAGCATCTCCATCTGGGTCTCCTCTCGGGTCCTCCTCGACTGCGACTGATCGCAGGCATGTCTCAGCGCGCGCGCAAGGGAGGCTGGGGGTGAGAGCGGTGGTTGGCGGCTGGTGGTTGGGCGGCGTTGCTTTTTCTCGGTGGTTGGGTTTGCCTTTTTTTTTTTTTTTTTTCTCTTTTCTTTTCTTTTCTGGTTGCGCCGGGTGGCTGGCGGCTTTTCCTCTGCGGCCTCGTATCTGACCTGCCCGTCTATGTATATATAGAGAGCCCTCGGGGGCCTCTTCAGGTCTCCTCTCTCTCCTGGTCTTCTGCTCTTCTCTTGCTATCATCTACTTAACATTCCAGAAGACTACAAACCTCGCACGATGAAGCTCTCGCTCGCTGCCGCCCTGCTCGGCGCCCTCGCCGTCTCTGCGCAGACATCCACCGAGTGCAACCCCCTCAAGCAGAGTAAGCATGCTGATACACTCGCCAGGAGAATTCGCTGCTGACGGTGATGCTAGAATGTCCCGCCGACCCTGCACTGGCTGGCTCTGCCGACTTCGGGCTCACCAGTGAGAGCCCGCGTTTCCATGCCACCGGCGGAACGCCCACCTACGGCAACGACGGCGCCAGCCTGACCATCGGCAAGCGGTTCGACGCCCCCAAGCTGACCTCGGACTTCTACATCATGTTCGGATACGTCGAGTGGGAGATCAAGGCCGCCCCGGGCAAGGGGATTGTCTCCTCCGCCGTGCTGCTGTCGGACTGCCTGGACGAGATCGACTGGGAGTTCCTCGGCGGCGACCCCAACCAGGTACAGAGCAACTTCTTCGGCAAGGGAGACACCACCACCTACGACCGGGTCAAGTTCCATCCAGCTCCAAACAACAACCAGGAGTTCCATAAATACGCCGTGGACTGGACTGCGGACAAGACGACCTTCTACATCGACGGCCAGAACGTCCGCGAACTCACCCCGGATGCCGCTAAAGGACAGTACCCCCAGACCCCCATGAGAGTCCTTGCTGGCAGCTGGGCCGGCGGTGACCCTTCCAACAACCAGGGAACCATCGGTATGTCTCTCTCTCTCTCTCTCTCTCTCTCTTCGCTGCCAAATAGCACGGTTGATACTCACAATGTAATGATATATAGAATGGGCCGGCGGTGAAACCGATTTCTCCAAAGTCCCCTTCACCATGTTCGTCAAGTCCATCAAGGTGACCGACTACTCTACCGGCAAGGAATACGTCTACAAGGACATGACTGGCAAGTGGGAGTCTATTCAAGCTGTTGACGGACAGGTCAACAAGTCTGGCAAGCCCGGGTCGGGCCCTAAGGTAGAGTCTTCCACGCTACCATCTAGCCCAAGCACCAGTGCCCATGTCCCCGTTCACACCGTCCCAGGGGGCGGCATCGGGAATCCCCAGGCCCCCAACACCGGATCCTCTCCTTCCAATACCCTGACAAATGGACCCTCCTCAACGATGACTTCCCTTGTAGGGCTCCCCAGCAGCTGGATCGTAACCGAGACTGGAACTGGGGGAGTCGTAACGCCGACATCGGCTGCTGTAAGTCGTGAGACTCTCTTACCCCTATATTTTTTTGTTCGAAAGAGATCACAAGAGGCTAACGAACTGTAGGAATCAACATCTCATCACTCCGATTATACCTCCCGGTCTTCTCGATCTGTCTCGTCCTCGGTTTCGGCTTCGTCTGGTAACGGCGGACATGGCATGACTACCTCTACTGGTTCTGGAAGCGCTCCTACCGGCACCGGCTCTCTCCCTGGCTCTGGCTCTGGCTCCGCTCCCGGCTATCCTGTCCCTACAGGTACCAACGGCGGCGGCAGCAACAATCCTACCGATGGCGGTGCATCTCCAACCAGCCCGGCAATGCAGGCTCCCGGCAGTACTGGTGCAATCCACTCTGTTAGCAATGCTCTGCTCCTCTCCTTCTGTGCCATTGCCGCCTGGGCTCTGGTCTAGAATAAGGGGGTCCCTCCACCAATGCTTTGACGCCTAACGCCTGGTATCTCACACTCTCGACGCCTGACATGCTTCCATGACCAATGACTCCATCATATCATGACTCGGAACGACCTATCCTTTTAACGACCTTACCAGACGACGCCTTTCCCTTCTTGACCCCACAGGTGTACATATTCACTACCAAACACATACACGAGTACATATCTTACTTTACACGAACAACCAACGACCAGACAACGACAAATAGATCACTAGAGAATGATAGACCTCTCTTCTCCACGATAACTCTCTCTCTCCCCCTTTTCACGACACAGATGAGATCCCCCCCTCTCCTTCGGCACCGAATCGATTATTTACTCTCCCCCGGCGTGGCACGGCGTGACGGCGTTTATTCCGCTTCTTCCTTACATATTTCAACCTTTCAACTTTTACCTTCACGGGGCTGCTTTTTCAAATATCAATGGGTTTTCAGTGTGCATCGTCTCCTTATTCGTTCATTCCAAAGACCGAAAAGAAAAAAAAAACCAACATCATCTTACATTCAATCCAATCGACCAAGCATCCAGCGGGGACAAAATTAAAAACCTTACCAACTCGGAGACGGTCACAACTACAGAATATCTGATGACGTTTTGAGTACATAGCAGTACAATAAATACCTTAGGGAAAGGAAGGCAGCTAGTGCTCTTCCTGCTATATACACATTTTAATACACTATTCATCCGCCTTTCATATCAACCTACCTACCAACCTCCTCTCCATTAGTGCTACCCCGTATTAATTAATAATAGTTAGCATCCGCATCACCGAAGCAACGTAGAAAACAAGTAAACAGCGGAACGAACTCCACGCTGACCTCTTGTTTCGTCTCACGCTAACACGGTAGATCCGGGGAAGCCCTCGTATTAACAACCCAACCACCCACGGGAAGAACAAAGCAGAGAGATAAGAGTCAAAAAGACTCCTCCCCGCGCCGTCATCGGGTTTACCGAGGATGAGTCGATTTGATTGACGACACCCTTGACGGATAACAAGAGGCATGGCAGGCAAGTAGGCCAGCATGTCATCGCATCCCAGCAAACAGTTGCAGAAGACGAAGCGAGCGGCACCCCCCTGCTTTCTCCGCAAAATCGCATTTTTCAGCATACGTCTCTGCGTGTGGGACAGACAAGTAACTAGTTAACCAGCATGCATTCCTGCCATTCAATCTATCCTCAAGACTCAAAGAGTAGAAAACACGATGAGTAGCGAGATAGGCCGTGTCCACGTCTAGTTGGCCGTCACTAACGCAGTTTAGCTATCAGCTCGTCTTCGCCGTCTCTCGATCTTGGTTTGGCCTACGGACCACCAGCCTGAGAGGCCGGAATTAGCCCGTCTGCCTCCTACAAGCCGGTGGAGAACTCCATTTCAACGGACTGCTTGACTTGCTGGGTGCCGGGAAGTAGGAGACGGCATCCCAGGTACATAAAGAGAGCGGCCTGCGCCGTCTAGGCCTGTCTGTCTCGGAGCTCTGTCTACACAGACTCGTACAGAGAGACAAGATGGACGAGAAACCCGAAGAACATACAGAGCAGGTCAGCGTGAGCCAGACGAGCAAGGAGGAGCGAGTCGAGGTTGAAGTCGAGGATGCTGAGAAGGGCCATGAGAAGAGCCAGAAGGTCGTCAGCCATGATGCGGACGAGGCGATGAAGGCGTTTGCCGAAGGGGGTTCGATCGAGTTGACGGCCGAGGATAACAAGCGGCTGCTTAAAATCATCGACTGGCATCTCATGCCCATGATGTGTGTTGTTTACGGGCTGAATTATCTTGACAGTAAGTCTCTGGCGCCGAGTTGGTTGGTACATGCCTGGTGCTGCTGGTGCTGGTGCTGATGGATGATGGATGTATCATGTAGAGACGACACTATCCTACGCCAGCGTGATGGGGTTGAAGAAGGATATCCATCTCGTCAAGGACAATTACCAATGGCTCGGCAGCATGTTCTACTTCGGTATGTTCATCTAGCCAAGTTGTACCCATTTACGTATGACGTGTTGATATGGAGGGCGATAGCTGACTGCCGTAGGATACCTGGCGTGGGAGTATCCTACCTCCGTCCTGCTGCAACGACTGCCTCTGGCCAAGTACTCTGCCTTTTGTATCATCGCATGGGGCCTCATCCTCACCCTCTTCGCTGTCGTGCATAACTTCCCCGGTGCCGTTGCAATTCGATTCCTTCTCGGTGTCTTCGAGGCTGCTGTCACCCCCGGCTTTGCCCTCATAACCTCCCAGGTACATACGTAACCAACTCGATACGGACATATGCGAGTAGAGTACAGGCTGACAGATGCTGTAGTGGTACACCAAACACGAACAAGCGACCCGCATCAACATCTGGTTCTCCTTCAACGGCTGGGCTCAGATCTTCGGCGGGTTGGTCGCATACGGCATAGCCGTAGGATCTCGCACGGTCGGCTCGGCCATCGCACCATGGAAAACTGTCTTCCTTCTTACAGGTCTCTTGACCGTCGCGCTGGGCGTGTGGTTCTACTGGCTGATTCCAGATAATCAGCTTAATGCCCGCTGGCTGAAGAAGGAAGACCGTATCCTGGCCGTGGAGAGAGTGAGGGTCAACCAGCAGGGTATCGGCAACAAGCACTTTAAGCTGTATCAGTTCAAAGAAGCATTGGCCGACCCGATGACCTGGGCGTTTGTCTTTTATGCCGTTGCAGCAGATATCCCTAATGGTGAGCCAGCCAAGCCTGTTCAATGATGGTCGTGTAAAACAGTAGATGCTAATGGGGCTCGAACAGGCGGCATCAGTAACTTCTTTAACCAGCTGGTGAGTGTCTCTATCCTACCCCCGGAGTAGGATCAAGTAGGCTAACGTGTATAGATCGTTGGATTCGGGTATACACCTGAGCAGAGTCTGCTCTACGGCACTCCCGCCGGCGCCGTCGAGGTTGTTGCCCTCCTCCTCAACGGGTTCCTCGGCGACTACTACCAGCAACGCATTCTCGTCTCATCAGGCGGCCTCCTCGTCGCAATCGTTGGCACTGCTCTCATGATAGCTTTGCCCGAGAGCCTCTCCGTCGGCCGTCTGGTAGGATACTACCTGACCCTGGCCAGCCCGACTCCCTTTGTGTGTATCCTGGGCTTGATATCCTCGAATGTAGCAGGATACACCAAGAAAACCACCGTTGCTGCACTGTACCTGATCGGATACTGTGTAGGCAACATCATCGGTATGTCGACAACTTGTGTCTGCTAGTCATTAGTCGTGCTAATATATCCATACAGGGCCACAAACATTCCGCCCCGAACATGCGCCTGAGTACACGCCGGCCAAGGCAACTATCCTGGCATGCTTCTCTGCCTGTCTGGTCGATATGTACTTCATCTGGTGGTGGTATAATCGACAGAACGCAAAGAAGGCCAAGCTCAGAGCTGAGCCAGGCTATACCAAGGTCGAAAACCAGGAGTATGTCCCTTCTTCCCCTCCTCGTTCATGATTTTTGACCGACTGACCTCACGATAGATGGCTTGACCTCACGGACATGGAGAACTCAGAGTTTACTTACTCAGTGTGAATGTTTTAACGTACTGTATCTCATGACATGCATGCAATGAATCTTCTTTCTTCCGTTCAGCTCTAGCAAGAGGTTGAATTACCTGTCAAAGTTATTTCCCCACGTATGTAAATGCACAGTTACCTGTCCAGCGTCAGTGTCTCCTTATCCATGCATCAAAGTCACCGCTACTATGTAGCTCCTGGTTAAGTATGCAAGTGACCTGCTTCTCTGTCCGACATTTGCCAGCGACTTCGGACGTGTGACCGACTAAGCAAGTCGATCTGACTTGCTCCGCCTGCATCTCGCCCCGTCTATCGACAATAATAATAGTATTATGTGCGGATATCCCATTTCTCCGGTTCATTGTTGACGCAACACCAGGTGTACCCCATGGACAGAGAACGGAGTGCACGTACGGAGTACTCCGTACACATAACGGATGTAAGCATGAACTGAAGATGTCCTTATGTCGAACCGGTTCGTTCGGTTCGACCGCAACTTTGCTCTCGTCTTCGTCTCCCCTGGCCGATCAACCCCGTCTGTAAGTGCGAACTAGAGTGCCACGCAGTATGCATTGCAGCTCAAGTCAGAATCTGCTCCAGTCCGAGCCCGACAAGGCCAGCCGGGGAGGAACTAACTCAAGCTAACCCTGATAAACATCTGCAGGCCCAATAACCGGCCAGCAAGCCAGAGCTCGATGCGCCGCCACGCTGAGCCACGATTCGCCAGACTAGTTTCTCCCTCCAGAGGTGCATGAATGATGCATGATGCATGGGCAAGGGTCATGCGGGTTTCGTTCCTTTTTTCCCTCCTTGTAACCGCCTGTTCTCCTTTCCTGGGCTTTTTTTTTTTTTTTTTTTTTTTGCTTCTGCTCCTGGTTCGCCCTTCCCGTGTGCCCCTGCGCGGGCAACATGCTCCCGTCCGTCAAACAGGGCTCTCACACACTTACGGTGAGAAGGAGAGGCGATGGCGCCCAATCAGGTGGACGTTAAAGAAGCAGAAACAGAAGCAGACGAAGAAGATCGATCGAAGAAGAGGACCTCTAGTCTCTTTGCCCCGCTCCGAGGATGGGGTTTGTCCATTTTTTTTGGCGTCCTGCTTCTGCAGTTGCACCAGTTCGACTGACTAGTTATAACGGCCGAGGGTTCCCTGTCTGCTTGTCTGGCTGTTCCTGATGGAAGAAATCTTGCGCGCCAGCTGTGACAGGAGTCATCCCGCAGAGATGAAGGTGTGAAGACATGACTGGTGAGCTTCTCTGTCTCAGTAGGCGCCTGGATATCGGCTCCTCCGTTCTTGTTTTGAGTGCTCCCCGGCGCTTGATGCTGCAGTCCTCGTTCTATATATATTCATGCCCTTGATATATATACGCCCGAACTCTTCACTGCAGGCGGTGGCTCCTCTACCAAGCTCCATCATCCCCATCCCTATTATCACCATCGTCTCGACCTATAAGGCTGTCAGCAAGGCTTCGAGGTCGAGCTTCAAGTGATCAACTGCCTGTCTCCTGATTGCCTACACATGCGCGTCCAATCACCAAGCTGTCTTTTGTGTCTTCTTCTTTTTCACATGTCATCTCCTGGTAGATAGGCCGTTAAAGAGGGATCTTCCATCTTCTTCAGATAAAGAGTGTAAGTGGGCTCATTCACAGTATGAGGGCGGAGGTTTGAGGTTTGAGGTTGAGGTTAAAGACGTTTGTCTGCTGACTCTGGCAGAAGAAAGACAAGACAGCTACAACGTCCGACTAAGCATCACCAACCTACCGGCACCAGCCATCATGGCCGGCCTCACATGCCAGACCCAAGCAAGTGATGGCGGCATCAGTGAAGACAATGCTGTCTCTTCTCCTTTTATCTACATACCCAAGACTCAGAAGAAGCTGAACGCCAGCTCGAAAGAGGACTATATAACGTCCTTTCTCTTCGAGGATGAGCGCCCCTTTGATGCCTCTGTCGGAGATGAAACATCCTACTTTCCGCCCTTCCAAGTGACAGACTTCGAGAGACAGACGGTGACAGACCTGGCGTTGCCCAGCAGGACGTACGCGGCCACCGGGAGCCCAGTATCAGCCTTCTCGATGTCCAGCGCAGACGACGAGGACGTCCCGGAGGTGCAGAGCTTGATCAGGCCGCCTGCCACCACGGCTACCCCTACCGCGGCATCAGCGCGCAAACCAAGCGATGCGGGATCCAGAGCATCTTCCTTTTCTCTAGAGCGTCGAAGGACATCGAGAGGACAGGCATCTTCGTCTTCCAGATCTACTTCGTCGACCAGACCAAGGCGCAGCATGCAACATCTTCGCGGCAGATCGGGGGCAGGGCCAGGGACTTATACCAACTATACACCCTCTCGGTCAGACATGGGCAGCAACTCCCAGCGTAACGAGCGAGATCTCGTTGCCCTCCACCGTGAAAGCTGTCTTCTTTTCAGCCAGATGGGGCCGTATAAAGAGCTATCTTCGTCTCCTACAGACCGTAACTCCTTATCGGCACGCCACTCCCACTCACATGTCCCTACCGCATCAGCGAGATATTCTTCTTCACAGCAGCCTCAACACTCGGCTTCTGCGTCTCCGCTGCTCCGGCCAGAAAATACACCTACTTCTCCATTCCAGTCTGATGGAGCCCCATCTCCACTCACCCATCAGTCTACGTGGAACCCCATCCATGACCAAACAAACAACGTCTCTTCACCACCGCCTCTCCCTAAGACAGTAATCGACTGGACGTCTCCCTCAACCAGACGGAGGGAATATGAAAAGATTGACCGTGCTAGTCGTGGGATCCGTGGTGCCTGGAGGAAGTTTGCTCCCCAGTGGTGTCAGAGTAAAGATGCTCGAGCCCCCTTTTTCGAAGAATGCAAGGCCGGTCATGCAAAGGACGATGGCAGTGTGAGGCGGTTCCGCATGGATATCCCAGAGGAAGAGGAAGCCGATAAATCTGCCGATCAGCCGCCACGTCAAGGACTAGGTGTGTTGAGAAATGGACTCGTCTCAGCATTGACTCGACTCAAGCTAGAGAACGAGACCGCTCAGCCTGTCAAGGAGAAGTCTGCTCCTATTCCCACCAAGCAATGGCGGCCTTTTATCAACAGACGTAATTCGTCATTGGTCTAGCTTTCATACCACTTTCATGCATTACGCATTACGACCGCTCATTAAATCCCCATTTTCCCGTGCATTCTGATTCTAATGATACCACATTCACATTACACAATTGATTTAATTGATTTCACAGAACAGCGAACAGCAGAGCACCATCCCTTTATACGACAACCTGCAGGACATTTTCCCATTCCCCTTCGTCACTATTCCTGCAATTGATAATGTTGCGCCAATTGTACTTGCTATGATTTCTACACCCCCAGTTCCTGCTTCCCTGCGCTACCCCTACCATCCCACCTAAGCATATGATACCAGACGTCTTGCGGTCAAAAGCATATTTCCCACTATTTCCCACCGGCAATCGAGGGTTAGAGGTAACCCGTTTCATTTGTTCTGCATACATAGCATAGATAATTCAATACCATTACCGAAGTTGATCACACATCAAGCTTTTGTTATATTGCTCCAGTGCTCCTCTCTAATCTTGTACTTTTATATTCCGTCACGACAAAAAAAACAGCAGCAAGGGTATATCTATATAACGACACAAAATCCAACAATTATAGCAAATCGAAGTCATCCAGCTTCTCCTGGTACCGCAGGATATTCCTCTTAATCTTACTAGAGTCAACCCACGTTACGAAATCTTCCATATTTCTCGTCACCAGGAAAGCAGGATCAGTGACGACCTCTGTCCCAACGCGCACATGGCCCTGCTCGATAAACTTAACAGCCTATCACGTACTATTAGTAACCGAGTCGCAAGTCATGTATGCAACGCATGAACACATACCGACGGAACACTCTCCACCATCCCATTCCTCGCCATAACCACGCCCAACCGCCTCCTCGCAAATGTACTAACAGTAACTTCTCGCTCGACTTTACTTAGTCCTGCACCTTGCTCACGGTTCTGCTTTAATATTCCCATCGACCAAAGCTTCTCTAGCATCTGGGACTCGAGCTGTTTGCGCACTGGGTCCGAGTCCGGGTCAAGTGCTGCAAGTTTATGAGCTAACTGCCGTAGGGAGCCGCATAAAGCATTGTATTTCTTATAGTCTAGAGGATCTTGGAGATGGTAGCGGCGCCGGATAGTGGCCTCGCGGTGGTTGTTGTCGGATTTGTATGTGTACAGGTCGACCTTTTTAAGGAGCCTGCACACAGAAAAAGTTAGCGAAGACTGGCGGAGAAAGGAAACGACTAGGAATTGCATACTTCTGCTCGTGATGTTTGAGTTTCCGGACCATCTTGCCTGCCTTTTATCGACCTGTTCCCGAGTTGTTCAATATTCATCAGCTTCAGCGTTTCTTTTGCTTTGCGACTTTCGAATTTTCGATTGACAGCGATAAGAGATGACTAAGCAATGACAATTATTATGTAATTATAATCACGTGACTCTTTCATTCATGCATTAAAATGAGCTTAAACATTATTATGCATCACGTGAAATTTAAGCATAAATAATGTCATGACTAAGTATGGTGACTAAGCAACCAATCAGCGTCCGCCGTTTATGCAAAGTTCAGCGACTGCGACTTCTCCAACCTCATTCGCTCGAGATATAAAAAATACATTTTTGCTGTTGACTTCAAGGACACACTACTACGGAGTACTTAAGTACTCTCAGAAGTACGTACCGACAAGGGGGCCAACTTGGCAGAGACAACACGAGCCGTTTCGTCATATAAAATTCTAAAAACGGAACAGAGACATGCATACAGGAGTTCTCCTCCCCCCCTTTATGTCGAGTCGGGGGGTTCTAGGCCAGGAGTCTCCGCCACCCGGTAGACCAGCTTGCTGCCAGTCACCTTGCCGTCTCTCATCATCTCTAGGCCCTCGAGTGCTCCCGCAAGGCCACCGCCGCACACTTGCTGAGGATGGACCTTGATCTTGCCGTCCGCAAGCAACTGGTTTGCCATGGAGACAAACTCCTTCGCGTATCGAAACCCGGAGTGATCCGGGGGTATCACCGGCCCATCCTCGGACATTTGGACTTTCTCGCCAAACATATAGTAGGCCATGGTGTAGCTCGACTCGACGTCGTCTCGAGGACAGGGCTCCGGCAGCAGAGCAAAGTATCGACCGCCGGGACTGGTGGAAATGGCGTGAGCGCATATGCGTGCGCTGGCAGGGAGCGATATGGTGTCCCAGGCCAGTTTTAATTTATTCCCGGTAAATTCACGGATCTTGAGGCCACAGTCCAAGTCGTGATAGTCGAAAGCCGCCACGGCGCCTAGTCTTTTAACGAACTCGAAATTCCGCGGGGAACAGACTGCGATTGGGGCAAAGCCGGACCTACGAGTTCAACTCCAGATCGTCAGCAAAAGCAGTTGGTTTACTATATATGCGGAGCAAAAAGGGCTTGCAAAATAATTCCTTTTCCAGAACAAAACTGCAATTGGCTTTTTCGGATTCTGGTTGGACATTTCACGTTCCGTGGGTATATTCAAACCGCTACTCTCGTTTTCTGTGTATTCTTTTTTTGGAAAAACGTACTGTTTTGCAAATTGGATGCCCAACGAGCCAGTCGCCGTGCTGCCGCCGTATATCAGCACCGGCGTCCTCTTGAAGCTGGGGGAGGTGGGCAGATCCAATCCGAGACCAAGATACAACCCTTGACACACGGTTATGATGCCCACCCCGAGTGTGGCGGCCTCCTCGAAGGATAGGTTGTCTGGAATATGCGACTGAACGTCTGCTTTGACAAGGATGTAGTTGCCAAACGCCCCGTCGTCTGGTTCTTGTCTGTTGCAGCCATGGACGACACCGTAGACCCGATCGCCCTTCTTGAACTTCTTCCTGACTCCCTTGCCTATGGTCTCCACGATGCCTGAATAGTCGCAGCCCACGACGGCTCCCACCACTCCCGCGTCAATATGCTTCCAGTCAGTCGGATTCAACGCAATCGCAACAGGTTTTACCAGCATAAACCTGTCCCTCACCACCGGCAGAGGCCGATCAACAACCTCCGCCCGGCCTGGGCCAAGTACTGCGATAACCTTCCTCGATGACCCCATAGTGGCCTTGACCTCAGGCAAGATTTTCCACAGAGTTTTTTCCCCCTCCCGCCAGCAAGTTTTCTATTGTCCTTTTTTTATCTTCGCTTTTTCCGCTTCCCAAGCTCATGGTGTCTTCATGCTTGCGGCGTGCCCTTTTATGTGGGCTTCTCCGTAACCCCCGGGAACTCCCAACAGGCCGCTCCCGATAGCCTTGCCCTTGGGGACCGTCAATGGGAGGGAACAGGCTTATTATGTCAGTAACGATCCTTCAGTTAAACGGCGAAACTTGCTAGGCATGATTGGCCGCGGCTAGGGGGTTCATATCTCCATAATTAATTAAAGCCCATTACATCATGGTTCCACAGCGGCCAGACTCGAGGTTGCGCAGCAACTTGTCGCTAGTGGTTGGAGTGATGACATGGCCTGGCCAGGAGCAACAGGGAGGAGAGGAGATCGTTGATTTGAGGGTCGCAAGGGGGGCCTTAGAGACGGGATAAATAACCCCTTTTGCCCTCCCTCAACCCAACGCACCTACTCCTGCGTATAAACACGAGGACGCCCTCCATAAAAAGTCCCCTGCCCATCGAACCAGCAGGACATCTGATGTTTTGCTGCTCACTCCTTTTCCTCTCCTGAAGCGGCAGTTTGGCTTCGCTCGCATACAGCCCCCTGGAAGGGCCCGCCACAGTCAAATAAAATCACACCACCAACATACATACATACAACACTTAAACCACCAAGATGGAGTCAATTCCGATATCGATAAACACTCTCTCTATTGACGAACCGATTCTCGAATCACCAACGACCCCCCGTAGCTGCGCGATGGCTCTCGCCGCCCGTCGCTCAAACTTGCGCGATACTCACATCCAACATCACCAAACCTCGTCGCCACAGCTATCCTCACAGTCTCCGTCTTCTCCATGCCCTCCGCCTGCCAGGATACTGCGCCATCCATCCCCAATTCGATACCAATCCACTCCACCTTCATCCCGCTGCTTTGCTGACATCCTTGACCCAACTCTTAACCTCTCCGACGACAATGGCGACAGGTCAAATGACGTCGATCTCCAGGTCAAACTCGCACTGATCGACCTACTCAACTGCAGCGACATTAAGAGGGATCAGGAATCCCGGCTATGGGTGCAGAACAAACTCATGGATACCGAACATCGATTAAAAGCCAGACGGAGAAGCAGAGTCGTGCACTGCTAGCTTCCGTCCTCTACTCTACACTTAGCTTGTGTGTGCCTAAGCTATGCCGCTCGCTCATTTATTTTTTCATCTTGACCCAGTTGCTACCCTTTCGCAGTGCATGAGTTCAGGAATGCGGACATACTCCAGGCGGCCTTCGTTCTAGTTTATTTTTGGAAGCCATTTTTTTTTTTGTTTTAGCCGGATATCTTTGACGGGCGTTTTATCGGCAGCACTGGCTGGAAGTTGTTAGCGGAAGCGCCCTTTTGCATCGACGCAATTACTTTTCTTTCTTTCTCTTTTTTCTTCTTTTCCCTCCACCCTCCTTCTGGTATGGACTCGGTATCTCGTTGGATATATCTGTTTAATACTTTCTTTTCACATGTATTTATTATTTAATATTAACACACTTGAGAATGCAGACTTGCACTTCCTCTCGTATTTCTAACACACGATACCTTGGGCGCTTTGCCGATGGCTAGCCATCATATACTAGGCTTACCTACTTTGTCGTGTGGTTTCCATCTACTACAACTTTAAGGAGGTTTCTCGTATCGTCATGGATCTCCCTCTTCGAAATAATAATTGGAAGTCAACTAAGGATACCCTGAAGACGTTACCCTAAATACTATGGTGCTACGCCGGAATGTGTCTAAAAGTCATAGGATACCCTGTGCATTCGGGATATATGGTAACTCGGTCCTGCGGGTCTTCGCTTTTGCTAGGGATCCAGGTTTATCCGCATGCCCTTTGCGTCTGCCTAACTCTCATAGGATGTGCTGACCACCGTTTAGAGAAGATACTTAAGCATTATCTACTCCACTAATAAAGTCAAACTTATACTATCGCTGTTAGAATCGGCCTTTCAAGCTTGTGAACAACCCTCGTGAATGATACGGTTTATATCTTGAGTTGCCCCATTAATAGCTTTGTTAAGAGTTGATAAACTCACTGCATTTCATAGGTGATAACTGACATGGACGGCATGTAGCCCAAGTACCTACCCGTTTTATCCAAGTCACGTTAACTATTCGTTGTATACCGGTTGTTATCAGCGTTCAAAGGTTACGCTCCGAGAGGACTTTGCTCTTAGAAGGTAAGAGACTGCCGTGGGCTTAGGGCCTACATGAATGAAAGAATACTATACATTCTAACGATTGGTACCGATGGTAATATTAATGCCCGTTGTACGGAGTAAAACATGGTAAATTCCTTCAGCCAACCCTTGGAGCTTATTGATAGATAAGATCAGATAAGGATCAGAGTGGGGCTAGGAAAGCTTGGTTGACCAATAGAAGGTCTGTAAATATCGACTTTAAGTTATCAGATCAGAATAAACTTCCAAGACAACGGCCTTGTGCATAGGGTGTATATAAGACAAGAGAGGAGGTCTTTTTCTTCAGTTATAAGATACAGCTATGACCCTTGATCACTTGATCGTTAATGTAATATAAGTTTTGGGAAGTTGTTATAACAACTTAGTATAATAGTTACGACTTGGTGTTACCGTCGGAACTTGGCTTGAATGTGTCAGGCAGAGATAACTAGTTATTTGACCAACGAAAACTAGAAAGTTCAACAAAGTTTCGGACGGAGAGGTAAGTCACCACGGTGGTTTCTCTTAAGAATAGCAGATTATCACTACCTTTATACTAATAAAGCTGTATCATAATTCAAGCTGTTTGTAGCATCTCACATTTATGCCCGCGCCTATGATGTTAATTATCATGGAAATACTGCAACTCTCCTGGAAGCATTCGACGAAGTGATGATTCGCTCTTATGCGTACATATAACATGCCCGGATGTTTCGGCAGCCCCCCCTCCCTTGTGTAAGTGTAAGACATAAGGCCATTAAACCTAGTTTCAGCCCTCATATAGGCTTTCGACACATCAGCTTTGGCTGGCAAACAAATGATGTTACACCTAGGTCGTATGATTGCTGACGACGATAATAAAGATATACGTATATATATCACGTGTAGAGCCTTCGCCTTAAAGTACTCGGGGAATAGTCTGCAGGGTCGGTTATTGTAGATGCATCAAAATAGAACTAGGCACGATGGACCCTGTAAGATTCATATGGCCCCATAGCCGAGAGCAGAATGGGGCCCAACACAACACTGCTCCCTGCGACTCAGACATGGGTGTGATAAATCGAACCTATTTTCCTCTATGTGAGTGCATAACGTACCTCATGCGATTCGTGTAGAGCAAGTGGAGCGTATTAATAAAGATTTAACTAGCACATGGAGTTCTAGCGCTTGTAATTGAAGAGGATGCTTCAAATATCCAATTGAGCATATCATACAAAGAAAGTAAAGAAGTCCGAACTAATCAAAGAACCGAGCACTGCTAATTAGCGAGTAAATTAGATCCCATGTCCAATGATGATTTCGTTGTCCTTATAGAACCGAACCGAATCAAACGTCTTGCCCTTGGTGGTGGATGTTATCCCGTCCCAGACCCCCCAAAGAATATCATGAATGAAACAGATGCCACTCTGCAGATCAAATATCAAGCTCGCTTTGACCACGTTGCCAACACAGAGACTTTGTATTCATGTGCCGATATTAGATATATTTCTTCCAGGAATTTTCATCCTCGAGTCCCCTGCTTTAGCAACACATCGGGCGACCTTATGCTCCCCAGCTCTACCGCAAGTGAAGTGCCTAGCACTCAACCAACAATAAAGGCTGATTTGGCTGGAAGTTTAAGAATAGGGCTTCGACAAGGTGCAGTTGCGGGCATTGCTACTGGGGTTCTTGTGGGTGTGATCCTGATTGTCCTTTCATATGTTGGGTATAGGAGGTATCAGCAGTGGAGTGGAGGCCGGCACTACCAACTGACAGTAAGAAACGTAAAATGGGATGGTTCTGGGAATATAATTCCAGGTAGAGCAGCCTGATATTCAATGATGTGAGGGTAATCAATACGGGCTCAGTGGGCGGTTTGGCAACTTGATATAATCCTAGGGTCAGAGAGACAAAGATATTAAGACATAGTTAAAAAATCAAACATATCAATCGAGTCCAGCTTCACAAATGAATATACAAAGGAATAAACACAAACAATAAAATAGCTGGTATCAGTTCTTACAGGAAATGGGGCATACCAGGTATCCATTCATATAGAAGGAGAAACTCTTTTTGCCCCTTCATTTTGTAGGTCAAAACCATACCTACAAAGAGCACAGTATTTGTTCCAAAAACGTCCCGTTCATATTTATAATAGACATCTTCTTCGTTTCGAATATCTTGCACAGGTCTGGATAATGCCCTGCAAATGCAACATAAAGTATTTGCATCCATAATCCCATATACCACGTTGACAACAGCTCTTTTACTGCATCCGAGTTTGCCGGAATGTAGAAGTCAAGATCGTTTCGTTTGCATATCATCGATTCAAGCATCGCACCATCTAGCCCGTTTTCTGTAATCCGTTTGAAATTTACCGTCTCGCATAGCTTTGTGACCTGCTCTGCGTTCTCTGCTGCCCCGATAACATGTAGCAGAAGGATAATGCTCTCCATGCTGATGATATTTTTAATAGGACTTTGCTTGATACTCGGCGAAAACCTCTTGGCTCTACCTCTTTGGCCTTGCGGCCCAAGGATTGGCTGGCCATCCATAGTTGTGGGATAGAGGAAGTCCTTCGGGATTAGATTTTGAAGCGGGTTGCCTAGGGGGAGTAACTGTTAGCTCAAGGGAGATAAACACGCTCCTATCCAGAGCGATTTCTCTTAGTATATATGTAACTGGAAGGAAGGCATCTTTAATTAATACGTACTCACCATCAAGATTACGTTGTAAGTAGGTTGCCACGGAATCAGCAAATTTCACATCCGCTACTCTTTTATGAGAATTGCGGCGATCCGATGAGGTAGAGCATGTGGCTCCCACAGTCAGGTATAGGAGCAAGAGCATGACGAGGAGATATTTTCGCATTTTCTTCATGTTATCATATAGAGATATATTGAAGAGAATAGTCTTTATAACCAAGGCATGCAAACCATAAATTGAAGCGCCGGGTATGTTGATAGAGGTAACAGGCCTGCTCCCTCGTTAAGAGAGAGCAAGTTCCGTAGGTACTAAAGTGCCTTCAAAAGTCTCCCTCCAGTGACTGGTGTGTGATATTCTTTGTTTGCCGGATATTTGATTCACAGTGAAGATTGAAATAGCCAATGCAGATCCTGGAGAGAAAATACCTTGTCTATCCTTTTTATTCATCTTCTAGGTTCTAAAGCAGCTGCAATCGCAAGGGAACGGGAAAGTCCAAATGGGCGTTCAAATAAATACAATGTGAAAAAGAATATTTGAAAAGCGGGTGGAAGAGGGCGGGTGGAATAAGATATAACGATGGGAATGCTTGTATGTATATATATTATAGTTCGTCGTGCTTTTCAACCTCTGGAGGGACTGGCCGGCCGGAATCTTCCAGGAGATCGACACCATTCTTCCTTCGCCATTTTTCAAACAAGGCAAAGAAATCTTTTTCCATCCCACTATCCATTTGGTCAGGAAGAACAACAATATACTCAATGTAAAGCGAGCCGAACTCATCATGTGGAGATTGTTCGTGGATATGTCCTTCGTGGTATATTGGCATTCCCTGCTCTGGTATCCTCTCCACAGTAAAGGGCTGGACAACTTCGCCTCGTTTGCGGCCTATCTGTACAATGTGCCCATCCAAATGTGTTAGGTTTCGAGTCCAGTCTCCCATCCAAGCTTCTCGGATGCTGAGAACTTCTCTCCAGAAAAGGTCCTTGCCCTTGCGCCGGAAGAATGCTCCATCGGTGCGTTGAGCCTCATGTTCATCCATGACGGGTTCTTTTTCTCTCAATGTGACAACCAAATTACCCGCAACCCAATCGGGGCTTTCATCGGCTTCGTTCTCGAACACCAGTTTCGATCCCTGGCCCATGCCCCTCTCGACGGTGCCTGATATAGGAACTTCGGCTCTGACAACTCGGCTGCCGCCACACACTTTACACGGATGCCGAATCGACTTTCCCTTCCCTCCACACTTGTCACAGGCCATTTGAACTTGCTGAAATATGCCGGGAGCGATCATGTGCTTTTGAATTACGGCACCATGGCCCTGACATTGGCTGCAGACATCCACTTTCCCATCAGTAGAGCCAGAACCCTCGCAAGCATCACAAATTTGTTGCTTTTGAATCTTGAAATCTATCTCTCTGCCGTTGTAAAAGTCTTGTAGTGGTAAGTCGAGGCGGAGCTCCATATCAGGACCACGCCTGTGGCCGCCATGGTGACCGAAATGCCCTCCACCCCCAAAGAACCGGGAGAATAGGTCGAATGGGTCGTGTCTACCACCACTTCCGCCTTGTTTGTGTTGTTGTAGGCCCTCATGACCGTACTGATCGTATATTTTCCTTGTCGAAGCTGTGGATAGGACATCATACGCTTCAGCAATATCGACGAATTTTTTACGTGCCGAGTCGTCACCACTACAAAATCTTTAGTTAAGGTTGTTCACTTATAATAAACCTGAGCCATTACAGCTTGCTGACAGATATTTGCGCCGGTGCATTCTACTCACGGATTCTTATCAGGATGGAACTTTTTGCTTAGTGTTCTGTACGCCCTTTTGATGTCACGCTCTGAAGCTGAGCGATCGATGTCCAGTATCTTGTAGTAGTCCTCGGCGCATATTGTCAGTGGTATTAGGATGAAGAGAGTTGAGAGCAGGAGAAGCGGAAAGACGAGCATGGTGACCGACTGGGGAGGATCCCCGAAAACTAGAGTACGTGAAAATAAACAGTATAGTAATATGGAAAAGCCGAATGCGCTTTAAGCGCTTAGCACGTATTCTGCTTGTGTTATCAGGATTCAAGAGTAGCTGTTTCGGTGGGTAGAAGTGAAATATATGTATCGGGTGCAGCAAGCTGGGAGGACAAGCTAGGGGCTGGCGAATCTGCCAATGGCAGGTCAAGTTGCCGGCGCTTTTCACTCCTCTTCCAGCAGCTCAAAAACTGGCTGGCTGTCCGCGGGAGGGAAGCAGAAGAAGATGATCGATGGCCGACTCGATGCTCGCGTTGATGCCAGATTATCAACTTCCCTTATTATCGATTAGGTGTTCGAATTTAAAGTTTGGAGGAAGCTCCTAAAGGATAAACCTTTTGCCGTGGATTACATAATCTCCTGTACAATTACCTAATGGATGGATCTGCCATGTAGTTATGTACCTAAATAATAATGTTTTTGGTGAAAGAAGCAGACAAGGGCAGCTGAAGACGAAGAGACAGTTGATAGGAGCTAGCTTCCATTTGAAATACTGGTGTTGCATAGATTGATCGTTTTGCGGTGAGGTTGAAGAGTGTTATCTCGCCCGAAATAAGTACTACTCACAATATAGGGAAAAGCGAGGGCTGCATAAGATCAAAACAGTAGCTGGATTAGTGGCCCCTGGCTGGGACGTCGAATATACTATTCCTCCAAGTCGGCCTTTGGTTAAGGCTGTCCTGGCTGCTTCTTTCAATAAGCTCGTCCGCTCTCTGCTGTTCCTCATGCCAGGCTTTGGCAAGACTGCCTGGGGCATAGACGCCGTCGAAGATACCACCCCGCTGAGCGTCAAACCCGAGTCTAGTGAATATATCTGGGTCCGCCTTCCCACTCAGCCTAGCCATAACTGCTCTGATAAAAGTTAGGAAGTCGTCAGGATCAGCTATGCGCGCGGCGCGTAGGCGCTCTCTCACAAAGAGCAGTTCTCGATTTGCTGTCCTAGCATAGCCAACTATCTTTTCGGCTATCATTTTCTCCAGGCTGCGTCTGATCATGTGTTTGAGGAAAGGTTTGAGAGCCCACAAGATACATGACCAGCGGCTCTTGGCAATAGAGTAGTCCAACTTATGGATATGAACTCTCACTGCACGGAGAGACAGAATCTGTTCCAACCGCTCTTTGCCAACCTCGAATTCACAAGACACATCGATTCCGCGTTGATCAAGGCAGAAACTAGCGATTCCTTCGTCAAAGATGGATGGGAAAGGAGGTTTATGTGCTTTTATCCAGTAGCCAAAATCATTTGCGGAAAAACAAAGGCCATTGAGGGTGACGTTAACGACGTTTTTCATGCCTGAAACCGCCTCCTTCGAATGGGTCTTACGAAGCTCCATGTTGCTTATTGTGGTGACTAGGACTTGGTATGGAAGAAACGAAGAATTGTGAACAGTGTGACCTGGTTCAATCACAACGTTTTCAAGCAGAAGATCCATTTGAGGGACCGAGATTTCCAATCTTGGTATGGGGATATATTGGATAGCTCGAATTAATAGAGGGAGGAAGATGTTGAGGGCGTCTGCCATAAGACGAATACCTTCATTACGATAGGCTTCACATATACCCAGTGCAATTTTCTTTGTGGCTGTGATGAGTTTCGCAATAGCGGCATCCTGGGTGACAGATATCAGTGTTTTCTTGAGTTGATAGATGAAGTCCTTGAATTCCTGTTGCGGCAGGTCGCCTTCAGTCTCCTTTACTTTCTCCTTCAGGGTCTTCACGGTGTCCTCTCCAGAGTCCCAGAAACTGGGGTCAGTGAAGAGGCTGTAAATGGATTGTCCAATGTGGTCAAGTGTGTCATTAACTCCAGTGCTTCTTTTGGCACCTTGCATCAGCTGCTGGAATTTACTTTCAAGAGATTGCCATTCATTTTGGCTACCAAAGGATCTTGCAAGCTCCCATAAGTTCTTCATGGCGTCATGCAACTCTGGGTCGATGTCCAAAGCATCCGAAGCACCCTCAACTGTGGATCCTATGGTCTGCATGTATATTCCAGCATACCGCTGGACAAGCCCTGATATGGTTGACACGGATTTATCGTAATCAGATCTTAACCGCAAGTCTTCCACTGTCTTTTTCATCTGGTACAAGAGTGAATCTTGCACTTCGGTGGATATGTTGGTTTCAGCACTCTTTTTGGCTGCACACCCGGTATCCTCCAGCCCTTCCTTCGCAGTCTCCATAACTTGCTCCCCATCTTGCATTAACTCATCAGAGGTGGGAGCCTGTTTATTATCGCCATTTGTTGCCTTGACACTGTTTTTCTGTGATTCCGACGGCTCCACCTCCTCTGCGACCCTACTTATAGCGTCTGAGAGTGATGCCGTGGTGTCAGAAAAGATGCTGCGGCCAATAGTGGTAATGTCTCCGATCAAACGACGAAAGTCCGAATTGGTCATAAGAAGTTTACCAACGGTGCGTACGCTTTCGTATGCTATGATATTCAGATAATTAGCTTGTCCGCCACAGACATTCAGCAATATGAGACCTGATATCTACAAAGGATAAGAGTTCAAAAATACCAGCAATAGTATCTGCCCTGGCCTTGGATTTTGATGCTGCAGAAGCAACCTGGGCTGTGTTTATAGAAACGTTCGAGTGGATGAACTGGCTTATGATTTCCTGTAGCTGATCGCCACTGTTTTTCTCTCGCAGCAGAGCAATGAATATTCGGGTCCACGCTCGACAATCCTTTGCTATCCTTCCGCCCCTCGGACTCAGCATGGGGTTATCTGGGTTCAGCACATCGGAAACGAGGACAAGTCGCAGAAGAGCTGCTGCTTGCTCTGTTGTGGGCATGTAACCAGCGGACAACGCTCGGAACATCTCATATTGACGGAATTTCTGCTTTACCTTCCGCTGCAGCTCAGTTTCTGACTCTGAGGCTGGAAGCAGAGGCTCTCGTTCACCGGTAGCATCTTTTCGTGGCCTGCAGCACGACAGCATTGTGTCTTCTTCCCTGGTTTGGGCAGGTTGTGGAGGGAGTTCTTATAGTGGGATGTGGCAGCAGAGGTCAGCTATTTATCCTCGCTTCATGCACGGCCAGCTCGGCTTCCTTTTAAGATAAAAGCAGGACAACAGCTGGACAGATCAGCTCCCTATATAGGGTGTGCAAATGAGCACCGACATGTCACACCCTGTTTTCTTCCCAGTTTGCTGTTGGTCATCCAACCTTGAGTTCCCAAAACTACGTAATAAGCTGTAAGCTTGGGGCAGGCGGGCGCCAAGCCGGCAGCCGACCTCTTGGCCGTTCTAGACCAAAAAGAAGTCATAAACATAAAAGGCCAAGAGAAGGTGAAGTGGTTGCCTGGCGGGTTACTTTGCTGAGGAGGGAGATGCTAATACCCAGAACCAACAACAGAAGAGTTGCAAATAACAGGAGATATGGCACTTCCGATTTCTCTCGCTGAACACAAGGCTTTCTTTGTTGAGAAAGTCAGGGAGTTCAAGCCAAAGCCCGTCGCTGGACAAACGAAGAATAGAAACGAGAGCGAGGTCTCTTCTGACACGACCATCTCAGCGAGGATACGCCCAATTCTCCCTCACGAGCAGGAAGCTGGTCATATTCCAGGCTTGTTTGTTCGCAGTGATGGAAATGGCGAGCTCGATGTGCATGAACTTCGACTCAAGGTCAACGGACAACCTGCTTTGAATGTACGTACATGAACATCTGCGATATACCCCTGGAACAGTACATACGCCATAGCAGGCTTCTCCACGTTCATGTTACCAAGACCTGTCACAGTCGTCTAGCTTCCTTGTAGACCGAGCGTATGGGCCAGAGAGCACAACAAAGTCGATATACGACGATTTTGTAGCTCCCCTGGTGCCATGGGCATGGAGCGGCGGCGTTGGAACATTCTTTGCATACGGTCAGACTGGATCAGGCAAGACCTTTACCGTAAATGAAATGGAAACCTTCATCGCATCGGATTTGTTAGGCGGGAAGATCCCTGGCCGACGCAGTGTTCACATGTCTGTGTTTGAGCTGGCAGGAAAGGCTGCATTTGGTAGGGATCGCATTCCCTCCCCCCTCGCGCACCCGTTTTCATTTATTGACTGCATTCAGATCTCCTCAATGACAAGCATCGGATCAGCGTCATGGAAGATTCATTTGGAGAGACGCAGTTGGTAGGTATTGTCGAACGCACCCCCTCGACGATCGAGGATTTCCTCGACCTAATCAAGACAAGCATGATCTTCCGTGCTAGTGCCCCGACGCTTAAAAACGATGCTTCTTCGCGCTCACACGCTGTCTGCCGAATCAGGATCGAAAACAAGGATGATCCCGACTGTCCTGACGGTTTACTCTTTTTGGTCGACCTAGCAGGTAGTGAGGCAGCGGCGGATTCCAAGGACCACACACCAGAGCGCATGAAAGAAACAAAAGATATCAACTCCTCTCTTTCTACGCTCAAGGACTGTATTCGAGGTCGCGCTACCTGGAACATCAACGAGAATACGGCTTCAGGCGGCACTAGCTCGAAACATGTGCATATCCCCTTCCGCAACACCACGCTCACCAAGGTGCTGAAACATGTGTTTGACGTCAATAGCCATCGTTCCTGCAAGACTGCCGTCGTTGCATGCGTTAGCCCCAGCGCTATTGACGCAAATCAGGGGAAGAGTTCCCTTCGATATGCAGAAATGCTCAGGGTTCAGGTGCCAAAATTGAAGCCAGTTGTCTATGATCCAGCGGTCCCACGTACCTGGACTAACAAGCAGCTGCGAGAATGGATTGTGAACAATGTCTGTTGTTGGCCTCATCTAAGCATGCCCTTTGTTTTCGCTCGGTCCCATTTTCTTTCCCTCTCACCCCGAACGGAGGCAACATGTTAACTGACACAGCTAACATAAGTAGTCCGGTTCACCTCCTGTAGACCCATCGCACGTTGCGCCCACTGAGTCTGGGATACAGATATGCAAGCTGTCTAAGAGTGAATTTGTCTCCCGATGCCTAAAGACAGATGGAGTACGGCCCGAGCAGGCCAGAGCCTTTTTTGATAAGATATGGCAGCTCCACGTTGACTCCCGCTCCCTAAAGACTAAAAGCGCCACGATTAGCGAACCGAAGGAACCGGCCATCCCGTTCAAAGAACGCCTCAGGCCTGGGATGTTTGTGCGCGTTACTCCCCAGTCACCAAACGACCCGATTCATTTTCTCATGTTGCTTGCCCCCGAAGGCGCATTTGATCAGACCAGGGCTGCTGCCAAGGATAATGGCGACGGCTGCGGTTCTAAGTACATCTGTGCAGCAGTTGCCCCATCAATCATGGTGGACGCCTATGAGCTGTTTGTCTCGCAACAGAGAATTGTAAGGATTGAGGATATGGAGGCGGAGGTTTTGATGGAATATGATTCAGCCATGAGATACTACTTCATGACCGTCTAAGCAAAGGGGCGATGAGCATTGGTAACTTTGGCGGGAACAACACGTATATCACACATGGGTTTCAAATATAGTGTGAGTTGTGTTAGGCTGGAGTGGAAGCTGGGTCTGTCGATTGGAGGGGAGCGGGTAGGTCAGCTTGCGTATCCCAAGGGCTGATTAACCCCAACCGTCCCTCTTGCATATCAATTCTTGCGGTAGAGGATCAGCCATCGTTTAGATTTGGCCAATTCCGTTGTTCTCTCTTTTGAAAGCTTACTCCGTACTCCGTACAGCCGGCTGTGTTCACACCCTTGAGGGTAGGATTATCTGCGTTTGTTATTAGAGCTGAATACAGGGACACAGTACTCCGTAGAACGCGATGCATGAAAACGCCGCTGAAGAGTAATACAATTGGTTGTTTGACGTATCACTTCATTTTCCCGCAGTTCCTCATTCATGTAAGGAGTGACCAACCAGCTATCAGACATGTCTCTGCTCCTTTTGGCCGTCGTGGGAACTAAACAGTCGATCATTCGGGTTCACTAGTTAGCAGGCTAGTCAACAAATCTGGTAAGAGGTCGTGCGGGACGGGACGAAGGGAGGGTGATGATAACATGCATGAAAAGGGGCAGCCATGGTCGCGAATGTAATGCGAAATCCTACTCCATTTTCGTACTCCGTAAATCCTTAAACCTGTTGCATACTTGATATTACTCTGTGAACCCGGAAAGGTAACATCAAACACGTCCATCATCATCAGCTCGTCTTGCCACGGTAACTTGATCCGCAGCCTTCTCGCCCAATTGTCAAAGCCGCTCGGCGTTAACTAGCCACTTTCATATTAGTGCCGAGTACAATACGAAAGACCGTGCTGTTTGTCTGGTGGCTGTGGTTGGGAATGGATTGGCTATGAGCGGCTTAGCTAACTAATTTTCGGCGCTAGCGGATGTTCTGGAAGGCAATGGAAGGGCGAAACGGTGCCTGCAGCAGCATGGGTATGGGTATGGCCCGACTGTGTCAGAATCCTCAAGGGGTGGTTTGCGATGGAACAAGGAGCCGACTGTGGCCTATCGTATCGGAACGGCGATTCATTTCGGCGCATTCCAAAACGGGATAACCTATGGTGAGCGAAACTCCCCGGCTAGAATGCACCGTTCATCAGTAACTAACTAGTTCGGTGATCAAAATACCACGGAGTACTCCGTACTGTTGAAAGTTCTCGTTGGGGTGGTAGTAGTCGATAGCTAGTTGGGCTGTTGCTGCTGCGTGAAGAAGCGCTGCCTTTTTAGTCTGATTTGTGATTCATCAAAGTGAGAGGAGCATGGTGGCTGTTTGTCTCTGCGTAAAATTATTATTAGACATGAAATGGATACGAACCATGGTGCCGTGAATATCTGCCTCTGCCTTGCTTCAGCCGCTCGATACGGAGCAGTGACCCTCACAACGCCACGAATGTGCCTGCAACAGATTATTGCGCCATTATTAGTAATATTCGGATATGGGAGCAACATTAGATCGCCCTTGCGCATTATAGACCCAGGCCTGGGTGATGGTGATTAACTATCGACCAAAGGTCCTCGTACTGCCGAACGAGGCATAATTATCGCGACAACCCGGGGAGGCGCACTGCCTCTCACCTTCAGGAAACTTCTCTTCATGATGTCGTCGAGTAATGACCTTGAACCCCATTCGACGGCTGGTGAACTGCAAAGAAGAGAGCCCAACGGTTGCTAAAATGTGGCTTGTGGAATCATATATTCGTCGGTATGATTGGGTTGTTTGTCCATACTTTGGGTTCTGGGCCCTTGAAATTTTGTTGGGCAGCCCCAAAACCAAACATCGTCTTCAAACCATGGCTGGCAGGGATCTTCCCTGTTCGTCTAGGGTGGAGCATGAGAGGAAGCATATCCATACCCTGTCAGAAACCACCCTTGTCAAGCTTGCAGCGGATCGGGAGCTTCCCTTGTCAGGATGGGACGTCGAAGAAACCCAGGATCCTCTTGTGGTGAGTATTGAATGCCCCAAAAAGGGGACTTGAGAACAGAGGGCTGTAATTTAATTTCGAACACCATTTGAATAGTTGTATTAGCAACCAAACCCTTAGACTCGGGGCCCTCCAGAGCTGGGTACGATGATCAAAGCACCTTTACAAGCGGAAGCGAAAAAAAAAAAAAAAAAAAGGTACAACAACAACAGCAATCAGAAAAGAAGCAATTGTAGGCCAAGACACAAGTTCGTCATTGCACGATCGGGCAATGAACGGTTGAACAACGTCTTTCCTTGGAGATCGTGCGCAGGAGCTTTGCTTCGCTCTGGTGGTAGTCAGCTCTTTTCCATGACGCAGGAACATAACTATGTATGAGTACGGAGTATACTTCAGACACTGTCAGACACCCACCCAAAAAAGTCTCTGATATGCGCGTTCAGCGCCGGGAACGAAGTTTTAGCCAGCCAGTGACCGCCCTGTCGCATTTCAAATTCTCGGGAAGAGTTGCTCCCCTTGGGCTTTGGTGAAACGCATCTCGTCCAGTCCAGCTCGAGCGCGCCAGCGGCGTTGCAGTCAGACTGTCCCGACATCGCCCGATCCCGAAGGAGTTACCTCCGCAAGGCATCGCAAGCTTCACACTGAGTTTCCTTGTCGTGACGGCCAGGCTAACTTCTGCTTGCTCTCCTCTTCTCCCTGCCCTTGCTCGCCGTCCCCTTCCCTTCCCCAGAATCCGGCTCCAATCCTGGTTTCAAAAGCAAAGCAGAGGAGAGCATAGCGAGAAACCGTACTGACGTGGGCCCCTGGAAGAAGATTGGTTACCATTAACTATATATCAACGGCCTCTTCCTCATTCCTCGGGAGGGAGATGCTTTCTCGTCCACCTCTTTCGACGCATCACAGGCTTGCTGCTGCTGTTGCTTCTTCTTCTTCTTCTTCTTCTTCTTCTGCTGCTGCTGCTACTGCTGCTCGCACTCGCACACTCACCTCTCGCTCTGCTGCCCCCCTTGCCTCACTGCCATTGCGCTCCAAACCCAGCATGCTCGGTCCCAGCCTGTACTGCCCCCAGTATAACGCTATGCACTCCTCGTCTCCCGCCCAGTCGCCCGCTGGCTCGACCGGCTCTCCAGTGTAAGTGTGCTTGTGTTGGCGTTGTTCTTTCGTCGACGTCGAGATCTTCCCTTTTGGGCCAGCAGTATAGCCTCACCGCCTTGCCGTTTTCGGTTTGCTGACATCCGCCCTCTGCCTTGTCTGGATGGGCTTCTTCTCTAGTGACGGCTACTTTGACACTGCGAACCCAGGATACATCCGCAAGTACCTGCGGACATACGGACTCACGCCGCCGCGCGCAGAGAGCTACGAGGTGCAGAAGACAAGATGTAAGTGCGCAGGAAGCTTCACAGTGCGGTGCACAAGCTGACTGCCGCTACAGGTCTTGCCCAGTTAGCTCTCAAGTCTACCCCCATCGAGAAGTTCCTCTACCTCAGCACAATCCGCAAGAACAGTGTGCATCTATTCTACCGCCTGGTCATGGACCATCTACAGGTATATGCGTGATCCTGGGCCGTTAGACAAGCGATTGGTGGGCGGAAGACTGACCGTTGTGCAGGAGCTTACTCCCCTGATCTACACACCCGTTGTTGGTGAGGCTTGCCAGAAATGGTCCGAGATATATCAGCAGCCCGAAGGTGAGCTTTGTTGTGTGATTCTGCGCCTGCTACGAGCTGTGTCATATTAATTTTGGTATAGGAATGTACCTTAGCTACGAAGACCGAGGAAACATTGCTGCAGTTATTCAGAACTGGCCCCAGCCAAATGTTGACATTACCGTCATCACCGATGGCTCGAGAATATTGGGATTGGGTGATCTTGGAATCAACGGAATGGGCATCCCAATTGGCAAGCTTGCTCTCTATACTGCCTGTGCTGGCATCAGGCCTGAAGCTACTCTCCCCCTCACCCTTGACTTGGGAACCAGCAATAAGGCTCTAAGAGAAGATCCTCTGTACATGGGTAGCCGCCGCGGCAAGGTTACTCAAGAGCAAGAGCTTGAGTTCATGGATGAGCTTATGGCTGCGTTGACCGAGAGATGGCCTGGGTAAGCAATTATTATTATGATGGGGCCATTGGCCGAATTATCGTTATCTGGCTAACAATGCGATAGTATTGTTATACAATTTGAAGACTTCAAGAATCCCTTCCCAGCCCTCGAAAAATACCGGCACAACTACACCTGTTTCAACGATGATATCCAGGGAACTGGAGCCGTCATCTTGGGCGGTGTGATAAATGCCGTCAAGCGATCTGGCGTTCCACCAAAGGACCACCGTGCTGTGTTCCTCGGCGCTGGAAGTGCAGGTGTTGGTGTTGCTAAGCAGATCGTCGATTTCTTCGTCAAGGAGGGAATGACCGAGGATGAGGCCAAAGCTTGCTTCTACCTTGTTGACACGAAGGGTCTTGTCACTGCGGACCGAGGCGACAGACTCGCAGCCCACAAAGTCTACTTTGCCCGTCATGATAACAACGGCCAGCAGTTCAAGACCTTGGAAGAAGTTGTAGACCATGTCAAGCCCACCATGCTGATGGGGCTCTCCACCCTTGGAGGCGTCTTCACCCCTGAGATCCTCAAGAAGATGGCCGACAATAACAAGCAGCCCATCATCTTCCCTCTCTCGAACCCCTCCGCTAACTCGGAATGTGACTTCAAGTCGGCCATCACACACACCGACGGCCGTGCCCTTTTCGCTTCTGGCTCTCCATTCCCTTCGTTCTCCTTCAAGAACAGCGCTGGTGAGACATCAACGTACTACCCTGGCCAGGGCAACAACATGTATGTCTTCCCCGGTATCGGACTCGGAACTATCCTCTCCAAGGCCGTCGAAGTCACCGATAGCATGATCTACGCCGCTGCAGACGCCCTTTCGACATCCCTGACAACCGAGGAGCTTGACCGAGGCCTACTATACCCTGAAATCACAAGAATCCGTGAAGTCAGCGTGGCCGTTGCCAGAGGAGTCATCCGTGCCGCCCAGGAGGCCAAGGTGGACCGCGAAACGGCGATCCGAACCTTCACCGACTCCGATCTGGACTCTTGGATCAAATCCAAAATGTATAACCCGCATTCCGAGGTTAACTCGCTCGAACGCGAAGTTGGCATTCTCCTCTCCTCCATCGGTCGTATGAATGGCACCTCGAACGGAGACATATCGCCTCGTGGTGAAGACCAAGGCTCCAAGCTCTAGTACTGATTCCCTTTCCTTTCTCTGTCTGTCCTTTCTCTCCCCGTTCCTCTGCATTCAAATCCCCTTCACGCGACAACGTTGACCCCCCCCGATATTTGACCCTTTCTTCCTCTCCTTCATCCAATTTTTTTAACTAATTTCTTTTTAACGGTTTTCATTTTGTGTAGTTACTTTTCCTCCTAGTCCATACCCCCTGGTTTCCTGTCCTGTCCCATTTTTTTTCCCTTGTTCCTGTCTTGTTCCTGTCTACTACCACTTCTACCCTCCTTGTGTGAGCGAGTACCTTTGGCTTTTGCATGGCGAATCGACGATAGCATACATACAAAAAAGAGACAAGTGTCGGAGTTAATTTTCCTCCCCTGACTTGACCTTCTAGACTGCGTAGAGTATCCATGCATGCCCCTCGGCAGTCCCTGGGATGTCCCTAGGATGTCCCCGCCATGTCCTAAATTCGCCGACTCTTAGCACATTTGTCGCCCGTCTTGGGAGACGTCCCGCCAAGGGGGCATGGCATGTCTGTGTCTACAAGGCGCAGCTGTCATACATCCATCACATTCTGCTTTCCACACGTCCAAAACGTGGCTGTGATAGTGTCGTATGGTGTAATATAACGCCCTGTCAGCTGTTGAACAACAACAATTATGCATCCAAGGCATATGCTAGTTCTCGTTGATGCATCCACCTCCCGCCCCCACAGCCGAAGCCCGTGGTAGTTATGTGAGCTAAAGAATGTTCCGTGTGTTAAGAGTCGGGAGCTGTGAAAAGAGACCACCTCGGCTCGGATTTCAAGTATGACTGGGACGATAGATATACTTCTGGGGTCCCTATATTTTCCGACAACGCCCATGGTCTTGCATTTAAGCACGGTCCTGCCGATTGGTTATGGGATGATGCAATCAATACGAGAATTTGGTGTGTGGTGGTGCATATGTACATATGTCGCTGGGGGGACTCCCAGGGTTGTCAAGATCGATGACATTACTCACGCCCTTCATGTTCATGCATTTATGGTTAGCATGGAAAGGGGTAACTACCGAGGAGTCCCGGCTGCTTTGTTTTCGTTCGATAAGTCTGGGAAGCGAAGTAGCATGGTACCTTGGCCGAACAGCTGCTTCTTGGGTTTACATGTGCATCGATCATAAGCGTAAAGTATACATTATCCATTACTAGTATTGTTAGATACCCATAGAGGCAGTGTGTGATTAATATTCCGTCGTGGATCATTTTAGTGATCAAGAAGAATCTGTAGAAATCATCCGGAACATCACACCCACCCTCCGAGTGTTTCATTGAGAGACATTCAAGCAGCCCAGTAGTTATTCCAAACCATCCATCTCGTAAAAAGATAAACACTATTCAGATGATGGAATTCTGTTTTGCAGCAACTGGTCTATCTTCGCGTAACTCGTTTTCTGCCAGAGCATTCATATCTTCCTCTTTAGCATTGTAGCGACTGAAGAGGATCCAGAAAATAATGCCGGCCACCGCCGACGCGATAGACAATCCAGTATACATCCACTAATTTGAGGTTAGAGATGAACTACTGGTTATCCTGGAGAGAAGATCAAACTTACCACAAGTTTAGGATCCTTAGCAACAGGGGATATGGCCATGCCAAGGGCAGCACCAAATGCCGAGGTGAGTAAGAACATGGCCATGACGAATGATTTCATGGAAGGAGGCGCCTTTGTATATGCGTATTCTAAGCCAGTAATGCTAGCGAATATTTCAGAGAGACCAATCATAAGATAAGCAGGAGATTGGATGGCAACATGGACTTGATTTGGCAACTTTCCGTCCTTGCTCGCATCGCATTTCATGGGAGCGTTGTAGCATGGGGGGCTACTATAAATGAGATGCTGCACAATAGCGGCATAAGCCATTGCAATGGAGGCAAATAGGAAACCCGTAGTGATGCGTGTAATGGGTTTGAACTTGATGCCTATGGTTATATCAGCGGGTGTTGTATTTTCGAGGGGAATTGATTACGACTTACCTCTCTTACGCAGCAGAGGATAAACGATCCTATCACAGATTGGAATGAATATGATGATTGCTAGGGGGTTAATGTTCTGCATAATATCGTTGGGAATCCCATGAAGTTGCATAGTTGCGGCTTGCGACACAAAGTTATTCACCATCTGCTGGTAACAAACCCAGTAGATAGGGAAATAGCTATATAACCAAATTCAGTGACAGGAAGACCTAGGTTTGACTGTAAAATCACTTACATGAAAACTCGACAAGCTACCAAGGCTCGTTTCATTTCCTCCACGAACTGATCATCCCAAGGAAATACACGCCCACCTCTGTGTCGCTGGGAGGAGCTTTTGGCAGCATCTAGGTTTCCTCCATTTTTCATGCCGATATACATGACCTTGAAGGCACGTAGATAAATAGAGCCTTTTGGTGGTCGGACAACATAGAGTTTTCGACCTACAATAAGTACAACGAACCCAGCAATAAACATGCAGAGTGGAAGCAAGTAGGCAGCCCAAAATCCAATGTGTAGTTCTAGTTCTGTAGTTGCGATTGCAGCCAGTGATCCAGTGTTAATACACATATAGAAAATCATATCTATGAATTCAATTAGCTTAGTCCATTAAAATGCGCCACGGGCTAATATCACTTACAGACACGCTCCACAGTGCGTGCAGGGTCAACGATAACCCTTTCACCGGTCTTCAGGGTCTTTATTTCAGGTTTCGTCGCAGTCACTTGCTCGGCAATCAAAGGAGATATGTTGGACTTGATTCCGCCTGTGCCAAGCCCAACGATAATCATTGCTGCTATCAAACCACCAAGGGACGCTCCATGCTCAATGGCAACAGGAAGTGCTGTGCAGAACAGAACAATGAGGCCGGAGATATAGATCAAGGCAAAGATCACAATAGTGTTGTACTTTCCCATGTATTGGTCTGCAATGATCGCACCAATGATGGGAGTGACGTAGCACCAAAACTGCAGGCATGGAGAAGATTAGATTAGAGGAACTCCGAGATGTCAACCGGGTCATCCATACCTGGAAAAAGCTGCTAAGTCCCGTTGCTGTGGATTGACCAAGCCCTATTCAGAGCGTAAGTACATAGACGAAGGATTTGGTTAAGAATCAAAGTAGCTCACCAATCGCTCCAGGGACCCCGCTGGGCTCCTTGTACTTATGCTGCATATAATTCTGAAAACAACAGTTAGTGTCATAGCTCTTAATGCTTACGGCCCTAAGAACTTACCTGGAACGGCCCATTTAGACCATAGTACGCGAATCGCTCACACAGCTCGACAATAGCGACGAGAAATGCCGACCATGGCAGTTTACCAGCCACCTTTCTCAAGGTTGCAAGTTCCTCCTCTGTTGGCTCATCCTCGCTAGAGGTCGAGACAATTTCGCGCACAGGAGGGCTGCTCGTTTGCTCAGGTTCAATGTCTTTCGGTTCAGCCATTTGAACACGTTTGCCGAAGATTGACGGGGCTATTTGGGGTATAGGTATAATGAAAGGGATGGGGAAGCCTGAAACTCTTGATATGGAGACGGGAATAGAGGATGGTGAGCAAAAGAAGGGCGCAGGTACCCTAGCTGGGTATAAGAGGGAAGTTTTCCCACAATTCGACTGCGGGGTATCAAAAAGAGGACGGTGGAAACATCATCAGCGTGGCATGGGAAAGTGAGACCGGTGGTGACGTTACCCCATGGCCCAATTCCTATTATGGTATGTATGCATCCATGGACGAGTTTATAGTGTGTCAACCATGGAACTTGGACATTGTTGAACATCGCTCGCCCTATGACGTTTTCCCACTTTGTTCCCTTGCACCAAATTCAGCGGCGGTCAGGGTTCTTTCATTTCCTAGTGCATAGCGGAAAGGAGAGTCGGTCGTGTATTCCCTTTTATCAGCCTATGCCTGGAAGTTGAAGATATGAAACATAGCATATAAAACATTGTTTACTTTATATGACGGCTGTGAGAGGAACTAAGCTTTTTGCCATCCATGGTCAAATTCAACCAATTTCCAGTGTTTTCGTAACGGCCCAGCCTCCTTTCGCATTGTTGATTCAGCATAGACCGGTTGGTAACTAGTTAGTTAACTAATAAAATTGGTCATCGGCCTGGCCTGGAGTGCGTTACTCGTAGAGAATCGCATCGCCTCCAGAGTTGCTGGGAGATAGCTATAGAGCAGTATAACAAGATCCAAGGGTATATTCAGCCAATTTTCGCGCGGCGGCACTGTGGCAATCTCTCTCTCTCAAATTAGTTAGTTATTGTTCGTCGTAACGCCACCAGTTGGCGTCCAGAGTTATCCCCCGCTGGATGGAAGTAACCCTATGCAAAGTAAACCACGAATCTGCACTTTTGAGTTCATGTAACTTTCCCTTCCGGGCAGTGTGGCTGGTCGGCTTTCCAACTCGTGCCAGTCCTTGTGCGAAGAAGGTGATGTTTGATACTTGTTTGATACTCCATGGGATTGCTGAGGTTGAAGTTGTTGAAGTCGCTTTAGAGTGACCACGGGCTGGAGACGCACTAGTCCCGTTTGGGCATCGCGAAGCGTTCAGCGGCTTTTGAGCTTTTTCAAGCTTCAACCAAAGACCGTCGCCTGGAGCAAGCTGACGAAGGAGCCGTGTTTTTACTCTCCCACACTGTCAGGGAAGTCTATATTGCCCGAGATGGAGAATTACTCGCTCTTAGATCAGGCGGATGAAGGTGAGTCTAGAGGCTACTTAGCTGGGTTTGCTAGGGGGCGACGAAGGCATGTGCAAAGCTGACCAACCATGACAGATGGGCTTCACAAATCCCGCCTATTAAACGTTGAAGAGAAACCGTTCAAGCGGATAACAAAGCGCCTACTTGCTCCAAACTCCCTAATATCCTCGCCGGGCTCATTCCTTGCAACACCGCCGCCTGAAGCGACACCTGGAAACGCCGATGCAATCCAGGAGCATGAAGCAGAGAAGCAGAAAATGCTGGAAGAATGGAGACAACTTCGAGAGGATATAACCCTGGATTTTACCGCGTTTGAAAGCAGCCTTGTACGAATCCAGCTTCTCCTGGCAAGTAACGAGAAGGAGCGGGAGCGGTATGCAGCGGAGAAGCTAGAGATTATGGCGACGGCGCAGGAGGTTCGAGATAACACCACCGAGCTACGGTTGCAACTTGAAGAAGCGCAGAATACGCTTGCACTACGAAAAACATATGACGAATTAGCGGACAAGATCACTTCTAACCGATTGCTTCGACCACGAGATGATCAGCAGGCGAATCTAGAAAAGCTGCATGCTGAGATTGCGAAACTGGAGAAGGAGAGCTCAGAATACGCGCAGACATGGGCTGAGCGAAGAGAGCAGTTTGGGCGTATTGTTGATGAAGGGATGCATCTTAGGCGGTTGATCAGAGACGAAAAAGAGGAAGTGGAGAGGCGAGAAGGGATGGAAGAGGATGACGACGGAGATGAGGGGGATGCTAGTTCCAAAGGGAAGAGGAGTGCAGCCAGCACGCCCCGGCCAGACCCAGAGAATAGCGTGACTCCTTCGCAACAGACTGGAACTGGTACTGGTGCTGGAGGGGAGGAAACGAATCCCGTGGTTGCAAAGCTTCAGGCCGAGAAGTCTGGTCCTGCAACGCGTGGTGGCACTCCCCTTAGGCAGACCATTACTGCATCAGAAACTTCTACTCCAGAAGAAAAAAGGATTTCCAAAGACGACGGGGACGAGAATATGGTGGATGAGGGCGAGATTTCTGGGGACGAAGGGGAGGCTCAAGAGGGGACAACCTCACAGGCTATGGAGGATGATTTTGAAGAAGGAGAAGAGATACCTGATTCCCGGTCTACAGAGAAAATGGATACCACTTAGTTGACCTAAGAGTTTTCCTTCAATTACTTCTTGCAAGCATGAACGCAAGCCGCAGAACACACCAGGGTTTTAGACTGGCCCATTACTTACAATACACCCTGGATACCCATTCATGGACTCATTTACACAGGTATGGGCACGATTAAAAGACGAAATGGCCAATGGATTCCTTACAAGCCAGAACATATACATGTACAATTATCACCTGTCATTTTACGCCTTGCCCCGTTCATCAGTTTCCTCGGGTTCATGGCCAAAAATCCGCGACCTACGAAATCTCCCTAACGGCGGTCTTGGCATGGGAGATCGCTTCCTTCGCGGCAGTTATCTGAGCGACGTCGCTCTCCGCGCCCTTTTGACCTTCTTCAGCCTAATATCCGACGAAACGAAGTAGAGATTAGTTATGATTCACGAGATAGACAGCAGCTAGCAAATGCAGAATGCCAAACTCACAAGCAAACGCTCCAACTTTGCAACCGCCTCGTTGATCTTCTGTTTTAGCTGGGGAAGAAGCTTCTCAGTCTCCTCTAGAGCTTTGCGCTAAAAGCTGTTAGCGCCGTAAATACATCTACACCTGAAGAGTAAACAGTAAGGGGTGATCTAACCTCTTGATTGAGCATGTACTCGCGGTTCTCATCATCGGAGGTCTCCTTTGATAGCTTATCGAGACGCTGTTCCTGGTCCTTCTTCTCGCGCTGGTAGGATGCTTCTTCCTTGACCAGCCTCTGGACAGCGCCAGTTGCGATGGAGAGCGGTGTCGAGGGCGCCATTATACAGCCCTGTGAAGAGAGACCCGTGAGAATCTTGGGACAGTATGCTACCGAGCAAGTAGCTGCAGTAAGACTGACGTTGCTGTCTTTGTTGGTTGATGAGCTGTTTGATGTTGTTTCAACATCTCCTCGAGTGTTCTAAGAGAAAAAAAACACAAGCAGGTGGGATGCAGTCTTATCGATAAGGTCACGTGGATGACACTGCTGACGTCATCATAATATAGCGGGTGAATGAAGGACGTTCGAGATATTATTATTTATATTCAGGCAGATACACGGCGATGGACGAGGATAATGGACGATGATGACGATGGAGGGTGAGAGGAACACGAGAAGAGACGAAGGAAGCGTCATGGCTATCTTTATGAGAGCAGCTAGCATCAACTAAGATACAGACGAGTTGGCCGAGCAGCCACGGGCTGACTACGAGCCAACTTCGACAGTGAGACACAGCGCCGGCCCTCGCTGGGTATCGTAAAGGCCCATCTCGTTGGAAATGCGCAGAGCAACCTCTTTCCAGGCGATCGTGACCTTGACCAGGCCCGTGGGAATCTTCCTGGCTTCGTCGGCCGGCTCCTCGGCGCGCCAGCCCAGCTTCTGGTCGTTGATCGTATCATCCGAACCCCCAGCCAGCCGCCAAAAGGAGCGTCTCAGCTTTCCTTTTGGTGCAGGTGCCGGCTGCTGCTGCTGCTGACTTTGCTGCTCCGGTTTGTGTTCAGAGACGGCGGGGGTATCGGTGGGCTGCTCGTAGATTCGGTGGCCGGACGCTGCGAGCCGGGCACGCAAGGCGGAGTCTAGCTCAGCGACGACGGCGGGCTGTCGCCAAAACTCCATGGTGTGGCCCGGGCCCTGGAGACGGATGAGCTTGACCACCTCGTCGGAAGGGAAGCCCATGACCTGGGGCTCCTGTGGGGTGGCGGCGGCTGCATTGCCGGCGGCGTCCTGGAGACTGGCGACGGAAGAAGGGACGAGGACGAAGGTGGTCTTATACAGGCCGTCGCTGCCCTGGGAGAAGAGGAGAGGGTCGACGTATGCGGTGAGAATGGACTGGATGCGCTGTGTCCTTGTTTCTGCAAGATGCTGTGGGAGCAGAGACGGAGGCGGGCTGGCATGCAGAGGCTGCTTCTTGTCCTGCGCAAAGGAGGCCTCAGACTCCTCGTACGAGGGAACCGCCTCGTCCATTATTATGAAGTCACAAGGATGACGAAACGGGGTAAATAAGGGCTATAGCTATAGCCTGGATTGTCTTTATTTTATTTTTTGGTGGGCTCCGCAGGCCAGACGGGTATATCGAGGGACGTACGTTATGTGCGATGGTGGCCTACCAAGGTACGGAAGACCGGTAGATATATTCGCCAGCCATGCAACAGCGGAGACTTCGGCTGGATGGCACCAGATTTGCCGGCAGACAGACATGGAATATGCATCATCGCTTGCGCTAAGTATGTTCGAGTCCCAAGAGCCAGACATCAGAGCACCACATTCGCCGGGACGAACCGCCAACCAACAACCAAACTATCGAAACAACCCCCCCTATTCAGCAACATCTAACATATGACTTATGGAATGCACTGCCCCAAACAGCGCAGGCGACAGGAGGAGCGAACGAGCGCCCGGCAGCTCCAAGCCTTGCGCCATGCTCCATTTTCCCCCTTGCTCGCCCGCTCCGCTCCGCCAATGAGGCTGTTCGCTCGTGTCGACTAGCGAGATGATCCATGCCGAGTTCTGGATCAGCATGCGGCTCTGATCTCCGCAGCAGCGCCAGCAGAGGCTCGTTTGTTCGAAAGCGCCGCAGCAAAAAGGCGCGTGGGCGTTGCTGGTAATGGTCTATGGAGTGACAGGGAGAGGATACATGCCGGCAAAGCAGACAAGGCGGCTTTTGCTCGTTTATTGCGCCCCCAGCTTCTCGTATCCCTGGGTCAGAGATGTGTTTCCAAGGGCAGAGGATGGGATGGCGGACGGTTCCGCTGGCGAACTTAACCGGAATCCCTGCATGGCAATGCAGTTTGCGCCGTGTAGCCGTTTTTCCGCTGGATATGGGAGCAAGACCGGGGGTTTAGAGCTTGGGCGATAGCTTGCCTCCCTTCTTTGCCTCATGACGATGTGCAGCGGCTCTCTGACTGTATCGCCTTCTCTTCAAGCGCCGCCTGGCCAGCTAGTTATATAAAGTCCTTTGTGGCCTCCAGCTTTCTCCTCTCTCGCCATCATCTTCAACTCCATCTTCACCATCCTCACCACCACGACCATACTCTCTCATACCCATACCCATACTCATACTCATAATATCCGGTTGTGAACATTCACATCCGAAGCTCGAAACACCCAGAAGCTCATACGCTCTACCATCCTCAACAGCTATAATAGCGACACTCAATACAGATCCACATCTTATTCTACGAACCTCCGCTCACCATGTGGTAAGTCTCCACCGAGGGTTGCTTCAATGCCATCTAACATCACATAGGTATAACGTCTCCGAGCCAAATGAGTACCTGGTCATCACCGGTGCTGGCATCCAAGATGTCCTCATCAAAAAGACGGCCTTTCTCCTACCATGGCAGAAGGTAAAGTACCATGGTCTACAGAGGCATCCAAGAGCCTCATAACTAACAGCTCCTCATAGTGTACTCGTATCTCCATCTCGCCCTTCGACTTTTCCCTCAACTTGCAGGCTATGACCATCGAGAAACTCCAGTTTTCTCTTCCTGCAGTCTTCACCATCGGTCCAGACAACAACCTCGCCTCCCTTAAAAAATACGCCCTCCTGCTCTCTGGAAAATCTGGCCGCCAGAGCAACTCCTCCCATGCGTCTGGAAACTATGTTCAGGATATCGTCAAAGGTATCATCGAGGGTGAGACTCGAGTCATCGTCTCGGGCATGACAATGGAAGAGATCTTCAAGGAACGCCAGCTCTTCAAGCAACATGTTATCGACAACGTTCAAAAGGAACTAGACCAGTTCGGTCTCAGAATGTAAGCTACCGTCCATTTATACTAAATGAAGATCACAGACTAACCTTCAACAGTTACAACGCCAACGTCAAGGAGCTTCAGGATGCCCCCGGAAGCGAATATTTCACTTATCTTAGCCGTAAGGCCCATGAAGGTGCCCTCAACCAGTCCAAGATCGAGGTCGCCGAAGCTCGCATGAGAGGAGAAATTGGAGAAGCAGAGAAACGAGGAAAGACCAAGCAAGAGATATCCAGAATCGACGCTGAGACTGCAGTCCTTGAGACCAAGCGTCGAAGTGATAAGCTCCAGGCCGATGCCCAGCTCACCAACCGCCAGACTGAGCTCAACATGGGAATCGAGCTTGCAAGAATCCAGGCAAAGCGTCATGCCGAAGCAAAGGATTCTGAGCTTCAGAAACACGTCGAGACCAAGCGTGCCGAGACCGAGCTCGAGAGACTTCGAGCACTCGATGTCACCAAGAGCAAAGCCGCCAGAGAGGCTGCAGAACAGACCGCTGAAGCCACCTACTTCAGCCGCACAAAGGAAGCAGACGCCAGCTTGTACCGCAGCAAGATGGAAGCCGATGCAACCTGTATGCATATCCATACTCCTTCTCCTGCCCATGTGTATATTCTCATACTAACCGCCCTATAGACTATCGCCAAACCAAAGAAGCCGAAGCTGCGTTCTACGCTAAACAGAAAGAAGCCGAGGCCATGGCAGAAATGGCAAAGGGCTACGGAGCCATGGCCGAAGTTCTTGGAGGACCACAAGGTCTTCTCCAATACATGATGATCCAAAGCGGTACCTACGAGAAGCTCGCCAAAGCAAATGGCCAAGCCATACAGGGTCTTCAGCCCAAGATCTCCGTCTGGAACACCGGAAATGCAGACGGAAATTCCAGCGCCGCAGATGCAACCGCACCACTACGCAACCTCATGCAGTCGATGCCTCCGCTCTTCTCTACCATTCATGAACAAACTGGCATTGCACCACCAAACTGGATGGTTCAAATGCCACCACCGGAGAAGCAGCATCCAGTCAACCCCCAGAAGTTTGCGGGGGTTAAGGCTAACGGGAATTAAAGGAGGGCTAACTTTGTCTGTCCATCTGTACCCCGTGTCTACCTCACTTCCCTTGTTTTTAGTTCCTTGATTTATACCCTATGCAAGCCGTCACTTGTATCTTTCTTTACACCTCAATTTTGTCAGCTTCTGTCAGCCTATGCGCGCCTGATCTCATGGGTCAGGCATTAGCAGAAGCATCTAATGTCTCTCTCTATCTTTACACCTAAGGCTCTTTTCTTTTGTTCGGCAATTTTGTTTTAACAATAGACACATCATTAGCATTAATAGCATTACATTATCATTAACCACGACCTGAATTTGTAGAACAGTCCGCAGCCTAATCAAACTTGTAGCCTTTGAACTTCCGGGTAGACACGCCTCTCTCAAACATGATGTCAAGCTCTTCATACGTCCTACCCTTTGTCTCTGGGACTCTGAAAAAAGTCCAGATGAAACATATCGTAGCAAGGCCCTGGAAGAGAATGTTTCAGTACCAGTATCCAATCCCGTAGATGAGCCGATACGTACCCCGAAGAAAAATCCAAGTTTCCCACGCCAGTTCGCTGCATCGGGGTTGATCATGTACGGAATCGCAACCGTCATGACGATACCAAGCATCGCTTGTACAGCAGTGGCCAGCGCAATGGTCTTCGACCGAACTTTTGTCGCTGAGCATTCGCACAGGATGACGAAACACACGGGTCCAACGGACAGACTATATGCAAAGTTCCAGACTACCATCATCGATGCCTGGGCCCAGATGACGTTGGGGCGTTTTTCGTAGTTTGGAACGCAGTCGAGGATGCCAATAACAAACTGGAGGACCGCGAGCATCGCTAGGCCATTGCGGTAGATGGTACGACGGCCAAAATATGCGAGCTCGAACCACGAGAGAACAGTGCCCAGAAATCCAACGCCGAGAAACCCGAGCTGTTACTTGTGAGAAAAAAGAAGGCTTGTTTCGAAAGAAAGAAATAGAACTTACCCCCATGTTGAAAGCATCATCGGTGCTAAGACCAGCAACTAGGCGGAAGTTAGCGAAGTGTTAGTATTCTGGGAGTGATGGGGAGTATCATACGGGTAAAGAAATAGTTTGAATAGCCAACAAGATATATCCCGCTGAGGACCTGGATTGCGTAAACTCCAACAGCAATCTCAGTGCGTCTGGCATTCACGCTTTTAAAACAGTCCAGAAGTGTAGTACCAGCTTCCATACGTTGCTCTAATCGGTCCGTTTCGACAATCATAGTCTGGGGTGAGGAAGAAAAGGAAACGATTTAGAAACAAGCTCATGGATTTTCCCAGATGACTACTTACAAGATCGGGTCTGACGTCGACTTTCGATGATGCAAGGCGACGTAGTGATTTCTCTGCATCTTCCATTCTCTCCTTTCTCACCAACCACCAGGGGCTCTCAGGGGCAAAGGGAACTGTGCACAGTATTATAGCTGGCCAAACCCACTGTAGAGCGAAGGGCAGACTATAAGCCCAGTGTGAATCCAGGTTGTGTGTGCCGGCAGAGATACCGTTGGCAAGGAACTGGCCGATAACAAAACAGAGGTTGACGTAGGATGTCAAGATACCGCGCAGTGCCACCGGACAGACCTCGGAGGCATACGTAGGCGCGATTACAGTATATGTGCCTAAGACCAGACCACCTAGTAATTGGCCGACAATAAGAACTTCGAGTGAACGGGCGAAGAACTGGATGAAAATAAAGCCAGCCGTCATCACCACACAAGCCTGCCAGAAAAAGAACAAGAAAGATGAGTTATCCATCCTCCGTTTAACGATGTGTGGAGGCCATACGTACAAGAAATGTCCGCTTTCTACCGAACCACTCCATGGGATAGCTGACAAGCAGGGCGCCAACAACCTGTCCGATGGGACTTCCCATGCTGCTCCACCACGTTAACACATTTTCATGTGCGTACTGTCTCATAGTTGTCCCGTCAACTCAGCGGCACTGCTCACCTCAAGCCTGACTGCCAGGCAGCGGATATATTCCACTTCCCCTCAAACTGGTATCCAAAATCTCGCTGAAATCTAGCCACGGGAAACATATTCCCTATCACCTGCGCGTCAAACCCGTTCATGATAACGCCCATGCAGAAGAGTAGTGACCAAGCAGTGGCTTTTGGGTATAGCTTGATTGCCTCGACAACGCCCATCTCATGTTCCTTCTGCGTTGCCAGCCGCACTTCAGCTTCCCGCTCCTCCTGGTTCAGCTTATGCAGGTCATCGTCGTCCGCCACCGGTAGTGCCATCGTGGACAGGGCTGCTAGTTTCAGTCACTGGGCAGCTATCGGCTGGATCTAGAGCTGGCTCCTGGCCTCACGTTGATTCTCTTTTTTCGCCGCTGTTTACCTGCGTTCACAGCGGGGAAGGTGTGCATCTATACACTACCAATATACGGGGTAACATGGGGTTTCGGCCCTCGACTCGTAGGAATACGAGAGGTGGTTATCTTATATATGTATCCAAGGCTCCGGGGTATCGTACACAGCGGTGCAGTTACGTAGACGCTGTAACTCTAGATAACAAGTTATTTCACTCGGCCTCCCCCCTTGTTTTCTTCGTTTCTTTGCCTCTTAATGATCGACTGGCTGCGTGTTTACTCTTGTGGTTGCTCTCTTGCAATCCAAATTGATGAGTAGGAGAGTACGGGCTACCTGATGTGGTTAGCGCCCGCCCATAATAAACTCCTTATTAATACAGTTCAGCTTTGAGCCGCAAGAATGATCATGTGACATAACGAGTCGGGTTACGTCATTTTTATTATGTAATTTCACCAAATTCAAAAGTTATCTACTTTTTGCAACAACAACAACAAAGCAAAACAAGACAGAATAAAACAAGGAGAGACGTTCGCGTTCGCGCTCTGCTAGGCCCAAAGAATAATGGTTTTCCCCATAAATGCCGCTCCTGGAAATTAAAAAGAAAGAAAAAGGCACATTGGGAGTGCCGGTTGTCGTGGCTTTTTGCCCGTGGTTGAGGAACCTGCAGAAAGTCAGTAGGATAGATAGCAGACAACGCCCAAATATCGAGGCACATACCCCATAAATCGTTAACGAGCTCCTTGTACTTCCTTTCCTTTCTCTGCATGAGTATTCACTGGAGTTGCTGGCCTTCTAATGCTCTCGGATGCTGATTGATGACGCACTTTTAATGGTATACCGTTTTTCGATTGTTCGTTTGATACATCCACTGTATCACAATTGTCGTCGTTCGCTCTTATGACTGAAGCATTGTCATTATGATTGGTCCCCTGATTGGTTTGAGATATTGTCCGGTCATCTCCAGGAGGGTCTGCTGTATTTGTCTGTTTCAGAGTCTTTTCTATATACTGGACTCTTTGCGTAAGTTTCTCCACCTCTCTCGCCAAGTTAAGTGGGTTGCGGTGTGTCGACCACCATATGGACCAGGTCCCTGCTGAACCGGCTCCGATTAGAATTGCCGTGGAGATTGATACCACTAATGTTGCTGTAATGAACATCGCGGAGCTATTGGCGTGGTGGTTACCCGTTCGTTTTGGTGGGACACCTCGTGAGCCCGTTGCAGTTTGGACAGCAAGTAGAGAGTTCGGGGGTATTCCTGGAGCAATACCAGAGTTATCCAGTAAGAAGAGATGCAGGATTACTTTCTAATTGTGGATTAGGTTGATACACTACATTGATATTGATGCTATTTATCTTCCACAGCTGATGTATTTGGAAGAGCCACAGCCACTCCTAGCTCAACTTTCTGTCATTTAGGAGAAGGTTCTGGCTGCAGTGAACTTCAACTCCAACATTATACCCCTATTCTACTGCTTTCCTCTATATTACACTGTTAGCCTGTACCTAAGACTGAGAGGTATCGGTTTCTCTTTGATTCATCATAGAGAAGTCTTTCTTGCAAGGTGCTTTCCTTCTTCGCAGTTATTCTGAAACCCCATTCAGTGGCGAAAGAGCACCAAGTTTTTGCGGTCTTTCAACTCTTGAAGAGCTTAGACATGAGCTTCTCCTTTCATCTGTTTCTTCCTTTATCCAGCCTGCAGTGCTCTATTGAATGGGACATCTCAATACGGTTCTTTTTCTAACTGCACAAATGGTCAAGGCATTATTTATTAATGTCGCTACTTTCCCTCAACGTCGTAGGGAGCTTTCATACCCTACAGTCTCTATCCTTTAGGCAGTCTATCGTCTCCATTATGTTTTCCATCGGTTTCTAGGTTTTTACTTCGACTACAGGGGTTTACCATCTAACCCGGATGACCATATGTCACAGTGAGGCCCTGAGCATCACATATTGCAGCCATCAGCTAAGCTATGCACCTGGACTAGGTTTAACTTCCCAGAACCTACTACGGTCATGGCGTATCCCATCTTCTTAATATCCCCCATCCCCTTTAGAGATAATGGCACCCCATTGTACTGCCTCGAGGATCGGGTGGCCGAGGATTAAACGTCACATGGAGGAAAGGAGGATATTTCCCACTCTTCCGATAGTTCATCATTATACCTCTTTGAATGGATTATTAGCCCAATGCCTAATATACCCAGTCGCCCTTTATACTATAGTTGAAGCCTCGCGCATGTTTATCGGGCATATCCAATATCCAACTATTCTAATATGTGCAATTGCAGTCCTCGTCGCATTATTTCAAACTACACTGAAAGGCATTACAATCACTCGACCCAGTCAACGAATCCTGCAAGCTCCACTGCTTCCAGTCGAGATTATTTAAAGGACACTGGATAGCCCTCAACATGAAGGCTCATAAGCTACTCTACATAATTCATTCCAAAGCTACACTATTCGAAGCCTTTAACCAAGATGGACCCAGCATCCAAACACTCATGGAACCTGTTCCAGCATATTCGCCAGCTGCTCGCTGCTCCCGAAAAGCACACTCACGACTGGAGCGAGGCAGAACGTCATAATTTCCAATATAGCCCCCTCTACAGATTGCCGGCCGAACTGCTCGGGATCATTCACGAATATTTGCCTCCTAACAACTCATTCGCATTATCACTCACCTGTGCTCGGTTCTACTTCTCTACCATCCTTGCAGGGGCCCAACGCGAGCTGAAATCAACCAAAATGGGCCAGTTCATTGTCATGTGCATGCTCGAAGGAGTCGGACAGATAAAGGAGTATTGCTGCCGGGGTTGCCTCACCACGCACCCTTCCTCTCACTTCTCCAAGGATGAACTGGAAAAGCGCCACGCAGAGCGCTATTGTTTACGAACCAAGAAGGTTATGGCATTTGGAGCATTTGGGTCAGACCCCAAGAGCTTTAACGAGGTACTGGAGATGAGGAGGACACAGGAATTGGAGGAAAACATCGATATTCTGCAACAGGGCTCCTTCTGGAACCTCTTTTCCTCCCCCAAAACATCAGTAGTGACCGGCATACGGCTGTTCCCTCGAGGCAAAAAGGTTTCCGTGGAACGGTTCGCAGAACTATGCCAGAAATTAAACTACCCAGTCTGCCCCCATATGACGACGGCCGACAAAAGAATTGTGGACCTCTACGTTCCTGATTTTTTTTGCGCTGGCAAATCAAACATACCTGATCCCTTCGGTCATCATTTTGAGCTAAATGGACTCGGCGTCAAATGTAAGGTTTGTAACACAATCGTGATACTGGATGAGTCAATCTCGCGTGGGAGACCAGCCGCGTGTGCCATAATCTTCATACGGCCAGTTGGGAGGCTCATCTCTCCTCTGGATCCCGCCTGGCTGGCGTCAGCTTCTTCCAAAGGCGCGCTACTAAGTCAAGAACGAGAAGACCAGGTTTATGAGGCGGCTAATTCATTCTACCATGCAACCCAGGCTCCGATCGCGGGCACAGCCATAGAGAGTAATATCGACTGTATCCCTCTCTCACTCCCTAAATCTTCGTTGATGACGAGGCTTGGTGTAACCATCTGGTCTGCTGTAAGCTCATGTATTCCAGAAAGGCATCACCGGCGGAAGTCAAGCCACCTTCACCGGGTCGCTATTACGGACCATCTGTATATGCTAACCCCTCAGTTCCAATGGGAGCGTGAAGGGAGGGATTAGCATCCTGCTTTACTTTGCAGTTCTCGTTCTTACTCGCACTTGTTGTTCCTTTCGTTTTGTCTCTTGTTCTTACTTTTTATGTGGAGCTTACATAAGGTACCTAATTATGGACTCCCGTCTATTTTTAGCTTAAGGTCAATTTGTTTATCCGCTCCGCGTATTACCTAAGGCTGCCCGGGCGCTGACGTAATTTTTGCACGTGATTGATATTAAATGGATGGATTGGTTATTTAAACCTCACAACATCAATGATAACCATTTGAAGCTATGCAATATTGAGGAGCAGCGCCGGCGTTGTCTTATTCACTTCTTTCGTCAGTATATGAGGGGAGCACAGGTTCGACGAGGCAAATATTTACCCTGTCTCATACTATAACTAGCTAGACAGAAACCCCTACACGATCTCTTGACTTCCGCTTACATTCTTCAATTCTATTACAAAAGCCTTAGCTGATGCATTTTTCTTGTCTCGCCATTCTGTCTTAATTTTGTGTGTTCTGTTCCCTCCTTCTCCAGTATATATATGGTCCGTCTGGGCCTTCTGATCATATGGCTTCTTCGTCGAACCAAAATATAGGGGCTTCGCCTCTCCTCCTGATGGCCCGCCGGATGTGTGTCAAGGTAGTTAGGGGTGAGTATAGCATACATACCTTTATGATTTGTATCCTCTCACTTTCCAGCTTCCAACTAACAGTAAATAAACTAGAAATAACAGATGTTGGCTTGGCCCGTTATGAAATTATCCGCCCTATCCTTCAGAAGATTGAGAATCCCCAGCAACTCGTAAGTGCAGCCCTAGAGGCACGTCTTTAACTAAACCCATGCCAAATCTCACTTTATTAACTTATACCTTCCTCGTTACTTTACTTGGTTAGTATGAACTTGAGCAAAGATCTCCACATCTTCTAGAGCACGATGCTGAACTCTGGATTGAATTTATCAAGCGTGACATATACTTCTGGGAGACTCTGGATCTAACTGAACCCCCTGAGAGTTGGTATCAGTTTTATACATCTCTTAGGGAGCAAGCTGCCAAGAAAGTTGACGAGGATGCAGAGCGCATGAAACGTGCGTTACAAGGCCTTGACAAGGAGAAGCTAAAGCACACTCCCAAACTGGTTGATGTAAAGCAAATGAGACTCCCCCGAGAAAAGCCTACTACTGTTCAGCGGCATGCTCACCATGACCGCATGATGGGCGGTATCTCCCCTATTTTCGCATTAGGCACGAAGAGCAGTGACCCCAGTAACGGTAAGCCGTGGGAGGATCGACCGCAATGGAGACTTGTCCCGCCCAAGCTGTCTTCTAGATCCAACTCTGGTGCTTCTTCTGGAGCCAGGAAGTCTGCATTACCGGCGGCCGTCAAGCGGAATAACAGGCTGTCTACGCCAACCCACAAACTCAATACTATGGCCTCCCGTATCATCAAAGCTCCCAAGTCTTTTATTGAGGATCACCAAAAGAATTCAAGCCCCATCAACCGGTCTACCCGGCCCCCTATTCGCAGCAATGTCACCACAGTGCCATTTCCGAAGCCTGCTGCGATCCCGCAGAAGCCACCTAGGGGTCACGACTCAACTCCAGACCATACACCTACCGATACATCTATACATATGTCTGAAAAGCTTCAAACGTCACGTTCCGTTAGAAGCTCTGACCCTAAATTCAAGCCTACACTGGCTAGTGCCCGAACGAGCTCAGATATTACTCCTGGTCCGACTGGACCTAATGTGAACCGTGGAAATCCTACAATCCCCCCGCATGATGCCTCGTCTAGCAGACCAGAATTAGGAAAGAAGAGACAGGGCAATCACACCTCGTCTAGATCCACATTAAGCAATAAGCAGAAAAGACTGAAAGTTTCGTGAACGCAACGAGAAGCCGACTATTATAACGCAAGATGAACGATTCAACGATACTAATATTTCAAACTATCTAATACTCCGTTCTCTTGGCATTACTCCTCGGCTCTCTGCGAGTCTTTTCAGTTCGATTGTGATGAGATACTCATCAAATTTTTATTACACCTTTGTTCTAGCACTTCCCCCCCCCCGAAATACCCATAATTCCTTGGAAGCAACACACCATGCCCGATATGAGCTGGCTATATCTCATACAACGCAACCTAGCTGGCTCTGATTGCAACTCTGGCTTTGCCTTTTTGTGCTACGCTTTGGCCGAATCATAGGAACTGGACCCGTATTTTCACCCGTTCTTTTCACTGCAGGGATATTATTCCCGCGCGTTTATTTATCCACATTGGCTTTATTTGGGTTTCGAGGGTGTGACCATTTGGGATGACAATTTGTGAATAAGGTGTATGGAGAGGCTATGGAAATATACTGGCAGGCTTGAGATGGGTAATTTAAATACTACTACGGTGGGCGCTCATTGGGCTGGTTCGTTAAGTTATGTATTTCTGTTGTTTCTGTTTTCCTTCTTATGCTCTTCGTAAATATGTTACATGTTCGCCTTATTCTCTTCACGTTAGCTCCCTTCCAGTTGATCTGCCTTCAGTAGGCGATTCTGGTTCTTCATCAATAGCAAATCGTACATTGGTGCTCGTTGCACCACGTTTAAACGCACTTCTCCTCGTTGAATATATAGGCTGTAGCCTGGGCTCGCTTGCGGCCCACAGCTTGCTAGGAAATGATGTTGGTAATGGGGTTGCTGGAGTTGTAGACATCTGAACCAAAGCCCTTGCTCTGGCGGCCCGCTTCGAGGGGCTGTTCAGATAACCTGGTGTTGACATAGGGGTGTGAGATGTAAAATCCGGTTGTCGTATTGGTGGCTCTTCTCGTTCTCTGGGATGATCTCTCCTTGGCCATCCATGCGGGTCGTTAACTTGAATACTATGGCCATTTTTGGATGGAGTTTCTATTGGAAAAGAGTCAAAGTCCTTTGAAATTCTAGCTTTCTCGCGCCAGTGATGAATCATATTCCGGTAGTGCTTTCGAGTATTGCGACCATACAGTGCATCTGCAGTTTCTAGTCGTGTTTTAACTTCAAATATCCGAAGGCTTAACTTTCGAATTTGAGCAAGGGCAATACCGGAGACATGGATCTCTAGAAACCGGGTCGCTTTCTCATCAAGCATTTGGTAGGACCGTTGCATCCCTGCCCAGTGTGTTAAGTTATTGTAAACCAACTGTCGGTTATAGTATAGCTGTGCATCCGCAAGGTGTTGCGCTCGTTGTGTGGCCTTTTCCGACCAGAGGTGGAACATGTTAGTTCCGATTGCAATGAGCTTTTCCCCATACATCTCCGTTGATCGCTGATGTATTTCACGAACAGTAGCGCAGCGAGACCGCCAGGCGGAAATAACAGCAGTGGCTAGATTCATTTTCACTTTGCGCCGAATGGCTGCATATGCTTCCAACCGTCGTCTCTTGGACGATTCTGCTGCTGCACTCCGCCACTGCTTCAGCGTTTTCGTAGTCAAGAAAAAATACTCCGATTTCTTTGCCCAGGTATCGAGAGTTGCCAAATGCTCGCTGCGTGCTTTCCAGTTTTGAAGCACCTCTTGCTGGACGGGAGGAGCATAAAATGCTCGGCTTACCAGTTCACGTTGCTTTTGGATATCGAGACGTTGTTTCCAGTAGCTAAAGGTGGCTTGCGCCAATTTTCGTTTTCTATCAGTTCGAAATCTGGCTTCTTTGACAAGGAGCTCGTTGTACAGGCTCCGAGAATTTTCCATCAACGTCTTGAGGTAGCTGGCTTTTAGGCGTTGTTGGTGAATTCGGTCTAGTAGGCGCAACCTCCCTATAAGGATCCATTTATATAATGACTGCAAGACAATTCGCTCCTCTGTGCGCGAAGACAAGGCCTGACAGCGAAGATGGTCATTCCAGGTTGTCCAACAGTTACGCATAACACGAAGTCTGTCAGCGTCCCGCGCTCTTCTCTCCATGCGTGTCTGTTGAGACCAGTCCTCCAGACATGAGCGCACTAACCTAGTGTTTAGTAGGCTAGTCAATTCTGCAAAAGGCCGCCTGTACTTTTGCTTGACTGACCATTCTGTTAGATAGTTTGATGTGACATGGTATTTCCAATGGTTATTCGCGCTCTTCTCAGCAGAGGAAACTTCACGATATTTCTGAGCAAGAGTTTGAAATGTAATTTTCAGAGAATTAAGAGAACGATTGGAGTCGATTGCAAGATCACGTTCCCTTTGAGTTCGGAGGGCACGCAACCAAGCAATAAAAGACCGTTGTTTCAAGCGCTCCTTATTCCACCGCGGTGCTAGCCTGTCACAGAAAGACCAAAACCAGTGTGAATACCCGTATCTCTTAAGGCTTCTCTGGCGAAATTCCTCTGCCTGAGAATCTAGCGGGGCAATTTGTTGGTGGCGGGCACTCCAGAGTTTCAATGGTTTTCTCAGCATAAAGCGCTGGGCTTTGAGTTCATTGACGGCTGTTATTTCGCGCCATGCGTTAAAATATTTGATGCAGAGCAGATGGCGGCGGGCAGCCTCGGTTCTATGAACTTCCTCAGAGGCAACCTGTGACCAGTGGGTAAACGCTTTCGTGAGCAGGTATATGTCTCGAGCGCGAGCAGCTCGCTCCTCGAGATTATTGAAAAACTTCTCGTTCTGTGCCGCTTCTCTCTCAGCTTCTGCGACTTCACGTTTGTCTTGCAATGCAGCCTTCCACAAGTCCAGGACCTGAACAACCAAAGTTTTGCTATCATAATATATGGCTCTCTGCTCCATGGCCTGAACTAACTCTCGCTTCCGCTTCGCTGATTTAGACCAGCTTGACAACATTAGCCGGAGAGCATTTCTTCGTCTGTACATATCAAAAACCGAGGCATCACGTATACGCTGTGTATTTGATGGTTGATAAAATAGTTCCGGTGGTACCTGAGGAGGTTCTGGTGTCTCATCAGATGCAATGGAAAGTGCATTTTCACTATATTGGTGCTCCAAAATTTTGTTCGAATTCATTCTGTGAGCACTGCCGAATTCTTGGGTACTAGAATTCTCTGAGCTCTCTGAAGAGAGTGAGTTTGCGCCACCGTCTGAATCCTGAGAAGCTATGCCGTTGACATCACGACCTACAGCATCTCCCAATCCTTCATGTTGAGGAGAACGGTCCGACTTGTAAGGATATAATCGTTTGATTTCTGCATCAAAGTCTAAGGATCTGATTGTCCCATCCTCCAGTCTGGACATAGAAGATCTGGAGTTTGGCCGGTTGGCAAAGCGCTGTTCAAAGTCATGGGTTGTGTCGTAAACCGAATCGAATGAGGCGCGACGCCTATCCTCAGCTCTCTGTGGGAGAATCCCATTTGGTCTCTGTTGTAGAATGCGTGCACTGTCTTCTCTAGAACGCGACGCAACGCCGTTCGTCGGCAAAGGCTCATTCGATTCTGCATCCTCGCCGTATTCTAGTCGGATACCGAGCGACGCTAGGAGCGACTCAAACCGTTCAGAGATGGTACCGTTTCGCTCAGCCCCAAGTTGGAACAAGAAAGGCAGATATGTCTGGTCGCTTTCCACTGGAATGCCATGCTCAGACAGTACAGCATCGTAGGCCGAGAAGATAACGCGAAATGGAAGAATGTCAGCGTCCGGGTGCTGTTCCGCGCGTGTCACAATTTCGTGGAGAAGCTCGACGTCTGTAGTATTATAGCTCTGAATCAGTTCCAACTCTCCAGCAGCGAGCAGGAAGCCCATCAGACTGACCTTGGTCCGACAGAACCAGCTGTTCCGGTGAGGTGACTGCCCGGTCCTTAGGATCTGAAGGCATTTGAAGATTTAATTATGGTTATACCGCGATCTACGCCGTTGTCGCGAATTGCGCAGCGACGTCATTTCGAGACTGACAGAAGTAAAGGCACGCCCCAGGCCGCATAGTCTTGCCAGGACGAAGAATAACGCTATCCAAAAACAAACCACGCGGGCGCGGGCGGATAAAATCCTCGTCGTCTTGTCGTCGCGCCGTCTCGCTGACGCTGTTCTTGTTGTCTCGCCGTAACTAACTACGTAGCTAGCTAACTATTATGCGACTTTTTTTTTTTTTTCGCTGGTGGCTGGCGACGGTTGGGCATTATGTAAGCAGATATAGCTACTTCTCTAGTTTCAACGCTGGATATAAATTTTGTTCTTTTGGTGCAAATTGACAAATGACGATTGATTTTTGTGATTTTGATGCTGAAATGCTAAAGTAGCGAGATGTCGCGATTTAGAGCGGACGACATCCCCGGCCGGATAGTATAGATATATCCAGCCAGCGTTATGCGAAGACGTCCGAGGAAAACCGGTCGCTCTTGATATCCTGGAACCAGCGCTCTACCTCTTCGTCCGTCTTTGGCTTGCCAACAGAAGCGCAATAGTCCTGGAATATCTTCTTCACGGTAGATGCGATGCCTTCTCCAACCCTGCTAGTGCCGCAAACATACAGCTTTGCTCCCTGGTCAAAGACCTTTCTCATCTCACCTCTTTCCTCCCACAGCCTGTCTTGGACGTATCGACAGTGCTTGCTTTGCTCACTTGCTGCGGAAAATGCATAAAACACCGTCACTACGCCGTCAGTCTCCCATTTCTGAAGCTCATCCTTGAACAGAGCGTCTCTTTCGGGATGTCTGCATCCGATGAAAAGGTACGCGGGGGCCACTTTTCGGCCCGCTTGGATCTGGATGGCTCTCTCTTGAACAAAACCGTGGAAAGGGGCAAGGCCAGTCCCGGCACAGAACATCATGAGAGGTGTATTTTCGGTGTCCTTGGGAGGGTGGAAGTTGCCATGGCTTGGCTTCACGGCAACATGGATCCTATCGCCCTCCTGGACTTTGGAGAGGAAGTTGGATGCCACACCAAGGAACCGCTTTGAATCGGCAACCCGAGACGGCGCATCGAGAACTGACCAAGTAATAGACGCAACTGTTGGGTCTGCCAAGGGCGAGGAGGAAATTGAATATTGGCGAATGCGCATTGGTGGCAGCATTGCAAGGAAGTCTCCAAGAGGCAGCTCGGCTGTTGGATATTCCTCGAGAAGATCCAACGGAGAGCGGCATTTCTTCAAAATCTCGTTTTCAAATCCTTCCTTTGAAAGAGCAAGGACTTCCTCACGGACCTTCTCATCCGATATACTGGAAGCGATTCGAGCAACGTTCTACTCGAAAAACAGTGAGCCAACTGTAATAGAACCATGAATCACTTCCAAAACATACCTTTCTCGTCGCTGGTTGGCCCAGCTCGACATATGCACTCAATACATCCATTGCAGAAACAGGGTGACCCGTTGGCAAGGTAGTATTAGCACCAACCTTGATTGTCAACATTGCGTCCCACGGGAGGTTGTAACGGTTCAGGGCTCGTCGGATATTCCTCTAGTCGTTTATAGGAAGTACGGCAAGATAATCCCCAGACTTGTACGACATCCCGGTAGGAAGCGTTAAAATAAGGTGCCTCTTCTCTGGTTCTCCGGGTGCAGTCAGTACTTTATTACTGATGACAGTTGCTTCTCTCACGTCCTGACGGAGGGTAGACTTCCGAGCATCTGTATCGATGTCAACTTCCACGGTACCCTCTTCGGCAGGGTCAACGTCGCCGCCGATAGAGGACCAAAGCTGCTCGTCTTGCCATTTATCGAAGTGGTTGAAGATATCCCCATCTGCTACGTCCCCAAGGCCAACATCAGCGACTCTAGTCGCACCGCACCTCTTGAACTCTGCATCCAGGAGTTTTGGTATTCTGTGAAACGTCGAGGTCCAATCATCTACAAACGTAAGCAACCGGTTGGATGCATAGATAGACAAATTGAGGGATTGGTATACATACGATTCCCGCAGCCATAAACTGCGTATTTCACTCCGGTCATTGCACCACTCCCGAGCCCTTGGATCCACTCGACAAAATGTGCGGCATTGTCTGGTGGCTGCCCTTCATAACTGGACGATATGACGATCACTGGCTGATCCTTGGGTACTTTGTCAACACCCGAATCCAAGGGGCCAACTTGTGCACTATAGCCTCTGCTCGAGGCATCTCTAGCCAAGTTCTGTGCCAGCGCCTCACAAGTTCCTGCATTTGAGCCGTAAAGTATTGTCATGGGTTTCTTTGCCGGTCCAACAGAGGAGATGCCGGCTGCCCTGTCCTTCTCTCCGGCCTTAGCTTCTGCCTCTATATTCACATGAAGCATCTTCTCCAGCTGAACAGGGTCAACGTTGTGTCTTAGCGTCGCGCGCATAAAAAAGTCCTTGGGCTTAATCGTAAGTGTCTGTTTTATCTGCAGCTGGTAGCTTGGGTCGTCAAATCGCAGGTTGAAGTTCTGGAGGAGCATTACAGCAGTTAAGATGGTCTCCTGCCATGCAAATGGCCTTCCAATACATCCACGTACACCATTACCAAAAGGTTTCCAGGAATTTTTAGGGAGCTTAGCAAAAGGTTCATCCAGCATCCTTTCTGGCCTGAAGAGGTTGGCATCGTCTCCATACACTGTTGGGTCACGATGGATTTGAGGGATGACGCAAACAATTGCCTGGCCCTTTTTAATTTCATACTTCCCCTTGCCAAGGTAAATAGGATCCTCCTGACCGTCTGGCCGGGGCTGCATTTGGATAGCAATTGCAGAAGGTGAAAGTCTGAGAGTTTCACGCATACAAGCCTCTATGTAAGGCAACTTCGACATATGCTCGACAGTAATAGGTCCACGGCCCACGACTTCATCCACCTGACGCTGCGCAGCTTGGTACGCTGATGGATGTTTCAAGAGATAATAAAACAAAAACGACAAAAGGCCGCTGGTTGTCTCGTGGCCTATAAGATCAATTAGCGATGCAAAGTCAGCGAAAGCGTAAGATCAGGAACAAGGTATCAGCTAACCAGCAATCAAGAAGGTTATCATATTGTTCATGATACTATCTTCGGTCATATGTTCTCCGGTTCTAGCATCCTTCCCCTTGAGCATGGCATTGAGCAGGTCCTTTTTGTCGTTGGGGTTGGCTTTCCGATCCGCAACCAGGTCCCCGGCGACCTTTTTCATCAGCTCAATATCGGCATCATATTGTTGTTGTGCTGAGTGCATAAAGTATTGAACAACAGCTGGCCGACTTGCTCTGGCTCCAGACTCGGCCAAGAACCCAACCATGGCGTGAACAAAGGGGTGCATATCCTCATGATAGAATGAGTTGAATCGGGTCCCCATGGCACATCTATGTCATCCATCAGCAAGCAAGCTCACAAGTGGTCGAGCTAAGAGTAATGCCAGACTTACAGGGCGATAGAGTCAAGAGTCAGCCGCGTGAAATCATCTGTGACATGTATCTTCTCGTTGGGACCAAACCGCGCCCATTTAATCACTAGCTGTGATGCAATATCATGCATCTCATCGAACATGGCCCGAATTGATGATGGGCCAAACGCTTACCCCCTTACATCAGCAAAGCTGCCTCGAATCAACGAACATCACCCCATCGCTCATCCGCTACTTACCTGGCATCAAAACACGATGTGCAATCTCCCAGTTGTGTTCCCCCGGGTGAGCTGTGAAGAGCCCGTCTTGGACTCCGTTTCTGATCTGGGCCAGACTGCCAGCGACGAGTTTCGAGAATCGCTTCTCATTGCAGACCTCATCCATCAAGGACTGAGTGGTGATGAAGATCTTCTCCTCACCACCCAGGGTAAGCTTGAAGATTGGTCCTTCACACCATCTTGTCAGAACGCCCTTCTCTCAGAACATCTCTTTGAAATCACCAAGACGCACCATATGTATCTGTGAGGTTCCCAAAGGTGGTAAAGGAGTTTACAAGATCAAGGTTATAAGCATTCCCGACAATGGGCAACGGTGCCGGCCCAGGAATCGGTTCAGACATGTTGTCCAATATTTCCTCTGTAACTAACTAGCTATCCAGCCAAAGACTTTGGAAGAGTTAGACCCAGCCCTGGGTCTTGAGAATATATTTATATTATATTATTGTCTCGAACAAGAGACCAAGGAGCAGCATCATGGCCCGCTGCGGGCAGGAAATGCCTTTTGACGTCAGCTGCCATTGAGCCAGACATGATTGGCCCTGGGCGGTTTCTTCTCAATATTGATCCATGCTGAGCCAGGTCTTTGCAGTCGGTCTTTCCGATCAAACGGTCGCAGCCCTGCCAGCCCTACCAATAGGGTCTACCGGAAGCCGTAGCCGAGAGAGCGGTCTGCCGGTCTCCGAAGGCCCAGAAGAAAGGGTTGATAGATATTGATATCATGGCAGTGCAGTCGAGATGAAAAATAGCAACGGGACACCTCTTAGAGACACCAGAGCCGAGGCACAAGTCAGGTGATTGGAGTTTTACCTAATAAGGGGCAATACAGTAGTATTATTCTCTGGGCGGCCGGCTGGGTGGAAAGCCAACAGAGTGTCAACAATAATATCTCAGGGCTTTCCGCGCATGGCAATTAATGCTCTTCATCCGTTGGTCCTCCGAGGATGTCAAACACTTCATCTCCGAGGCATGGAGATATTTTATGACTTTTTATGAATGGTTGCATAACTTTGCATAACTAGTTGTGTTTTGTGCGTATCCACCGTATTGCTGTCGCGCTAATTTGAGTATTAAATACCGTAATGGTCGTGACTTTAATACGTCTTAGTCATCCATTTTTTAGCCTCAAGCGTGCAGGTTTTGGTTATTTTCACTACAGAGCCAGTTTGGTTGACCAGGCAGCATTTGATATTATCCAGAAATATACCCGACAAAAGGTTTCAGGGGACGGCTGTTTCCCTGTTTCCTAGCTCACCATGCCCGGAAAGACAAGGCCAATTGAAAAGTTTGCACAGGCGGCTGCAAAATGCTCTGCCGAGGTGAGATCATGTCCTGGATGATAGCGTGAAAGCCCCGTGCTTACCATGTTGAGTCAGGCAACGGTGTATGGCAAGTGTATCCTGGCCGATTACACTGCTGTATCGAAGGATATGTGTGCTAAAGAGTTTATGAAGCTGAAGGATTGCTACCTGGTACGTGTTTGTTCCCCGGTTACATCGGGCTATGCTAATCGCTGATACAGGCCGCTGCAAAGAGACGATAAAGCCTCTAATTTCACGCCATCAGATTAAACCCAGCGGACTACAATAATAGTTCGAGAGCGAGTAGACCAGGAAAATACGTCTAATATTGTATCTAAACAGCCACACTATGGGGAAGCACAGTGCCTTTTTTTTTTTTTTTTTTTTTTTTTATAGCTTAACAAGTCGAAGCAGGAACATAGCCTTTTGAACTTCTTGAACTTCCTCCATGATCACATCTTCTTCAGCATCAGGGATCTTCCCTTCGACCTCAGTAACGACGTGTTTATCCATGGGCCGTCGAAGTGCTTTTTCAAGAGCCTTGGCTTGCCTGTCGAACACCCCTTCAATTCCAATGTCATCAGGATCAGACAGAACACGATATTCCATCCCAACGTCATCCGTTACTTGCAGGCCAGCCTTCTTTCTGAGGCGCTGGACTCTGTTGACAATCTCTCGCGCAATCCCTTCGTCTGCAAGGTCTGGGTACAAGGCTGCATCCAAGATGGTAAGGACGTCGTCATCAGTGTTGGTTTCCAGTTCAGAGGAGCCTTCGTCTCGCTTTAATCCTCGCTTCACAACAAGGTCACCCGCTACTAGTTCGATGCCGTCGACTAGTATCTTCCCAGTCTCAACGTATTTCTTCACGTCGTCACTAGAGAGTGACGGCAGGGCTTTCTTAACTTTCTGCACGTCCTTCTTCAACTTCTTGCCGAGAACTGGCCAGTCAGCATCAACGCTATACTGGACGTTATATTTAGCTTCATCGGATGAGAGGATCAGGTCGCGGATGTTGAGTTCCTCCACAATGTATGACTCTAGTGAGCGGACATCGTCGAGGTATTCTTGGTCCTTGTGAATAACAACAAGGGACTTCAGAGGACACTTCAAACCGATGGTGCGGCGCTCACGAGAAACTCTACCAAGCTCTATCACCTTCTGCATTCGCCCGACTTGTCTCTCAATTGTCTCATTGAATAGTTCCTCTCGAACTTCTGGGAAGGGAAGGAAGTGTACTGATCGACTATCTTCTCCTCGGAGCTTCTCAGGAATATGTGGTAGGAGGCGAAGATAGATGGTGTCGGTGATGAAAGGCGTGAAGGGGGCTAGTCCACGAACTAATGTGTAGAGGACTTCAAAAAGGGTGTTGAGGGCATGCAGTGTATCGTCCAATCCAAGTTCACCCTTTAGGCGTCTTCGGTTGAATCGGATATACCAGTTAGTTGTGTTGTCAATGAGTTCAAGTAATCTTGGAACCACCGTGTAGAGTCGGTAACCGGCCATCTCCTCGTTTACAAACTTGAGCAAGCTTTGACAGCTGGCCAGGATCCAGCGATCCATGACGTTGGTGTTAGTGGACTCCGCTTTAGGATCAAACATGTAGTCAACATTTTCAACCTTCTTCAACAGTGCAACCTGGCCTTCAAAGAACTTGTAGCTGTTCCACAGTGGCAGGAGAACCTTGGAAACAATTTCCTTGACGCCCGACTCCTTGAACCTCAATGGCTCCGCGCGGACCACTGGCGAGTTGATGAGGTATAGTCGAAGCGGATCAGAGCCGTACCGATCCATCACTAAGCCTGGATCCGGGTAGTTCTTTAGACGCTTTGACATCTTCTTCCCATCCTCAGCGAGGACAATTCCATTGACAACACAGTTTTTGAATGGCAGCTTTCCGAAAAGGTGTACGCCCAAAACTGCAAGGGTATAGAACCATCCACGAGTCTGGTCAAGACCCTCGGCGATGAAGTCACCTGGGAACTTGTCCTCAAAACGCTCTTTGTCTTTAAACGGATAATGCTGTGAGGCATATGGCATGCTTCCGGACTCAAACCAGCAATCAAACACCTCCTCCACGCGACGGAGCACGCCCTTTCCTTTCTTACTAGGAATGGTGATGTGGTCAATCTTGTCACGATGGAGGTCGGTCAATTCACCGGTATAACCACTCAGCTCCTTTAGTTCCTGCACACTTCCGACAGCAACGATCTCTTCGAAATCCTCACTCGCCCAGAGCGGGATAGGTGTACCCCAATAACGATTTCGAGAAATATTCCAATCCCTTGCGTTTGCTATCCAGCTTGCAAAGCGTTTCTCCTTGACGAAAGACGGAACCCAGTATGACTGTTCAATAGACTCCAGCAAAGCGGGAATAACGGGTGTGACCTTGACAAACCAAGAAGGAACTGCTCTATAAATCAAAGGGGTATCAGATCTCCAGCAGAAAGGATAACTATGGGTAATCTGGCTATCAACAACTACTCGGCCTGTGCCTTTCAAGTGTTTGATAATCGCCTTGTCAGCCTCTTTGACATGCATGCCAGCAAAGTCCCTGACTTCTTTGGTGAATCGACCCCTTTCATCTACAGGGTTTGGAGGCAGCCTGTCCCCGCTAATGACGCCGGATTTCATAGCAACGTTGTAATCCTCTTCACCGAACGCGGGAGCCTGGTGGACGATTCCAACACCACTATCGGCGGTAACATAAGACGCAGTGAGTACGCGGAATCCATGATCCTTGAACTTGTCGTAGAAGTAGTCAAAGAGGGGCTCGTATTTCCATCCTTCCATATCAGAACCCTTGACACGTTCCAGTATCTTGAACTTTGCCTTCTTGGGGTTCTTGTAAAGTGTCCCCAGAAGAGCCTCCAAAATGTAATAGTTCTTGCCTGAGGCCTCATCGTGAATCTTGATATATTCAAAATCCGGATGAACTGCAAGTCCAACATGGGACGGAAGGGTCCACGGCGTGGTCGTCCAAGCCAGAAGGCAAGTCTGGGGGTCATCAAGGAGTGGGAATGAAACGACAACGGCCGGATCTTGAACGTCCTTGTAGTTTTGCTGAGCCTCGAAGTTACTCAACGGGGTGTTAAGTGCGGTCGAATAGGGCATGACTCTATATCCACGATATACAACGCCTTTGTCGAATAGCTGTTTCAATATCCACCAGATAGATTCCATAAAGGTGGTGTCCATCGTCTAGACAAGCAAACAAACCGTCAGTAAGGTCATTTTAGCCCACCATCATATCCATGGGAAGAGCGCTCCCACCTTATAATCATTATCAAAATCAATCCAACGACCCAGCCTGTCAATGGTCTGCCTCCACTCTGTAGAAAATCTCATGACAATAGCTTTGCATTCAGCGTTGTAGGCCTCGAGGCCGATCTTCTCAACAGCCTCAGAGCCCGACATTCCCAGCATCTTGTCAATTTCATATTCGATCGGAACGCCGTGCGTATCCCAGCCAAATCTGCGCTCGACATGATAGCCCTTCATCGACCAGTATCGAGGAATAATGTCCTTTATGGTGGAAGCAAGCAAATGCCCGTAGTGGGGTAATCCAGTCGCAAATGGCGGGCCATCGTAGAAGGTGTACTCTTTTTTGCCCTTGGATAACTCGACCTGACGCTCAAAGGCCCCGATCTCCTTCCATCGTTTGAGGATGGCCTCCTCTTCCTTTGGAAAATCGATAGACATGGCGTCGCGAAGATAGTGCTGTGACTCTGCTGCGTGTGAGATGTGTGTGGGGGGCGAGCAGTCGCAGCTAGTTATTTAAGCCCTGCCGGAATTTGTGAGTCAGCGCGGCAAGTGGGAAATTCTGGCCCAAAACCCCCTTTTCGCAGCAGGATTTTGAGCAGCCACATTCACATTGGTGACTCATATGTACAAAGGAACGACTCGGATGAAGAAAGGCAAACAGGAAATAGCTCTAGGAGCAATGTTCAAGAAGAGATAGATGTCAATGGCTAAGAATATATGATTATTTCGTCACTCGTTCCGCAATAAGTCTGATTATCAGATGCACTACCATCCAGCTGGCA